CAGCTTGTACACCGTCAACATTTCTTATTTACGTTGTAATAATTCTCTATTACCTACCCATGCATGTTTCTTGTGACTCTCAATTTATTCGGTTTATAGCATGTTCTGAGTATACCCAAGATAGGCTGCTGACAGACAAATTGATGTTACAGGGATTTTAACAACCTCGTTTCAAGTGAGCCTTTCGTAAAATCTATACTGAACTTAATTGTCAGCGAATGTAAGATTTATATCCATTAGTTCACAAGACTTTTGTTTTTTAAAACTAAATTGGCTAAAGAATATTACCATCTACATTTCCTATATACTTGTAGGTGCTACATGCATTGGATGTATCCAGCACTGGCGGATCCATTGAGGGAAGGGGGTTCCAACCCCCCTTTATTTTTGCAGAGAGAGAGAGAGAGAGAGAGAGAGAGAGAGAGAGAGAGAGAGAGAGAGAGAGAGAGAGAGAGAGAGGGAGGTTTGTAACTTACAATTGTACATGTGTATATTTTACGTTTAATATTTTGAATAAATTGTTTACTCTCTGTCCTTTCTGTTCACTAGATAGGGTTTTCCCGTTTTGCTTTCCTCCGTATACCTTCACAATTCTGGCCCCGGGCCCCGACTACCCAAACATGAAAGGGAGTATGCAGATGAGAATATATATCTCTCATATCATGGGGATATTTTAATCAATAAAAATAATTATTGTTTAAATAGTATGCGGGGGAAATGGTCCACTTTTTTTTTTAGAATAGTCTTATGCTGTATTTTCAATACGTTACAGTTTTGATTTGGACTGATGCTCCCCCCTTCTTTTTGTTGCCGGAAGGTCAAAATACCCAAATGAAAGCAACCGAAAAAAAAAATCCCCCTCAATTTGGGGGTTGCCCCCTTTGAATACCATGTATTGCTACTAGGGCTTGAAGTGCCTAGGGTTGGCTTTTCTACTCACAATTATTTATTTTTACTCCACTTAATTAGTTTTACTGCTATAATATACAATTATTTAATGCCTGAGCAGTCAATAGACCGGAATATTTTTCCCGAGGTACAGGGAACAGCTCAGTGTGTTGGCCTCGGGCAATAGAACACACTGAGCTGTTCCCTGCACAGAGGGAAAAATTTTCTGGTCTATTGACTGCTCAGGCATTAAATAATTGTTTTATTACCTAATTTTATTTTCCGTATTAAGTACATTTTCACAGTTGTATATTCAGTACAGAAGGTTTCCGTACCGTATAATATTGTAAATTTATACCTAGATATGGTGCATCTGTAATATTAATATTAAACTAAAGATTGATTGTATAGACTATTGTTTACATTCCTCTCGAAAATGTTTTCACTCTTATGGAGATGCCACCGCTTGCCGTTTGAGAGGGACCTTTTTCATGCTAGCAGTTAGCTGCAGATCTGTAGCGTTATGGTTTTATATATTTGTCTTTGACCATAACGCTACAGATCCCGTAATGCAAAAAAGGTGCAATTTACGGCGCAATATTTTTTGCGCTCTTTTGGGGAAAATTTCTCCACTTTCTAGGATTGGTCAATCAACTACCTTTCACTCCCTAACTCTAGACACATTCTGTAGCCAATATGTATAGTTTATCCACCTCCCAACCATTTATAGTTGTCTCTACAATCAATAAACTCGCTTGAAGTGCATTTTCGGTAATCTAAAAAATAATTTTAATCAAGCGAGTTTATCACTTGTAGAGACGACTATAAAGGATTGGGAGATGGATGAAATATACGTATTAGTTAAATAATGTGTCTAGAATTAGGGGTTGAAAGGTAGTTGATTGACCTATACTGGAAAGTTGAGAAATTCTCCCCCAAAAGAGCGCAAAAAATATTGCGCCGTAAATTGCACCTTTTTGCACTACGGGATCTGTAGCGTTATGGTCAAAGACAAATATATAAAACCATAACGCTACAGATCTGCAGCTAGCTAGCAGTGCACCAACTGTGGCACGAGACCTCGGTTTGTAGGTCTCACCCGAAGGACCGGTCTCCACGTCCCACAGTGTATTAATTAAAGTAACTCTCATTAAATAAAATATCCGACCATTGAAATCACACAATTTTTAAAACCAATGTCGAAAGATCAATTAAGATGATTGTTTACCATGTCCGTGTAATGTTACAAAACAACTAAATTCAAAACCCGGATCGTTTTTTTCTGAAATACGTTGCCGGTCAATAGAACGTGCAGTCTATTGACCGGTCAATAGAACGCACAGTCTATTGACTGGTCAATAGATCGGTTTGAAAAGATAAGAAAAACTGAAAACACACACAGAATAGATGAAAATATTATATCTCTAATAAAACAACAAAATTCACTTGATTAGGTAATAAAAATAATTTTAGTGGAGTAAAAATAAATAATTGTGAGTAGAACGGCCAACCATAAGTACCTGTTGTGTTATTCTGTGCATGAGTATCGGGGCACCCAACCTGAAACTCCCCTTTCAAAAATTGCTGGATCCACCCCTGTTCAGTATGTCTACTCCTCAAAGAACTTAAACCCTCTGCTCACTCATATAAAATGATGCTTGAACCTTAATGATTTTCCAAGAAATGTACTTCATAAGTAAAATACAAACAATTATAGCATAGCTTACGGGGAAAAATTGGTCAAAAAAGACATTTCAACTTGGTAAATTTATAAGGGAATAATAGACATTTATGTCATTTAAGAGTTATTTTTCTTATCAGAGTATCAATGACCCTTAATATTGGAAATTTTCGTGTGTTCGTGTGTTATGCGCTTTCACAGTAAGGATTTTTTGTCCCCCGCTTTCGCGACAGCGAGGGGACATTAAATCTCATTCGTCTTTCCCTTCGTCACACAAACTTTAACCTTGGTCATATCTTTTGAATGAGAGGATCGAGATAGGGTTTTCATATTATACATGTATATTACCTATGACAAGACCTTTCTAAATATATTATGATTTCTGACCCCGTGACCTTGAAGTTTGACCTACTTGAAAAAATTAAACATGACTTTGAATTGGTCAAAACTTTTGAATGAGAAGAAATAGGGCTTTCATATTAAAAAGGTATATTATCTGTGACAAGCCCTTTTAAATACACTATGATTTTTTGACTTTGAAGTTTGACCTACTTTTCAAAAACTTTAACCTTGCTCATCACTTTTGAATAAGAAGACATAGGGCTTTCATACTAAACCTGTGTATTGTTTGTGACAAGCCCTTCCTAAATACACTATGATTTTTTGATCTTCTGACCTTGTCCTTGAAGTATGACTTATTTTCATGACCTTGCTAAAGCAGGATGAAAATAAACAAATTTAGAATTTCTACATCTATTTCTGGTGCAATGTAGAAAAAATACACACCAACGACAAAAAAATCAATTTTGAAAAAAAGGAAGGGGGGATAAACAAACTTTCTCAAAACTCCATGTCTTATTTTGGACCAGGTGTTAATCTAAACTTGCTAAACTGGAATTTATAATTCATTTCAAAGTTTATAAATAATATATTAATATGTACAGGATGCATATAAAGAAAAGAATACAAAAGTCACTTTTATATCATTCTTTAATAATAATTGAAGGTTGGGATGATATTATTAATTGCCCAGCTTACTAGTATTTAAAAGGAAACCATCATAACAACTGAGATTAAACTTAAAAGTCATTTTCATTTTTAGACTTATTCTGAAAATAGTATATCCCATAAGTTGATAAATCAAAGTAACAAACATTTCTTAAAATGCATCCGAAATATTTCTTCATTCTTAAAATTCCTTTATTTAGCAAAAAAGAGAATCAACAGATAACAGGAAAACAATTTGACTGGACAGCTGGAAATCAGCTTCAGTCATGCTTTGATAGAGCTTGATTCAAACTTGAACTTTTAGCAAATTTTTGAAGTGATAATCTATTTTTTTTTTTTGCCCGAAAACTCAGACAAGACTTGAATCTAGATAAGTCAGGAGTGCACATTGACTGAAAAATATAAACTGATGACTGTAAATTTTGTTAGCATCAGGCTGAAATAAAAGAAAAAAAACAGGCTTATAATAACTGTGGAAACATTTATATTTCATGGGGTTTCCAGTTTATGCAGATTTTGTGAGTCCCTTTTCCTAAAAGTTTGAAGCCTTAACCAATATAATTGACATTACAATGTATACTGTTTCTTTCATAATGAGACGTACACCCAAAACAAATAACATCCAAATGAACCTAAAAAATAATTGCAGATAAAGAATATTGGCCCTCACAAATAAAATGATTCCTCAGTTGCAGCGTATAACAACAATCTCCATAGGAACAACAGTAACAACATTCCAATTCAGTTTCCATGGAAATCATGAGAATTCAAATGAAATTCTTGCTAAACATAGAAAATTGACTAGAAATTGACCTGATTTCTGACAAGCATGATTTGAAGGCAATAAAATTTGTCATTTACATTGCAATTCTTTAAACCTTTTAACAAGTTTATCTTTTCAACATGTAAAATTTCAATATGTTAAATAGAGCAAACTACATGTATATAAAGCATATTTTGAACAGTAAAAAATGTTTATTAATAAATGTGCACCTGTTTATAATGAATCTGTACCCAACCACGATACATATTACTTTGTAAAATACTACATAATCTTACTTACGCAAGTTTTTCTTTCATTTTAAATGTTAAAGCTGAACAAGAATCATACCTAGCCATTCCATATTAGTTTTCCGATCTCAGAAATTAACATGGGGTATACCCTCTGCATTTGATACACCAATTTGCCCCTTTTGGTGGCAGCCTCTTGGGTTGGATGACAAGTGGCCATGTTTTTTAAATTAGGGGAGTAGGGAGATGATTTTTCACTGTTCAATAACTTGAAGTTTCTGCTACAAATTTCATCATTGGAAAAATAACCTATTGGAAATACATCTAATTTTAAAACAGCCTCATCAAATTGTTATATTTATCTCTTCACTCAATAACTACTGAAAGCTTTACACTTAACATATATTTGACTCTGTGCAATTGATGTCATGTTTCTTTGGTAATTTTTCTCCATGGTGAAAGATGCATGCAGTATTTTTTGTCATTAACAGTATCTAACAATGGCAATTTCAGATACATCAAAACAGGTGAAAACTGGAATGCCAAAAATAATGAACCATGACCAAATGAAAGAATTAATATAGGGGCTCTAGGAATAAAAACTAATGGAAAGAAATATGGCAGAAAAAGATTTTTGAATCGTGTTCAGCTTTAATAAACTTGAAAAAAAAATCCTTATAAATGTTATTAAAGTTAACAAATATATAACCTCCATTACAAGCAAAATGAGTATTCTGAAATACAACTGGCTCTTCACAACCTTATTATTAGGACAACAATATTTCCTTAAACCAAAATCAACATTTTCTGTAGGGATATCAAGCTGTGTAGCAATAAGCCAGTAAATACAATAATATGCATAGTGTTTAACATTTATAATTATATAGGTACATGTATACCACTTGTATAAAAATACTTTGTGTACATCGATAAACATTAAAACAAAGCACAAGATTTCATCTTGCCTGTAAAACATCCATAAAACACTGAGGGGAAGAAAATATGTCAACATTAAAAGAAAATGCAGTACAAAATAAGAATCTGTAATCAATAAAACTAAAACATATTTTCAGTTTAAAGAAATTTATCTTTGGTTAGATCTTAAATTCAAAGCTGTGGTAGATTTTTAGAAACTCGAGATACCAGTGTGAACATTTCTGAGCACCAACGTAAGGTAAGAGATATACACGTATGTTGATATACTCACTACACCTGGATATATTCTAGGAATAATATCATTATAAATGAAGCCCATAATAAATTTAAAAAATGGTTAATTTTCAAAATAATTACTTATATAATAATGAAAAATTTACTCCAAGGCCTTGGATCCTATGCCTTTAATATCACAAAAAATATAATACAAACTGAGATGATAAAAATTTTGCTAGCATTATCATAGCTTACTCTAGTCTAATTATACAAAATAACTGAATTGGATTCATTTGATATGTGCTCTAGAAAGAGAGAGAGAAATGTGTGGACATTAACAGTTTACAAAAACAATATCACTGTAGCCTGGGGTCAGATTTCAGAGTGAGCCAAAACAGCCTGCTCCTGGCTGTAAGCTGCCAGTTCCTTCACAAATTCCTCCAATATCACAGCACAGAACACTGCATTTCTAATTTTGGGGGCATCCATGGGGTTCTGAGATATTTCGTGAGGTCTGTTCTGGTAATTAATGTATCGGAATCCCTTTGCTCCCTGGAGAACCTGCAGTTGAGGGCCCTTTTTAGTTGCTCTTTTATCTGGAGATCGGCGAGAGAAAAACTCCGCTAAACTGGACTTCCTTTTGTCTGGAAAACAGAAATACAAATAAGAATTTTTTCAAAAACTTTTCCTCAATAATTATGCAGGACATACCTTTATTATTGTTTTCTGCCATTGTGACATGTTGGAGTCTGTATTGTGACATGTTGGAGTCTGTACGTACCTTTATTATTGTTTTCTGCCATTGTGACATGTGGGAGTCTGTATTGTGACATGTTGGAGTCTGTACGTACCTTTATTATTGTTTTCTGCCAATGTGACATGTTGGAGTCTGTACGTACCTTTATTATTGTTTTCTGCCACAGGTCTGGCTTTGACGGGACTGACAGTGTTTATCCTATAGGGACTTATTGTGACACACCCTAGCCTCCATTCCTCCTCTCGGGCTATAAGTGTCCGCTTGGCTCGGAGAAGGAGTCCATCAAAGTTTGGCACAGTGTAAGCAAAATGATCCACCTTCTGTTTTAGTGAAGTCAGCACCTAATACCAAGCCAAAACTTTAGAGTTTGTCAAGCATTACAGCAGTCAATCAGGCAGAATTAAGGATTGGGTGGGGGTAAGAGTGATCAGTTATATTGCTTGGCAGACATTCAAAGACAGCATTGAGTTGAATGCATGACAAAGTTTAATTTGTATAATTATGGTCATTCAGAAAGGTACTGAATATGCTTTATGTATAGTAAGCATTAAGATATACCAAAATTTATTTTCCTGAACAAATAAATCTTTAAGCATACTGCCATGCAGGTAATATATAAAACATTCAATTCATTAACAGGTTAACTTGCAAAGTAAATTAATACTGAATTTGAGTATTTCATTGGAGTAGCAAGAGACCCAAGGACCACAATGCTGAAGAGTCAGACTAACATACTCCTACGGTCAAATTTTGAATACTGATATATGAACATGTATGTACTTATAAATCCTTAAAACCTCTTTAAAGTCACTTTTAACTTTAATTCTATCCTTACATAGAGATGTTAACATAATGAATCAGTTGCAACTTTTTCTATCTTAACATTTCCCATTATATTATGATACTTAATTTTGACTCCCTTGTGTGGGAAGAACCTGGGGTCTGCTTTACAAAATAACTTACGACTTAACACCAAAATTTGATTCTTTATACGAATTCTAATACTTGATATCACGATTACTTAACTTAGCAGAACTCTTTCGCGATGGAGGTTAGAAACATCTGTTGGATTGGGGCAAATGTGCTATACTGAATACAATGCAAGATCGACCATTGTAGAATTTATAAGGACAGATAAGTAAAAAATCCCAGTGGAATACCTTGCTAAACAATCGCTGAACCAGCCTAATCAATTTTTGAGAGGAGCTAATCCTAAAATATTACATTTTTAACGATATTTTTAACTGAGCGGACTTTTCTCATTAAATTTTCATTGAAAATCATCACATTTTAAAGCTGATAAAATATTCTTAACTTTCCTTATTTGACAATCTTCTATTTGGAGTTCAATTCTTGGCAAGACATTGTACTTTCGGCATAAAATTGTTCGAATCATTCTATTGTCACTATTGTAAACAATGTCATTTGCCCCAAAAATCTTGCGAGATTTCGAACTTTCTCGACCCCCCCCCCCCCCCCACCCCCACAAAAGAGTGGTAGTAAGATAGATAACTGCGAGGTACTTGTGATATTATGTATTAACACATCTTGAAAATAATTTTTATCTCTCTAAATGGAATATTACAAGATATTTTTACACTGGCAATTTTAAACAGAATCATTATGATTAATTTTGGAAAATTGTACAATTAACTGAATTTTTGGTTTTAGTTGTCAGTTCTTTTGTAAAATGGGCCCCTGTCCTGATGGTTCAATCTTTATTCAAAACAAAATTAATGTACATGTATGTTGTACAACTGTTCTTAAAAATAATAAAAAAAAAAAATTAAAACCTTAACTATTAGGGTAAGTATGGTAAGTGAAGCAGCAGGACTAACTTTCCTCTGGCTGTTTCTGAGATTCTCTGATGATATTGATTTGTCCTAGCCCCATACTGCAGCCCAACCATCAGAAGCAATAATTAGAAGAAACTTGACTCTACACTTCTCAAGGAAGATTTCATACAAGTTTTGACTATTCTGGGGGTGTGGCCTACTGGTTCTTCTGGAGATGTTTTTTTTTTAAAAGTATACACGCTATAACTTGCGCCAGTTTAAATAAGATTGGAAATTTATATATTTTGTTTACCAATAAAAGTTATGAAAATACTGTAAATTGCACCATTAAAATTAAACGTGTTATAAAGTTATCAAATAATTATTTTTTATTATCCTGCAAGGAAAGAAAAATGGCTATTTTTAAATAAATCCATCACGTGATGCAGTCGCTACTTTTAGATTGATAAACACACACGGAGTGAAGAAAACAAGGTAGGCCGTTTGAGATACTACTCACTTTTGATGTGGATGGCAAGTGTCTTACTCTTAATGATACTCATCTTTTTACGTAATCAGTATCAACCGTCTACTCTGTTATGACGCATATTAACCTTTTATTAATAATTGTTGCAACATACCTGTTGTCTGTGATTTCCCGTGGACATGCGTGTCTATATATAGGCCTACTGTTTACGCACGTCCTTCATCAATATTCATGAAAAGACTGAATTTTCAATTGATAGATATTGCTTAATTGTTTTGTTATTACAACGACGTCTATAGTAAAATTTTGTTGAAAGTATTATTTTTTAATTACACTTCATGTGTTTCAAATCATTAATCATTTTGTTTCACACCAAATTCGGCATTTATATAGCGTGTATGACTTTAAATGACCCCATCCATTTTATCTAATTCTTTAGTATCAACCTTGAATCTCCTTTACCTACAGATGAGTTATGGCAAGATTGGTTTAAATTCATTCTGAGGTTCTTGAATAGAAGATAAGAATGTGAAAAGTTGGCAGAGAGATTTAGTTATAATTACAGACATTCAAACATACAGCTTTACACAGATCTAAATGTATGGCAATCAGGGATGGGGTAATTGAATAAAGTAATTGTAATTGAGTGTAATTAATTACATTTTTCAAAGTAATTGGAAGTAATTTGTATTTAAGCTTGCCTGCAATTACAAGTAATTGAATGTATTTAAATACATTTCAAAAAAGGTCATGTATTTTAAATTACTTTTCAATTACATTTCAATTACTTTTTTTCAAAATGAAAGTTTATATTTAAAAAAGGTCTCTTATACTGATACATAGTTTTATACTGGTGGTTTTATATTACTTATTCCCATGTTTTATAAATCTTAGTTCTCCCTATTCCCACTTCCAAATAACAATGATTGTTTAGTGATAGTTAATTTATTTTACAGCAATTAGACTAACTACATCCCCTTTTAGATTTACCTGTATTCTATTCATTTTAAGATAGATAATAATGAATGGAATTGTGATAGATATTATTCATTTCCTTCAAAAAAATGGATTTGAGAAAGTAACAAAAAAGATCTTGCCATACACCATACTGGTGTAGCATGGGCTTGTGTTTGTACAATAATTAATTGTCTCATAATGTTTTATTTGTTTATACAGTGTGTCACACTCATTATAAGGTAAAGGTAAAATACTAATTTTGACCAGGTGTGAACCCCTATCATACCCAAGAACAAAAACACTGAATGAAAGTTCGAATTTGATCGCTATAGAAAAAATCTTACTTAAAAAAATCTTTATTTTTTTTTATGAAAATAAAAGAGTAATTGAAATGTATTTAATTACATTTGTCAAAGTAATTGAAAGTAATTAATTACATTTGAAAAAATCAATGTAATTGTAATTGCAAGTAATTGACAAAATTATCAATGTATTTGAAAGTAATTAATTACATTTCAAAGTAATTGACCCCAAGCCTGATGGCAATCATTTTCAAAATACGTCCAGTAGCTCTACAAGCTTACAAAATACTCTATAAGCACAGATGTGAGGTATGAATAGTGTGTAAGAATGTTGTATACATACATGTGAGAACTGTATTCTATATCAAAGACTTTCAAATGCATGTACTTTTGTGCTTACTCAATATGCAAATACATGTACATCAAACAAACAAGACATATATACCTGAAGAAGGGATTTGACTGTGGGTTGGAATACAAGATTATGACTAAGTAAGAAAGACCTAAGAAGAGGCTGGGGATAGGAAGCCAGGCGGGCTATGAGGCCCGTGAGCAGGAGGTTCACAGGGAGGCTGTTCTGCATCATTCCATCCAGCTTGGAAAAGAGGGCCATCAGAAAGGGGCCTGTAAATAAGACAGACTCAAGCATTTTTTCCCCCTTTAAAAATGTATATATATTAAGAAAACTAGAAAAAAACAATCAATTTTTATATTCTAATCAAAAGCAATTTGAAAGTTATATTCTTGATGTTATTCAAAGTTTGTAAGCTTTTAAAAATTTCAACAGTAAGTGAGCTAAATATATTATTAGTAATTTTTTTCTGTTGTTGACCTTGAACATGGAAAAATGACGTTGGGTCAACTCAAGGTTGTGAAACATCCTCAATTTACACATAATCTATGCCTAAAGCATAGACTTCCAATATTTCTTAATTAGAAGGTTATGGACAAGTCATGACTTATTCAGTTTGTAGTTCTTTTTCTTCAAATGACTTTGAACTTGCCCAAACTTGAACTGTATTGCTGACTAACTTCAGTTATTTACAATCATGAATTATAATTTGAATTTTATGAAAGTTATGTCCAAGCAGTGGTATATATATCAATGAAAGCAAACTGTATAAGACCTACTTGTGATAAAATATTGACATATAATGTAGCACAAAAATATGTTGCAACCAGAGTTGCAGTGACATCATAATTATACTAGTATTTGATTATTATCCTAATTAAGTGATCTATTTTTCTTACCAATATTTGGTGCTAGCTTTTCCAAATTTGACACAGCAGGCACAGTGGTGGTATTTTGCATAGAAGAATCCGTTAAATTAAAACTAACAGACTTTACGGCTGATTCATCCCGCGAGGATTTACAATCCGTAACCGTGTCAACCGAGTTCACAGACACCCTGTGTGGCATGGATGACAGGGCAGTCTGAACGTTGACGTCACTGACAAAGTTTGACATGGAGATCTCTACATAGCTGGTGGTGTCTTGTGAGGAATTTCCTCTGGAAGGTTCCAGCCCTTCCCCATCCTTAGTGTTTATAACTTCAAATGTTGTCCCATCACACTTGGCTTTATTAGAATCTCTAAGATTAGAATCAGTACAAGTCACAGGTGTGGTATCACTAGTTAAACTGCTGCTGTCTGTTTCGGAACAAAAACTATGAAGAACCAAGTCTAAAGAACCTAAACTTTCTTCAAAACTGTTTTCCATATCTGGTGGAGTGGCCACCTCATCCAGATATTGGACAAAGTCCTTTAGATTTTCTGGATGAGCCTTATAACTGTCTGAATCATAGCTCCTTAGAATGTAGGATAAATCAGGAACAGAGGACTGGCAAGAATTACTAAACACCTCATCAACCTCGGAGGACCTCATCATGGAACCAACATCGGAGCCACTCAGGTCTTCTGATAACAGAGAACCGGCACCACCATTACACAGTCCTGTATCTGCTGAGAAACTCTCCTGCCTGGAGTCTGACTGGTTAGCTAAGTCCTCTAAGGCACTCATTGATGGTGACTGACCGTCGTAAGGATAGGCCCATCTCTGGCAGGCTTTGGCACAACTCTCAAGCTGACATCTAGCTTCTTCTAAGTAGTCATAATAATTAGTCTCATAATGTTCCAGCTTGCTTCCAAATGTCCCTGGTGGAAATGCTGTACTTGGTTGATCTGTAGCTACAGTGGCTGACCTTTAAAATGTACAAATTCAAATTCTTAGAATATACAATCAACACTTTATCTGTTTTATGAATTAGAAGCTCCCCTTATAAATCCGCATTGTAGTTGTTGAATATTTTACATGCATACTTTCATAAAACAGATGTTGCAAATGTTTAGATACTGTAGACGTACTTTTTTCCACGGAGCCATAATTCCGCGGAATCCCAATTTCTGTTTAATCCACGGGTAGGAAATTACGCGGATTTTCTACATTCTCACTATATGCCTTACATTTATATTAAGTACGCTTGGACAAATGTCCGCGGAAAATATTTGATCGCGTACATAGCGTAAATTAATACCACGCGGAAATAGGTACTTCTACAGTACTTATACCATGCAAAGGTGTTAATTATACTTCATAAAGAGCATGGCATTAATCAAAAGAAATATCAATTATATTTAATATAATTATTGTTCGCATGCCATATAAATTCAAAAATCAAAAATATTTTTTTCTACTCCTAAAAAGATATTAGCTATATAATATGACAGTAGGATCAACTGAATAATTGAAGTTTATCAAAGTTGAAAATTTGAATTTTGAAGGACTCTTTTAAATACGATTGTATACTTGCATATTACATAAAGCTACAGGTGAATTATGGTAAAATGAAAGGATAAAGACATGGAACATGACGACTAGGGAATTAGGGGCTGTGATGTGGTTGTTAGTGTGTTAGTAACAAACAGATTTACCTCTGTTTTTGATAATCCCTCTCCTTTTTTCTTGCTCTGAGAAAACTACTCAGGCCATGTTTAGGGCGATGTGATGTGTTAGCGTCACTATGGTTATATCTACATACAAAACATACACACATGCCACACTCCCTGACAATTATCTGCACTTCCTTAACATTATATCTATTGACTATTATCTGCACTTCCTTAACATTACCGGGTACATCTATTGACTATTATCTGCACTTCCTTAACATTATATCTATTGACTATTATCTGCACTTCCTTAACATTACATCTATTGACTATTATCTGCACTTCCTTAACATTATATCTATTGACTATTATCTGCACTTCCTTAACATTATGTCTATTGACTATTATCTGCACTTCCTTAACATTATGTCTATTGACTATTATCTGCACTTCCTTAACATTATGTCTATTGACTATTATCTGCACTTCCTTAACATTATATCTATTGACTATTATCTGCACTTCCTTAACATTATATCTATTGACTATTATCTGCACTTCCTTAACATTATATCTATTGACTATTATCTGCACTTCCTTAACATTATGTCTATTGACTATTATCTGCACTTCCTTAACATTACATCTATTGACTATTATCTGCACTTCCTTAACATTATATCTATTGACTATTATCTGCACTTCCTTAACATTATGTCTATTGACTATTATCTGCACTTCCTTAACATTATGTCTATTGACTATTATCTGCACTTCCTTAACATTATGTCTATTGACTATTATCTGCACTTCCTTAACATTATATCTATTGACTATTATCTGCACTTCCTTAACATTATATCTATTGACTATTATCTGCACTTCCTTAACATTATATCTATTGACTATTATCTGCACTTCCTTAACTCTAATTATAACATTCCATCTAAGTCTATCTATATTTGCTTCAATTTGTCTTGTTTTATCCCAGCTTCCACTATTTTCTATGTCATAAAATGTGACATAATATCACACTAAGGTTCACATCATGTATATTTTACTCTCATATTAATTGATTGTCTAGTCTACCACTTTATGTGCTCATATTGAGAGACCAGAGTTACAGTTCCTGTTTAAGTATCATTACAGTCAATACCAGTGGCTTGTTCCACTATCTTGGATCCTTTGTGTATCATAATAAAGCCACAATACCGTCATATATAAAAACAAACACCAACATGCAGATAAAAGTCTTATTAATGGATTATTGACATTTTATGACATATGCTAGCAAAATAAACTTATTAAGCAAATAGTAGTAATATTTTTTTAAATTCCAAAAACTGTGAACATTTCAAAATTGTAAGACAGCAGAGACAATGTGTGTATTTTTTTTTAAAAAATGAAGACAAAATTTGTTGTAAAATGCAACAGAAAACTCTGCAGTGAAGTTTGTCTGGTATACAGGTTTAGTACAGTAAAACTCTGCTGAGTCTGCTAGCTCTACTCAAATGAACCTACAAGGACTTGTTACATTTTTTTACTTTGACAGATTTCTCTGAGAGATGACAATGCTTCCTTCTTTAATAACACAGAAATAAACAATACTATATATTAAATAATCTTATTTTAAAAGTTTCAGTTAAAGGATATCTGATCCTCAGCTTGGAAGGATAACTCTTTAAATCTTTATTCAATTGAAAAAGGCTAAAAATTAAGCTTGAAGTTGAAATCTTTTTGTGCAACAATTTTCATTTCAAACATCTCATTATGATTAAAGATTCTTTGAAGTCTTAGAAAGAGTCTTTTAAAAATTTGACATTTCAGTCAACATAATTATTTCAACAAAATGATGCTTAACTTTCATACCAGGTTTACTGAAATCTTTCAAAAACTTGCACGAGTAGTGATTTGAAAAATCGTTTAAAGACAGACAATACACATTCTACAAATGCATAGTTTCTCTGGTCAAGGACCAGTACAGTAAATAGAGTACAAAATAAGTCTTTATAATACATCAGTGTGGCATACTGAACATGTATAATATACCCTGTATTACAAAGGAATTAGCTACTTACTTCTCTTGTATGGGAGGTCCTTTCTTTCCTATTAATTCAGCTCTGCAGCAATTTGGACGGAGTGAAAGAAAGCGTTCTGCACTTTTACAGTGAAGGTCAAGGTCACTGACATTACGTCGCTGACTGACCATGACATGTGTACATGGAATGAGGTACCTGTTAATTGTAGAATCAAATAATCAAATACACCAGTATGTAAATTAAACATTCATTGAAAGACAGAAAGTTTTAAGCATGTAAATTACCTGAAGACAAGCTGGAACATGACATCTTCACAGTTTAGGTCAACCAGAGTTTTAAAAAGTGACAATGATACAACACAGAGTGGCTACAAAATAAAGAGTTCTGATATAATCTTTATATGAGTAGCTGCTCTAGATCTTAACATATGTTGTCACTTTTTTAATTGCAAAAATTTTTTTCGAAAAAAAGTTTTCTAGCTTACATGTACATTACTGTTATTTTTTAACTTTGAATTTTATTCCCATGTAAAAATCACTTACCTTTGAGCTGCTATTTATACGAGTAATTAGGGAATCCAGAATGACAATTTCATCATTCTGCTCCATAAGGATAAACTTAAGAAAAGTGCGTAGCAGGTTGGGCTCTGTAGTTTTTCTCAGGAACAAATCTAGGTAGGCAGTGGCAGCTATAACCTCCTCTCTTGAGTTCTACAATGATTAAATTATACTTCTATAACATTCACTAGCATCAACTCTATATCAAACACTCAAATCAATCAACTGCTAAAAATATATTTCATGATGTGATTCTTTTCACAAGATTTAGGTGGATACACTGATAATATCATTTCAGTGGAATTATGAATCTGTTAAATATTTACTAATCTCTTTGTAGGTATAATTACAAAACAATAATGATTTACTTTAGTTTTGGTCACAATTTACTTATACAATACAGTTACAACAGTTTTGTCATTGCTGGTAAAAAATAGCACAGTAACAAAGGACTCTCTAATTGGCTTCGGGAGTTTAATGGAACAACACAGGCATAGCTTATCAGTGACAAAGACCGTTATACTAGAGAAGGGTTAAAGAGATGCAGCATTCTCAATATGTCAATCCTATTTTTAAATATGAATCTTTAATAGAAATCATATTTTTTTTTTTACATCAAGTTTATAAAGGAAAAATAATTGAACAATGGTAATTTTTTTCATGCTGTACCAATTTAAAATTGATTTCAGCTTTTTAATATTTTATTTTTATCAATATCTATTTTATTACCCTTACAAGGACACTTAATAATACATGTAGTTATTACGTAGTGCAACAGATCTAATTCATTTGATCAGTTACCATGTAACACAAAAAATAAAATTTTTTATATTAACAGATGTGTAACAGTTTAATTAAACTTATTAAATTTGTTATTACTATATTTGTTAATGAGAGTTTTTATTCTTAATACAGGTATATAATTTTATAAAATAATAAGTGCATATTGGAGCAAATATATATGTGAACATACTTAAAGTTTCTGTCATTAAAAAATTAATCACATCCAAAAGAAGAAAAACTACACAGTGTGAAAAATTACTATTAAACAACATTCGTCTTCAACTAAAGATAAAAAAAAACATATTTTCATGAATCATAAAACCGAACTAACACATGAAAAAATAAAACCATCCCATTTCTCTGTAAAATGCATAATAAAACAAGCATGCATGTATGATAAAACAAAGAAACAAAAAGCTGAAGCAAAGGGCGACCATGATGCACATGAAGACAAAAATTAAAAGCTTACTGACCGAAAACATGGGTGAATCGACAAGTGTCAACGGAAGCCCCGAAATGTCCTAAAGGAAGAGGCACAATGGGTTAGTATCCAAAACATCAACATTGCTAGCACCCCAGTATACCACATCATGTTACGCAGATCATGTTACGCAGAGTGCAGTGAGAAATTTATTGTTGTAATTAGATTTTTATGAGTGAGAAATAATGAGACTGGCTTTTTTTCCAATTATAAGAAGGCATTTTTTTCTTTTCTTTAAACTTGTTAATAAGCTATCAGTTAAATTTGTTTTGCAAGAAGAATTTTGTGAATTTGTGATGTGCATTGAATAATGACAGGATTAAGTAAGAGAGCTAGGTTATAAATGGTCTTTTATAAGATAAACGTGTATCGTACATCATCACATATACACTTATAATACATGTACAATAATGTACACAAATATAGAATACAAATGTATTGTACAAGTTGTAAATATATTTCTATTAACTTGACAGATATTGACATGCATCTTTACTGATTGATGCTATAAAGAATAAATACTGGTTACTACTACTGCCACAGAGGTTCTATAAGCCATATATTTACATTTGCAAATGTTTTCCTTTATATAACACTACTGAAAGCAATGCATATCTATAACTGTATAAATACAGGTACGGGGTCAAGAGGTCATAGATGTGCGTTTGGATAAACGTTCGACTTAATTTCTCTGTGACGTCATAAAGGGTCGACACACGTTCAATGGATTACATACATGCCGTTGGGTTTGAAAAATAACGCATTTCACACGTTAAAAGTCACAATCAGGCAAATATAAAGTATGAATAAGTCACACATGTAAATATAAATTATAAGGTATCATTTTAAAACATCTATCGGGCTATAAATACCGGTTGATACGAGATTAAATTCATCAAAGAAGCCCTTTGGGCTTAATGGAATTTAATCTCGTGACCAACCCGTATTTATAGCCCGATAGATGTTTAAAAATGATACCTTATTTCTTAAATAAATACCTAAATAGATTGGATTGTATTTTCTTATTATGTTCAGGGAAAATATATGCTATGGGCGCTACTCACAATAGCTGCGAGTTTACATTGAAGCAGAAATGGGTCAATGTAAGCATGTGAAACTGTAGTGTTGGGTAGGGTTCAGAAATTTGTATGTGTGTGTTAGCTTGTGGAATTTGAAATTAACATTCAGACCTTAAACTGTATTAGCATGATTAAGCAGGTAGTGTTGGGAGAAGTGCATTTAGAATGAACATAAATTTAACATAATATACATGTATGCTTACTTTTGATTCATCATTCATCTTAAAAACACAAATTAAAGAAAATAAACATTATCCTAACAAAAGCACCCCACTAAAGTATAAAAAAAATTATGAAGGAATTCAACTTCTGCTGTTCCCGGCCCTGATCTTACACCCTGGTAAATATGCAGCCTCTGACCTACTAATCAGGTATGCCATTGGACCCAGAAATAAAGAACACATTCTTACAGGATGGTGGACCCACTGTGATCGGCATGCCCATTTACGCACAATACAAAATGGAAACTTTAACAAAAAGAGAATCAGTGCTTTAGTGTTTTGAGGCATTCAATCAATTTTACAAAGAAAATAGGAAATATGAATCAAATTTACTATTTTGCTGAAAAGTTTCCAATATCATTTGCAAATTCAATTAAATCTTTACACAGAAATTTCAATTATCAAATAACTGAAAGCCATTTATCCTGTTTATTTGGTATGATATTTAATTTGTATGTATTGTCTCATATTTATATGGCAGAGTTTCAGTTTATATCAAATAAACTGGTGACAGCATTATCATTATAAAATGTTTAAATTGAGAACATGTCTGTAAAGAGTTTAAAGATTAAAATATGACGGTGTTCTATAAAGGATACAGAAATAATAAAAATGACAAACAAATTAAATAAATCCACATGTCTTATGCTGTAATAGTCATATAGTGAGACTTATTATTATGTTTCAAATTATCTCAATTCAGCAAAATTTTAAAACACTTTAAGTGTCATCTGTAAAAAAAAAAGTAAACATTCATAATAGTTCTTATTAGGAAAGTAAAAGTGAACTGAGCAAAAACATTATACATCATGGAAGGAGCATAAAACACATAATTTATTTAACTGGCCTGGATATGAAACCAAAGACCACAACTGACATCAACACTATAAACATGGATATATATCTGTACAAAGTTAGAAACTGACTTATGATTAACAGCAGGATACCTGATGCAGTGCTGGTCCAAGGACAGGCACCAAGAATCCATCGTAGATAAACTTTATCAGCTGAGTCCGGATTGCTGGATGACTGACCTACAAAGCATCAGAAATATCAATGTCTGACAACTACAGAATCATGTGCTTACTTTGTTATACAGACAATGGATAGTTTAAAACTGTACTTTGATTTTATATATATAAGGGACAGCATTCTTCAACTCTACAGGAGTAAAGATACTTAAAATAGTGCAAAAAACAAGTGAATGCAAAACGTATGTGCAGTTTTGCTTTTCACAGCTTATCTGAATCTCTTGAATAAGCAAACCTGTGTGACAGCATTGCAGAACTCTAGGGAGTTGAGAAACATTTGTAGTTCAGGGACCAAGCTAATATCCTCCTGAGAAAATTGATGCCATTCATCCGTATAAACAGGGATTTTTCTTGGAAGTGAAGAATACAAACCACTTAAACCTGTCGCAAGAACCTGTAGTATAAAAGGAAAAATTCCATGATAAGTACTTGTCCATGAAACGACACGTTGTATCAAGATAAAAGCTAACTAGTTTCATTTATACTTCATATAAATTAAAAGTATGACAATTTGTTAACATTTAAGTAAGAGAGAGAAAAAAATAGTTTTAGTTTTACATGTAAGCACTACTTACTGGACAGAAGTCGGAGTTTTCTGCAATATAGAGTCCAATATGGGGATTCCTGGCAGAGATAGTCATAATCAATAACAGAGCATCCCTTGCCTGCTGACCAACCTTGCCTTCTCTATGTATGTACGGAATTAAGAGTGAAAAGATGAGGAATTTAGTAGGACCATGATTTGTGCTGGCATTGAAGAAACTCTCCAGAATGACGGTTTCCTGGGAAATACACACACACAGCTGATGAAGCACCAGAACTAGACGACTCTCGATGTCACTCGTCTTACTCCCCTCAGCACACAAGTACAAGAGTCTCAGTAGAGGCTGTATGATGGCCTTGTGAATCAGAAGCAGCTGCTGAGATTGACTAATAAGCTGCTCAAAAATCCGTAATTGCTCACACTTAAGCTTGTCCCCATTCATTGAATTGTAATGACACCAGTTACAAAACTGGTCAAAGATATCCTCTTCTAGAAGGTAATGGAGTATAGGACCGGGCATGCCTTGTCCATTTTCGTCTAAACCTACTTCACCAACCAGCAAATTAATCATTTGTTCCACATTCTGCAGAACTGCTTCTTGTTCATCTGTACTGCACACTTGACTGTTAGTTGAGCCATTCCCTCTTTTGATAATTGATAAGGCCTGTTTCCAGTGATTCTGAAAGACTTCCAGGCATGTCTGAGGGTCTGTATCTGCGCGCGAGCGAGCTTCTGCCGAATCATCACTGGACTGACCTGAGGCCTTGGAGTCGTTCCTTCCTCGCTTAAACCACGACATGACACTGGGTGGCTAAGCTTCTCCCAGATCCTGAAAAAGTGTATTAATTTTAAACTGTTAATGTACCAGATGTATAATTAAACTAATACCACTGACTTGCATTTTTTCCTTCTTCATAAACTTTTATGATTCCTTTGTAAACAAATTGTTCAAAGTTTATAATTACTAGTATTAGTATTTCATAGAATTCGACTCTCTGGAACCACTTAGGTATATATTCAAGGCCAGCATAAAGGGATACATGAAAAATGTCCATTAACTGTCCTTAAATTCCCTTCACAGTATTGATTATAAATTTACAAAGAAATTTTGGTGAGAGAATGACTTTGCCAGGCTGGAGAAATCCTGTCTGACTAGCAAATATTTCCCAGTGAATCTCTTTGGTCCTAGCCTTGCTCTGATGTGCTCAACCATAACTACAACTTGGTAGAAAAAGTTAGGCTGATTAATTGACCAATCAAAACTCCTTTTTTTCCATAGGTATAAAAAGCACTGAATGTCATTTTGAGAATTTTTCCTAAATTCTAGGACAAGAGAGCCAAGCTTCAACTAGAATAGCATCCTATTACTGGACCAGGATGCAATGGATAATTATTTAGCCCTGAAGTGGCATCATTCATAAAGATAATAGTAAGAGAGAGAGAGAGAAATTAACAAGTTCATTCTATGATGGAAAACCTGGCCTCCCGAGAAATGATAGCTTAAGGGTTTGTGGGGAGTGAAGTGGATTGGAAACCCTTTGCTTGTGAAGACGGAACAGCAAAAGCCCTATTAAAATTTTGGGTATACTTTACTTTACTGGTACCCAGATCCACAAGATCCTCGCACTCATTGGACTATGATGCAACATTTACGTCACTCAACTAATAAGGGTTAGTCTTGCACACTACTCAACTGGTTAAGTTTAGTCTTGCATTCACCTTAGAGATTAAGGTTAGTCCTTGCACAAATATTTGATTCATTAGGGTTAGTCTCACATCCATCTGAGAGATTAGGGTTAGTCCTTGCACATTTTTGACTGATTAGGAATAGTCTAACAGCTGCGAAGGAGATTTGTCTATTAATGTCTTAGTCCTTGCATATAATCTAAGAGATTAGGGTTAGTGACTCGTTCTTTCGGATAAATTAAGAAATTCAGTTGCTTCTGTTAGTTTGCAAGATCATAATTCAGCTTCAACAGAATTTCAATGGTTTGTTTACTTAGAAAAATGGCTTAGTACAAACATGACGAATGCAATGGCAATAAGCATGGGCCACAGGCTCTCTGTTGACAATTATTTTTTGTTGATTTTTTAAGTCAATCATTATTAATTTTTGTGAGAGATTGAGGGTAAAAACTTCATTTAAAAGCAAGTTTAAAACTAAACTTTTAACCTAGGCCAAAAACCTCATACTTTAAATTTTTTTCAATTGTTCACATGATCTCATATATGCTGAAGCTGCCTTCAGCGGCACTACAATTTAGTGCATTTTACTGGGGACCAGTAAAGTCGTTCCAAAATTTTGGTCATTAAATCATTTACACACAAATTATCATGATTATAATTACTGAAAAAAAGATATCTATATTTTATTCATGAGAACCAGGGACCTATATACTAACTTGTTAGTATATAGGTCCCTGTGAGAACTAAAATTTCCTTCACCAACTTCAATTTACTTTATTTAGAGTGGCAATTCTTTAGCATAAAAAAGTGGAATCTTCTTCACCCTAGTTCTTGGTGTCGTTGACAGGTCCAGTACAATCTCTTGATTTAGCTATATAGCTTTAAATAGCTATATAGCTTTATTAAGCTATTCAAAATAGCTTTATTTAGCTATTTATGTACAGTTTTTCACAAAAATGTTTTTTGCTGAAAATAAACAAAATTTCGCATGTATTTGACTCTTCATACATGTATTATGGACTATTAAAACAACAACCAAAATCAAAGATAGTTCTAACTTTGCAGCTTTTGAATACTTTAAAGCAAAAAGAGAATTTCTGTCAGACTAACTGTACCTTTGGTGCCTTGAGGCAAGGAAAAGGATGATTGCACTCAAATACCAATATATTGTTCAACATAATTGCATATAATATCACAGAAGTTATTATTTGCTTTATATAAAAACACTATTACCGTACAAAGTCTCTCAAGGAGGCGTAATTTGACGAGTGATTTTTACATGCATTATTTTAAGACGAGTTCAAAGTTGTATATAATCACTGCACCAAGGTGCACTTTTTTGTACATACTGAGAAAATTACACCTTTAAGAAAAAAGTGTAGTAAAATAGCTAAATTAAGCTATACTGAATAGCTTAATAGTGAGCGCAGCGAGCTCAATAGACTAACGTGTAAGAACAGAGGAAATTCGGATTGAAATCTAATTAGCCAAATTTTATGTGCAACATTAAAATTTGCACTACCCAATGTCCTTTGCGCGAATAAATCAAAAATAGTAAAAAAAATAAAGATTTTTCTTACCGAAAGAACGAAATTTCTGCTTTACCTTATTCAAAAAAATACCCCCATGCAACAACACTGGCCTTCACCTTGCCCTTCGGAAATGATAAAATGGACGTCACCGGAAACTTACGAATTTTGACGATATGCTAATTAAGTCATGTCGGTTGCTTCCGTGAAATAGATAAATAAATAAACAATAACGTAAAGCATAAAAAGCTTTTAGTTCCTGGAAATCTTTCAAAGAAACAAAAAATAATGCAATTTTTCTTGACCCAAATTGCACTAGGTCTATAGTTTCAAACAGACGCTCGGCTGTTCTTACGAACTCCGTGACGTCGTGTGACGAGGAACAATGTGCGGCTTGATGTTTGAAGTGGCTGATCAATTTTTTGTGTTTTTGAACAACTGCGCTCACACAACGGTCACACCGTAAAACATTTAGCTATATAGCTATTTACACACTATATTGTAGACGTTGCCTGAATTTAGCGAAAGTTACCTCCCATTAGCATAAAACAGTGATTTTCCCTCTTTGTCTTACCAAGTTTAAGAAAATATAGCAGAAATATTTGGTGGAAAATCTTCATCAAATATTTTTTCTCATTAGACTGTCCAAAAATTTATATACTTCATAAAAATAATGATTTCTAGTTCAAAATAGCAAATATAAAGATTTTAAACTGGTTGAACAATGAAGGAATATGAGCATTTGGACCTTGGGATCACACATCAAGTAACTCTTGGTGAAAACAATTTAGCCATCAAGAGATCTGACCTGGTTGCAATCAATGAATTGCAAATTGTATAATTGTGTAATTTCAATTTTCATTAAGAAAGCCATAAAACTAACGGTCGATCACATACGAATATTTACAAGTACTTCATTCTTTTGATTGGCCTTAAGGAAATGATTTTGACATATTTTGGTCAGTCCTTTATTTATAAAATTCTGCATCATTTTTAATCTAACAAAACATTTCTTGAGTGCAAATTTAACTATATTCAATGAAAAAACCGCGATTAAATTCCCTTCAAGTAGAATTAACACACTATATTTTGTGGCAAGGGAGAAAATGATCAGTTTTTCCATTTTGAACTATAAAGTATTGTTAGTTTTGATTTTGATCCTGGTTGCACACAAAGCTGTTTTTTGCAGTGAAATGTGTTATTCTGGTTCTGAAATATCTATTAAATTATTTCTTATGAATTCTATCAACAAAGTGTGACAAAGAGAGAAATACAACAAAATCCAGGGAAAAGAGCCAAATTTAACGTAAAATTGACACTTTTTTAGTAATATCTGAAAATTTACATCATATACCCCAACTTTTGATGTTCTTTTCTAAATATTCAAGATAAATTTGACCTATTTGCTTAAAATCAGAAAAAGTTTAAGACATTAAAATAATTTTCTTGCTTATTTAAATTTCAACGCCAAAAAAAATCATATTTTATTAGTGCACCAAATAATTGATTAAAAATTTGAAACTTTTTCTTAGTCACAATTTTTAAGTGTCTTTTTTTAAACAAACTTAGAGTTCATTTTGTTTCAAGCTTTAATTGGATAAAAATATTGAAGGGAAAATGTCAAAAATGTAATTTTTAATTAAGACACAAATTTCAGTGCAGAAAGGTCATATTAAATGTATTGTAGCGAAAAGAAATTATTTTTTTTATTTGAATTTTAATTAAGCTATGAATGCAGAAAGTAAAAATATACTTGGCAAAAAAAGTTTAAGACTTTAAATATCAGGATCGAACATCGTTAAATATTTTAAACCATATGAGTGATGGCCTGTCAAACACTGTTTTGATACCGTTCCATAACAAAACACCAAATACATATATTAATCAGCGATTGCATAGGAAAACAGAGTTATTTTTCATATTTAAAAACATATTACCGTAAGCTTACCATGAAATATTCTACTGTTTACATATTTGGGGTGTTGTAGACTGTGTGGCCATTCTGTCGTCCATTTTGCTTTGAAGGTCAAGGCTAAATAGTGAAGAAGTTTACAAATTATTCTTTAGAGTAGGAGCATAGATTTTTAATCTAATTAAGATTTTATCAGTGTCATTAAAATTTAACGCGTTGGTTGAATTTGATTAGTTTTAAAATTTTAGTGGAGAACTACATTGCGGATGTATATGAAATTCGCACCATGACTTCCGGTATGAATTAAAATGGACGTTGAAGATCTTTGGAATTTATTGGCAATGAGTAATACAGTGCTTCTAACTAATCCTGTGAATGATGAAGAATGAGACACCAATTTTATAAAACAACGAAGTTTTTCCTCTCTTTTGAACATAATCATTTTCTTGAAAAGGGAAGATGTAAGGTCTAAGTCGCGATGTTCTTATCTGTAGGATGGATGAACAATCATTGAATGAATTGCTTGAATGTTCTGTGTGTCTTGAACGTTTAGATCACACAAGCAAAGTTTTACAATGCCAACACACATTTTGTAGACGTTGTTTGGATGAAATCTATAGCACAAAACGCGAACTTCGCTGTCCAGAATGTAGAACTATAGTTGAAGTACCAGTGGAAGAGCTACCCTCAAATATTTTGCTCATTAGACTGTTAGAAGGACTAAAAACTAAAAATTCTGAGCGATGCAGGTCTCCAAGAAGAAATCATGAACATTCCTCCTTTTGGGATCACACATCAAAACAGGTGAAAACAATTTACCATTGAAATCTGATTGCAATTAGGAATTTTTGAACTGTGTATCATAGAAAATGTTGGTTTCATCAAAATCTTTAAATAAGAGAAAATACTCCAAAGCCTTCTGACAGAAATGTGTTGACACTTGAGTATATGCATTAGACTGAATCAACCACACATTTCCTTGAGTACTGTCCTTATTGGTGGCTAAAGAATGTAATGGAATTGACACACAAGAATATGTGGCAAGGGAGAATCACTAGCTAGGGTGATTTTGACAAGAGCAACAATGACAGCTAGAGCAGGGGGAGAAGGAGCAACAAAATAAATGAGCAGGAAAAATCAGAGAGAAGAGCAACAAAGTTAGGGAGAGGGAGGTTAAACACCATCCTCACCTTGTTGCTCTCATTCTCACTCCTTTACATTGTCGTTCTTCTCTTTGTTTCGTACTTTGTTTTCTTTGCATTCAGATTTTCACTCAGTCCAAACATTTAGCCCCTCATCTTCAAAGCAAGATAACAAGTGGTTTCGTACACCCTACATTTAAAAATCTGTCGTTGTGCTTCGGACTTGGATTTCATTGCATGTTCTGTATGAAATTTACATATTCTTTTCTTTGAATATATTAAGAAAATTACATAATCTGATAACTTTTCCATAATGAGAAAAGAAATTATTTTTGATTTCTTTTTACTTTCAGCAGATTGGAAATTCAAGTCAGCCATCAGCCAGAGCACTGTACAATTATGAAGCTTCAGAACAAAGGTATCTCTGAAGTAATCTGAACTATTCTTTATAAATGACTTGTTGAGTGGAGGGTTTGACTTCTGGTAGAGCATGTACTACAGTGACAAATATGAATGTTTTACCAGTAATTGTAGAAGTATCTTTCTTAATATTCAGTATACTAAAGCTAATGCATTTGTCTGTTGTTGTATTTCAGTGATCTGTCTTTTAAGAAAGGGGATGTCATATTACTCAAGAGACAGGTGGACGAGAATTGGTATCAAGGGGAATCAAACAACCAGCAAGGATTCTTCCCTGCATCTTATGTCAAGGTAAATATTCAATTTATAACTCTTATGTTAAAAGGTAAATACAAAATTTGTGCCTCTTGTGCGAAGGGATTTTTGAAATTTAAGCCTCATATGTTGTTAGGTATGCAATTTCTTTCGCCTGCCACATTTATTTTTTATCAAATTGCCTTTTTTTGCATCATATTTTGCTATATTCAGCATATTGCAACTTTTCTTAAGTTTACAAAATTAATCAAACAAAAGGGGTGTAACCAGCAGTGTGACGATAAGCTCAAATCATCATCATCAATATGCGCATTCAACATGTTCAAAGATTGAATAATTATATAGATTTCACAAAGACATATATATAAATGTTTCAGGTGATTGTATTCTGTGACTATACCTCATCTGTATATAAATGTTTCAGGTGATTGTACCTTTACCTGTGACTATGACATCTGTATATAAATGTTTCAGGTGATTGTACCCTTACCTATGACTATACCTCATCTGTATATAAATGTTTCAGGTGATTGTACCCTTACCTGTGACTATACCTCAGTGCAGGGGTCTGTATGACTTTGACGTGGAGGAGGAAGATGACAAGAAAGACTGTCTGTGTTTTAAGAAGGTAAGGGAAACTTAACTAAGCATACCATGTAAAGTGACAGCTGGTACCTGTGCCTTACATTTAAAACCCTACATGAATGTCATTTGCTTCTCTAGAATGGTATTAAATTTACAGAGACTGATAAAAATCCATGATAAACCTTATAGATCTGAAAGTAAGAATAAGCTCTTTTGCATGTATCATGGTGTAAAGTGAGACATGAGCAGAAAGAAATATTTTTCAGTTAAATATGAATTTAAACAGCAAGTGTCTAGGTTTCTTACCTGAGTTAAATGCTGAAGGAGGAAATTATCAGGTGTATGTTTTGCAGTGTGTGTTGCGTGTTTGTAAAGAACTATTAATAAAGCATTTCAGTATTTTCAAGCAAACTTGGATATACCTGTATAAAGTACCCTTGGATAAGGCACATTTATTTTTATTTTTATTAAATTTCCCTTTCACCCCAAATATGAGAAGGTCATTTCTTAAATGCATTATAAGAAAGTAATTTTTAAAAATTAAATATTTGCACCTTTCTTGCAGGATGAAATACTGACTGTGATAAAAAGAGTGGACAGCAATTGGATTGAAGGGAAAAAGGGAGACAAAATCGGGATATTTCCAATATCTTTTGTTGAGGTTTCTATTTTATCTATATTTAACTCACCTGAGCCAAAGGGTGAAGGGAGCTTTTCTGATCAAAGTTGTTTCTAGTCCATCAATATCAGTATATGTCTTTATGTTCTCTGTGACCCCTCTCATTTTGAATGTTTGTCTAGAACGCTGAACCACAAAGTTTCAAAGAGTAGTCTTAATCAAGGAAACATTTTTATCAAATGAAGAGCAGGGCTCGACATTAACGCTTTCCGCTTGTCTGGTACCAATGAGAAAAAATTACGGGCAAATGAATATTGCTGAGCACTTGTCTGATTGGACAAGTGATTTTTCTATGTAAAGAAGTCTTCAAATAATAATAAAAAAAAAAAACTATTGTAAAGTTTATCGAATAAAAACGGAAGCAGTACATAAACCCGAATTTCGATCCCGATATCAATCGCTATGTAAGTTCACACTTGATCGGGATCGATGTTCACTAATTGCAGCCATACTATTGGATGGTGTGGATCTTACGACATTTGCGAGTTTGGAATATATTTGATTGATATTACAGATTCACTTGCCAACATTTATGCTGTTGTCAGGACAGGAAGTCTACATAAAATTTTGTTTTATATATTTGTCTTATTTATCAATAACAACACTAATAAATCAAGCACATTTAATTTTTTAATTGTTTTCAAGTTGACCAGGGACCTATATAATTAGTATATAGGTCCCTGGGGAGGTCAACATTACCGCTACATTGCCAAAAATTTCAACTCATTACGGCTACATTTCTTCAGATTTTCGACCGATCATTACCACTACATTTTTCTGGCAAAAAACAACTCATTACCGCTACATATTGAATTAGCCAAAAACAACTCATTACCGCTACATATTGATTTAGCCAGGTTTGGTTCGGTATATGAGTTCTAATCAACAGAATTTGGACAGTGGTTGAAAGATTTCTTCGGTTTGGGTTTTTTTGATCCTCGAGAAGTTGAAGAGTGCTTTGCGTTTGATGTGTTTTCCGAAGCACATTGAACGGTCATCGTCATTTCCACATACAATTTGGGCAGATGCGGATGTTGAGTGTGAAAGTTTTCACAAAGAGTTCGGCACAATGTTTTACAGTTCACATCCTTGTATTTTTGATTTTTTGACAAAAGAATCAGTCTGTCCAGACAAAAAGTTACTTGAAAATGCGTGCTGCAAGAAACAGGATTCTCCCAGGATGAAAAGAGAAAAAGGACACAGCGCAAAAAGGGAACTGAAAGCTATATACGACAGTGGGGAAATGACAAGGCAACAATATGTAAAGCAAATGGCTTTCAAGGCTTTACCGAGTATGTAAAAAACATTTGACAAATCTTAGTTATCTATGAAAAGTGCTTGATCTTAATTTTTTGTGTTTTATGAAATAAAATTGATTTTAATTAAAAAAAACAACATCCTGTTCAAAGTCCTACGTTCATCTACCTGTGGTGAGCAGAAGAAACGGTTCTTATGCATGTATAGGTTGTACTGTCCACGAATAAGTGGCTGGCTTACGAAAGAGGCAATGTAGCGGTAATGTATACTTTTTAGCTCACCTGAGCCGAAGGCTCAAGTGAGCTTATCTGATCACATTTTGTCCGTCGTCCGTCCGTCTAGCTGTCTAGCTGTCCATCTGTCTGTCTAGCTGTCTGTCCGTCTGTAAACTATCACATTTTCGACTTCTTCTCAAGAACCACTGAGCCAATTTTGACCAAACTTGGTACAAAGCATCCTTGGGTGAAGGGGAATTTAAATTGTGAAAATGAAGGGCCAAGTCCCTTCATAAGGGAAGATAATCAAGAAAAGACAAAAATAGGGTGGGTCATTAAAAAATCTTCTTCTTAAGAACCACTGGCTCAGAAAAGCTGAAACTTATGTGAAAGCATCCTGGGGTAGTGTAGATTCTAAATTGTTCAAATCATGACCCCTGGGGGTTGGGCGGGGCCACATTGGGGAATCAAAGTTTTACATAGAAATATATATATACTGGGCCAGAAAAATTTTCTTGTCTAAATTGTTAAAAAGAACCACTGGGCCAGAAATATATGGGAAAAATCTGAAAATCTTATGAACCACTGGGGAAGCTGAAATCCTAGGATAGTGTAAATTTTAAATTGTTAAACTTATGACCCCTGGGGTAGGGCGGGGCCACAATGGGGAATCAAAGTCTAACATAGAAATATATGGGAAAAATCTTTGAAAATCTTCTACTTAAGAACCACTGGGCCAGAAAAGCTAAAACTTAAGCGGAAGCATCCTGGGGTAGTGTAGATTCTAAATTGTTAAAATCATGATCCCCGGTGGTTGGTCAGGGCCACAATGGGGAATCAAAGTTTTACAATGGGGAATCAAAGCATCCTATGGTAGTGTAGATTTCAAATTGTCTAAATTATGATCAGTGGTGTAGGATGTTGTCACAATATGTATAACAAGTGGGAAATCTGGTAAAGACCGGAATGGTCAAAGCTTCTCAGGTAAGCGATGTGGCCCATGGGACTCTTGTTTATGTAGCGGTAATGCAAGTTTTTTTGTAGCGGTAATGACTATGTAGCGGTCATAAAAATTTTGAAAATGTAGCGGTAATGATACGCACCCAGGTCCCTGAGTTGACATAACAAGACATTCATTGAAAAATTTTCGGACAAGTGAAGTTGAAGCTCGGACAAGTAAATATCTTGGTCACTTGTCCGAATGGAAATGTAGGAAAAAAAGTTAATGTCGAGCCCTGAAGAGTAATGTCCCCTTCCAGGGGGAATAATTTGCAGTTAGAGTGGGTCATTTAAAAATCTTCCTGACTAGACCATTGCAGTCAGAAAAATGAATATAGGCAGCAGAGAGATGCCTTTACAATAAATTCAAATTGCTTTACATCATGGCTTTTGGGAGAGGTTGGGATGCATTATTTATTATATAAACAGTAACAATAATCAGACTAAATATATGTGTAGGACTCCAAAGTGCGATGGGACTCCAAAGTCTGATGGTCTGCGCCAAACCCCGATGGTCTGACGCGCCAAAGGTCGATTGTCTGCGCCAAACCCCGATGGTCTGACACGCCAAATCCGATGGTGTGGAAATCAAATAATGTTTATGACGTCATAGTACCACTGGGCTAAACCTCAATGCCGCGCCGTGCCAAAGTTTTAAAAATAAGTATAAATAAATATAAATGCGAAAACTAACCATTATCTCTCAGATAGGTGCGAGACTGAAACTCGAAAAGTGTGTACATGTATTAGCAATAATCTAGATTTCTTGGGTGGGTGCAAGACTAATCACTCGACTAGTGTGCGAGGACTAACCCTAAATCTCTCGGGTTGTGCAATGCAAGGACTAAACTTAATCAATCGAGTGGTGTGCAAGGACTAACCCTTATATCTCTGGAAGGTGCAAGCAATAAGCAAAATCAATAAAATTGTATTCGAGGACGAATTCAGAAATGATGGCTTTTGAACGCAGGGCAACGGCATCAAGGATTGATGTCGGATTATTGTGACGTCATAAACGTTGATTGTTCATCCGCACCATCGGACTTTGGCGTGTCAGACCATCGCACTTTAGCGCAACGTGTCTCATAGGAAACGAGCCATCGGTCTTTGGTGTAACCATCGGACTTTGGCATCCGTAAAGACAACGAGCCATCGGGGTTTGGCGCAGACCATCGGGGTTTGGCGAGCCCATCAGACTTTGGCATTACCATCGCACTTTAGAGTCTTACATATGTAATAAGCATTTAGTTTTTTTTTTTAATCCCTGATCTGAAGGAATCTTTTGAAAGTTTTTTTTTCATGGCATGTTAAATGTTTAACAGAGAAATATAAAGTAAAAAATAAATTCATATTTTGTAATGTTAGACTCACCATGGCATGTTAATATTGAAGCAATCCCATGAAGTGTTTTCTAATTTGTTCAGATCAAAGTTTGAGAGGCTTATTGATTTCTCTATAACGTAGATACATTATACTGTTTATATGACTCAGGTGAGCACTGTGACTGAAGGACTTTTGTTTCTTTTAACATGTGTTTAAGTGTCAATTTTTACTGATTTTTATAAATGTCAAATTTGTTATGACATTCTACACATCACTTTAAAAGTTTTTATAATGGATTGTACTGATTTAAAATTAATTGATCAACAGTTGAATGATAGTGCAAAAGCTTTGATCAACTCCAAGAATTCCACAAACAGGTATGTACTGGTACAAACTAAAAAAAATGAAAACTTGATGATCACATTACTTGGTGTGCTTTATAAATATTTTATATTGGTATGTTATTTGAAAATTAAATTTGTATTTTAATACATATTGTGAGTTTGTGGATAGCTATTAAAATATCTATAAAAAATATATAGCTATTAAAATATCTATAAAAAATATATAATTATATATATATTTATATCCCCAGTTTGTAATCAACACCTTGTGATATTATTTTTCATAAAACAAATAAATATATGTTTGCATTTGTAAACACAGAGATCCAGACAGATATTTCAGAATTATCCATATCAAAAGCTTGTCAGTGTGTTAAATTGTACACAAACCTCTGGTCTCTTCGTCATTACTTATGCAAACTCTGAGAGTTTTGTAGTGTAGAACATATACTAATAAAATTTTGTATTAAAAAAATTATGAATGAATGAAATATTTTACTATGCTTAATTGGCTAATCTAACTAATAAATAGTTTTGTATTCCCCAACATAATTTTGATGTTATTCAGCCATTAATTTAAGCTGAACACGACTCGTAAATAGCCATACACCAATAGTTTTCCTATCTCAGATATCAGTATTAGGGTATAAATACATTGTGTTTGAAAGTGGGAAGGGGAGAGGTAAGCCAGAGAAAAGAATTTATGAATCAGCGTAGAAAAAGGAAATAATTGTTCAATCTTGAAAATCCCTTACCGTGGAAAGGAGAGGGGGTTTAGTTTTAACTATTAGTATTTAAATACCAAATTTTATTATGATGTTGCACAACACAACCCTTGTTTGACTATGCTGCAAGAAAAAGGAGGGCGACTGGCCTTCAGTAAACATTTTCAATGGTAAAGTTATGTTTGGAAAGAAAAAGTTAGGACAGGCCTTCTTCCTCTATGAGTCATGTTTCAGCTTTAAGGTAAACTTGTAAATTTATACAAGTAATTTCAAGAAAGTTACCTAAATAATTCTAAATTAAAGTCTCTGTCTATATTTACATGTTAGGACTTTTTTGCATGGATTAATGTTTAGCTCAATGTTCTTGTAATTTGTTTATATTGTATTTTGGATTGTAAATATTGTGTAATGGGTATAATTTCTGCATTGGTCCAATTTTGTAATTCATTCAATTAAAAAAAAATCAGAAATGTGCAAATCTATATTCATACGTGTATCAAAAAAGTTTGAATGCCAAAATATTAAAGCTTGAGTCACTTAGTGAATAAAAAAAAGATATTTACACTGCAGAATTATCCTATATGTACTCACTGTTTATAATGTAATCTCTTCTCTTGCTATATTGTACATGCTTTCCTTCTCTATAATCACCTTGTGTTGTGTCCCCTCTCTTACAGTTTGGGTGGAGGTGATCTTCTGTCACCCCCTAACACCCAGTTTCTTAACCCCGCCTCTTTGGCGGGGCAACTCCCACAACAGAAGCGACATTCATTTACTGCCACGCAGGACACGCCCACTCAATACCAACATAACCGCAGGTAAACATTTGGTCAAGTACTGCTCATACAGGAGGTAAATATTATGTCAGTACTGAAAACGTGTCTCACTCTGATATGCCAGCTTTAGTTATACACTGTCTGTCAAAGTCAGAATTGTTCAAGGTAGGAGATAAGTAAGCTGCTTTTAACTTATTGTGATACTTGTAGAAATGCTTCAGATTAGTTTTCAGTTATATAGTATCTAAGTGGGTAGGTATACACTGTGGAGAGTTTTTCTGATACACGTTTACAGCAATTTAGCAGTAAATTCCAAAATTAATATATTTATTAAAAAAAAAACCAAACAAACAAGTCATCCACTCAAAGGCTTTTGGTAACAAAAGGTATAATGAAATGTTTCTCTTTTATGTGGTGTGTGTAAAGTATAATGCATGATTTGCATGCTAGATGCTTTATTTTATATCTGACCATTTTGAGTCATAAGTCTATATGCATATACATGTATTAGCTTGCGATATTTTACCACATTTAGCATGTACATTCTACTAGGAGAATAGTTTCTTTTCTCCTATCTGTGTATACTACATGTATTAAAATATTCATATACTATTCACTTGGTTAATTCAGCCTTTGGAGAAGCCAAATTTTTTAACAGATAATAGGAATAGGAGTAGAATATGTGAATAATTAACAGATACCAAGCTTTTAGAGGGGGATGCATATAAGAAATAATATCTGAAGTGACAAAATAGTGAAGTCATAAATCTAAGGACTTTACAATGCTTGATCTTAAGATCTCTGGATTGTCTGCCCAGATTTTCTCAACCAGAGAGCTACAGATCTGCAGTTGTATTTGGAGAACTCTTTTCTTTTATAGATCTCTAGAGCTGAGCAGCAAAGGAAATCTAGTGATCCCACCAACATCTGTATCAGGCCAAGTGAGATCCCCACCCCCTCTTCCAAGGACAGGGCCAGAGAGGCCCCTCAATGTCACAGACCAGGCAGGGGGAGGCAGCAGGGAGAAGGTACAGGTTTTAAAAGGATCGCCCTAAATTAATGCTTCTGACCCAAGTAGTGCATTTGGACAAACAAACTATATTTCAAATTACGTGATGATCATTGAATGATCACATTTACCATTATAGAATGCAAGCATTTTAGCATTACATGTGTATTGCATATCAGTACGTAGAATATTTTTCAAGTTTAAATGTAGTACATGTATTTTGATATTCATGATATTCATTGTAGACATCTAGTAGGGGAGCTTCATTACTGCAAGAAGGCACCAGAGTGGGGTCTTCTAAAACCAAAATGTAAGTATGGGAATAGGAAAAATGTTCAGATAAGAATGTGAAGATGTATATCAACTTGACAGTAGATACCGGTACATAATTTATTTGCATTGAATGTTGACCTTCCATTCTTAGCTTTGTTGCCTTGTATCACTACAAACCCCAGAAAGAGGATGAGGTTGAATTAAGAAAGGGAGATTACTACAGTGTGATAGAGGCCTGTCTAGATGGATGGTTCAAAGGTCGATGTCTCAAGACTGGCAAAGCTGGGGTCTTCCCTGGAAATTATGTACAGCAAGCCAGGTTTGTTACCTGTAGTTTTAGACCTTCAGTTGTTTGCTGAAAGTGTAATTTATGAATATTGTTCAAGAAGTTTAAACTCATTTTTAATACTTTTTAGCTCACCTGAGCCGAAGGCTCAAGTGAGCTTTTCTGATCACATTTAGTCCGTCGTCCGTCTCTGTCCGTCCGTCTGTCCGTCTGTAAACTTTTCACATTTTCGACTTCTTCTCAAGAACCACTGGGCCAATTTTGACCAAACTTGGTACAAAGCATCCTTGGGTAAAGGGGAATTTAAATTGTTAAAATGAAGGGACATATCCCCTCGCAAGGGGAGATAATCAAGAAAAGGGAAAAATAGGGTTGGGTCATTAAAAAATCTTCTTCTCAAGAACCACTGGGCCAGAAAAGCTGAAACTTATGTGAAAGCGTCCTGGGGTAGTGTAGATTCTAAATTGTTCAAATCATGACTCCCGGTGGTAGGGCGGGGCCACAATGGGGAATCAGTGTTTTACATAGAAATATATAGGAAAAATCTTTGAAAATCTTCTTCTTAAGAACCACTGGGTCAGAAAAGCTGAAACTTATGTGGAAGCATCGTGGGGTAGTATAGATTCTAAATTGTACAAATCATGACCCCCGGGGGTAGGGCGGGGCCACAATGGGGAATCAATGTTTTACATAGAAATATATAGGAAAAATCTTTGAAAATCTTCTTCTCAAGAACCACTGGGCCAGAAAAGCTGAAACTTATGTGGAAGCATCCTGGGGTAGTGTAGATTCTAAATTGTACAAATCATGACCCCCGGGGGTAGGGCGGGGCCACAATGGGGAATCAATGTTTTACATAGAAATATATAGGAAAAATCTTTGAAAATCTTCTTCTCAAGAACCACTGGGCCAGAAAAGCTGAAACTTATATGGAAGCATCCTGGGGTAGTGTAGATTCTAAATTGTTCAAATCATGACCCCCGGGGGTAGGACGGGGCCACAATGGGGAATCAGTGTTTTACATAGAAATATATAGGAAAAATCTTTGAAAATCTTCTTCTCAAGAACCACTGGGTCAGAAAAGCTGAAACTTATGTGGAAGCATTCTAGGGTAGTGTAGATTCTAAATTGTTCAAATCATGACCCCGGGGGGTAGGACGGGGCCACAATGGGGAATCAGTGTTTTACATAGAGATATATAGGAAAAATCTTTGAAAATCTTCTTCTCAAGAACCACTGGGTCAGAAAAGCTGAAACTTATGTGGAGGCATTATAGGGTAGTGTAGATTCTAAATTGTTCAAACCATGACCCCCGGGGGTAGGGCGGGGCCACAATAGGGAATCAAATTTTACATAGAAATATATGGGAAAAATCTTTGAAAGGGCCACAATGGGGAATCAGTGTTTTACATAGAGATATATAGGAAAAATCTTTGAAAGTCTTCTTCTCAAGAACCACTGAGCCAGAGAAGCTGAAACTTATTTGGAAGCATCCTGGGGTAGTGTAGATTTTAAATTGTTCAAATCATGACCCCTGGGAACTGGCCGGGGCCACAATGGGGAATCAATGTTTTACATAGAAATATATAGAAAAAATCTGAAAATCAAAACTGAAACTTATTTGGAAGCATACTGGGGTAGTGTAGATTTCAAATTGTTTAAATTATGATAAGTGGGAAGGGTGGGGTCACAATATGTATTACAAGGGGGAAATCTGGTAAAGAACAGAATGGCCAAAGCTTCTCAGGTGAGCGATGTGGCCCATGGGCCTCTTGTTTGTTTTTTTTTTATACCAACTGAATTCATCCCTTCTGATTGGACTGGAAAAATTAAAAAAGTTATTAAGACTTCGATATTGTCTTTGAATGATAAAATTGCCCCCAAAAATCTATCACTAGAAATTACCAGTTTAATAAACATGGGGTTTTATTTTTTAGGTCTCCTTCTGCTGGTGGTTTACCCAATAATGTCCAGAATTTACGTGCCAAAACATCATCATCCAACTCAAAGTCTTCGTCAAGGCAAGAAATGTCATCCAGACCAGAACAGGCAAGTTCTGCCAGGCAAGACAACAGTGCTTCACATAAACAGGGGACTCACAACTCCAGACTGGATGGTCCGCCGTCATCATCATCCAGACAAGAACAGTCTGCCATCTCCAAACCTTTACCTACATCGTCATCAAGTTCATCATCCGGGTCACAGGTGCCCCCTGTCAAGTCTTCTCACAAACCTCACCTCCCTCCCCCCTCCTCAGCCTCACTGTCCACAGAGGCTAACCCTGACAGAATGTTAAACTCACAAATGTCGTCCACATCTCATACTGCAGACCATTTATCATCACAGGCTAGAAGTGTTCCCAAACCTGTCTATATCAAAGCATCCAAAATGAGTCCTTTAAGAACCACTTCATCTGATGTGCAGGGATTAGCAGCTAACGCAGTGGTCATACCACCTAACTCGGTGATCAGTAAAACAGGACCAGTGGTTGGAGTCAATGGACCAGGATCTTTGGTCCCCAGTGTACAGATAACAGATCCTGTGGGAGCCTCGGGGGAGTCTTCATCATCAAACAAGGTACACGATAATGTACATTGTCATTATTCAAAAAGGCAAATTCTGCTGTAGCAGCAAGGATATTATTTTCAGACTCAATGAATTAGATAATAAGATGATTTGTACCTGTAAATATTTTAGAGAGAGAAAAAAGAGAAAGAAAAGTTAAGCCTTGTAAAGAGACTGACTTCTGGGAAGGGTAGGAAGGCCAGGTCCACCCCAGACAGTGAGGGAGCCTTACCCTCGGGAAAAGTAGCTCATACAAGGTAAAATAGCATACGAAAGACACTAATGCACACATAGGATACATTTGCTCATAAAAGGAAAATAGCACATACAAGGTGTAATAGCACATAAATGTACAAGGTATAACTTGCTACATATGTGTATATACAGTAACTCTGAATTCTTCTAATTTAGGTAAGATTATTATTTTATATACATGCATAATTAATTTTTCAATTCATTTAAGAAACCTGCAACTTAAGCATATATTTCCTAGATACCAAACATAAAACTTTTTTAACAATGTTTGGAGATGCTAGCTTTATAAATATGTTTTCTGTTGGAATTGTAAATTTTCTAAAGTTCCATAGGTTTTGAAAGTACATGTGTATATTATCTATTTTTAAAATTACTATCATATACGTAAATAAATCTATGACAGACAGAACATCAAACAGAACCTCAATTTGACAGATAATTTTTTTGTAGGTCTGGATCGTATCCATCTGAGGTGGCCACGTCTGTAGAAGGCCAACATGTTAAGACTGGATCTTTTGATTCCTCTGTACACCCTCCTCTCGGGTCAAAACATCACAAACAAAAGTCCCTCAGTCGAGAAAAGTAAGTTCCTCAGTCAAAATATTTCAAACAAAAAGCCTCCATGGAGAAAAGTAAGTGTTTCAGTCAAAACATAAAAAACATAAGGCCCTCAGTGGAGAAAAGTTAGTGTCTCATTCAAAATACTGTATAACAAACAAAAGTCCCTCAGCTGAGAAAAGTAAGTTCCTCAGTTAAAATACATGTATAAGAAACGAAAGGCCTCAGTTGAGAAAAATAAGTTCCTCAGTCAAAACAAAACAAACAAAAGGCCCTCAGTCGAGAAAAGTAAGAACCTCAGTCAAAACATAAAAACTAAAGGCCCTCAGTGGAGAAAAGTTAGTGTCTCAGTCAAAATATAACAAACAAAAGGCCCTCAGTCAAGATGAGTACTCATGTAGTTGTGTAGGTCAAAAGATAACAAATAAAATACCCTTAGACAAGACAAGAAAAGTCCCTCAGTCAAAACATAGCACACAAAAGGTCATAAGTCTAGAAAACTGGGTACCTTGCTCAAAACAGCAATTAAAAGGTCCTCAGCCAAGAAAAGTAAATGTGTAGGTCAAATTACAAAAATCAAAAGGCCCTCAGTCCACAAAAGTGCCTTGGTTAAAACAAAACAAAAGGCCCTCAGCCAAGAAAAGTGTCTCCATCAAATGCCCCCAGTCGAGAAAAATGCCTCTGTCCAAACATAATGAGCAAAAGGCCATCAGTCATGAAAAATAAGCTTACCAGTCTCAAAATAGAGTTTTTGTCAACTTTTCATATACGGCATGATTTTAATCACAGCTGACCTTGATTATTCTAGCTCGTGTATTTTATCTGTACACAATAGTCTTAATTTTTGTAGTTAGAGACCTTGATCAGTATAGCTCGTCTGTTTATCTCTACACAATGGCCTTAATTTTCAAAACGGCATACAATACCTTGTAATCTTGTCAGAACATATTGCATGTTACCTTGATATATGATTATTCTGTTGCTTGCAGATACCGATGTAAAGAGCCGTATCCTGCCCAACACGTAGTAGAGCTGGACCTAATGTTGGGAGACATTGTTTACGTGACAAAGAAACGCGAGGATGGCTGGTTCAAAGGAACACTGCAGAGAAGTGGAAAGACAGGGTTATTTCCTGGAAGCTTTGTGGAAAAAGTGGATCAATGACATTTCAACATTACTTCTGTAGGGACGGTTTGACTAGATATGCAATTGCTAAACCTTCCCAAGGCTCAGGAAAATAGAAAGTTTGTAGACAGCGTGACTGTGGATTTTCCTACCTTGAAGGTTCACTCATCATGCAGTGGGGAATAAGACATGTCAGATACAAATGTGATAGTTGATGTATTTTTTATACACAAAATTGCATTAAGTTTATTCACATGAATAAGTAAGTTCATTTAAACTTCAGGTTTTGTCCTAATATTACAATGATTTTAACATCATCCTTTTCATGCACACATGTTGTACAGGAAAACGTTTTCTTATTATTTAGTATATAAACTGCCATTTTGTGCATTTTTGTGTATTAGATATTATTGATGCAATATTTTAAATATTGAGTTAAATATTTTCATTTCCTGCCTTTGACATCTTAGTTCATGTGTTAGTTGAACAATAACTGAAAAATGTAGGATGCTAACCTCACTTTCACTTTCTTTTGTTATATGCAAGTATCTCTCATTCACTCTTGATAACTAAGGGCATTTTATTTCTTTGAATAAACATTGATTTTTATTTCCTATATATGAATAGGCTGTATGTTGTTATTTGAATCTGTAGTTTCCCTTTACATGCATGTAATTGATACTATAAAATGTCTTCCAGTCATTTTCGTTATTCAATTTGAATACTGTGTCTTGCTGGTTATTACAGTTTATACATTAGTAACCTGTGTATCTTACACATTATATTGTTGAAAAGAAATCATTAAAAGATTTAACAGTGCCATCTTAAAATTTGTATATTAACTAATTTCTATTTGACTTACATGTATATCTAGTTACAAAAGTGATTATTGAAAGATTTTTAAAATGTTCATTGTATAGATAATTACCTGTATTAGTGTATTGTATAAGGATGTACTGTTTGATATATTCTCCTTAACTCTGTTACTTGAAGCATGCATCTTCTGTACCTTAAATGTAAAGTTTTTTTTTTTTTATTTGATTTCCTGTCAAACAGAGCATTGGATATACTCAAATCAGTGATATTTTTGAAGATGTTGTGATTTTTACATTATTTAATTATACAACCAATTCTTAGGTTAGTGCTGTGGAGTAGTTTTTGAACTGATTTTATCAGAGTTTCTTGTCTAGAGAAGGTTGTCATTTTAATTCTGTGTGTAGAGTCTCTATGCATTATGGATTTTACCTTTCTCGGTTTAGCATGGAGAAATTTTTTTGTCTATGCATTGTTTTGTACAAGGCTTCATATGTTAACATTCCAAAAGTGATTTGGCATGTCACATTCTGGTTATACCCCTAGGAAATACAAAGTAAAAATGAGATTTCTCTTTTGTTGTTAATTTCTTCTCAGCTGAGAGCAGGATTATTGGACATCATTGTTCTCTTTCTGAATTAACAATTTATAATTGTATGCTGTTACATGTAATTACTCAAAGTCAAAACATTCAAGTAGTTTATTTTGCTCACTGATGAAATCACACGTGAAAGTTGTTTTTTTTTTATTGTTTATTTAAAAAAAAATAACAGGAATAAAAATTTCTTTCAATATTAAGTTATACAACACCATAACAACTTTGTTCATATAAACACAGACTTTTCTTTGTAGATCTATCTTTGTGAGATTTCACGGTATTCTTGCATCCCCTGTATTAACTATTAAAAAGAAAATAAACAAATAATTAAAATACAGATAATATGTGTCTATCTTTGACAGAGTAAAAAGAAACCACAAGGAAATTTAACATAAAGTACTGGATACATACCACCCATGCAAGTAGAAGTTAATGCGTCAAAGCAAAACTCATTCTCAAAGCACGTTAGCTGAAACAGAAAATAAAAATGAGAAAGAAATCACTCATAATGAGAGAGAAAGAGAGAGAGATAGAAATAGAGATACCTGTCCACAGTTATCCCCTCTTCCTGCTGTATTTTGTGGAACCTCTGGTCTTTGATTAAGTCCAACGTTTGACCCTTAACATGTATAAAAACAATCATTAGATACAAAACTAAATCAGTCTACAACAACTATACAGCTATATAAACAGGGTACTCACCAGGTCCAAGTGGCGCCCCGACACAGTTATTACCCTGACAAACCTCTGCAATGTCAGGAATACGGATTATATCCGGCCCGGGCCCCCCAGGTCCTTGTGGAATGGGTTGTTGAGGAATCACCGGCTGTGCGGGTCTGTTCTGTGTAGGAGGGACCCCACCCCCGGGTTGTAAATCACTAAGTGGTGGAAGACTCATCCCTGTGCCAGATGCTGATGTACCACTCAAAGCGGAAGTTCCAAACAAACCACGTGATGGAGTTTGCGGTACCGCTGCTGGTATATTATCAGTCATTGGAAACAGCTCTGTGTTTGGAATAGGGTTAAGATCAATAGGCCCAGAGGAACCTGGGATTGGTGAGAGGTCAGAGGAGGAACCAGGCGTTATTATGATCGGTGGGTGTCTCGCCCACGGCACCCTGGAACCAGAAGAATCTCTGACGGTCCATCTGGAGTTAGGGTCAATATTTGTATTTGTTCGACTGTTTGGAATCAAAGATGAAAAAGGTCCAGTCTGTGAATTCCTATTGATGGGCGATATTGGTCTGTTATTTGGAACAACAGGTATCATTGACGAAGCCTCTGAATTTGGACCAAGAGGAGATAATGGACCCGTCTGCGAGAAAGGCATATTTGGTAGCGACTGTACAGGATTAACTGGGCGAACATCGTTCGGATTTACGGCACCTGTGTAACAAAAGAGACATCATCCAGTTGTATGGAATATATGGAGATAACGAACAGTATTCAAAATCAAAGTCCCTTAAACAATACAAAATTGGAGCAGAGCAAACACGGACCTACAAAACATCAGAAGTGGGATCAGGTGCCAAGGAGGAGCGAGCATCCATGCTGATCGGTCACACACGCCGTGTGCTCCTTGTCATGATCGGGAAATAACGGAAAAACCGTCGAATATTCAGTGTGTATATTATGGTCTAACTATCAGTATGAAAAACACCAGTCGGCATTTGACTAAATGATGAATTGTGTACTGACAAGGTCATTGTATCGACCATAGATCTTACGAAATGATGACTATAGATGATTTATTATTAATATAATCATCATGAACGAGGGTATATGGTTGTGAGGTACGTGCTGTAGACGGCAATAGAAAGGTAGCCTGTTAGTGAAATGTCCTTCGAGATTTTTGAACTCGAATTGAGACGCCACCACATGCCGCTTGATGGCTGCAATTTAATTTAGACCTGTGCCACAGGCTTTTAGTAAGGGAACTTTACCATCGTCCCCTACTGTGACGTGGGACTTCGTTTTGTAAAGATTCATTCGAAGGACCGGTTTCCACGTCCTATAGTGGGATTCTAACTCGCAGAGTCAGAATCAGCCCGATCCTTATTCCGCGACTCAATCTAGAGCAAATGTTCAAGCCACTGCATGCGCTACCCGGGCGACATAGTTACGCGTTGCGATTGTTTTCCCTCTGCAAAATTGACGACGATATGTGCAGTACAATTTTGTATGCCTATACATGTTGGTTGTCATTGAAATTTATTTAACGAACCATCCTATGTAAATACTTAAGTTTATTTGGGACTTAAACTTTTTGTAAACTTCAGGCACAAGCATTTAAAATTACCCTTTAGACTAAAATTATGAATATATGTTGTTAATGATTTCTGGAGTTTTATTTCGAAAAAGCCTTTGAATTAAAAAAAAAATGATAAAAGTTAGAATTTATGCACTCCAGTTGATTTGATAAGATGCCTTTGGAGTCTCCCAGTTGATTCTTAAGGATACCGACAGTCCCCTTGTAAGTCAACATTTTGCAAATTCTATGATAAAAACAACGACCATTCTTTACACACTGAATCGTGTAAGGAGTTTTCTTATCGGTCTTTATGACAATGAGCAGACGATTATTGGACCAGAAGACATGGGGTTCTTACTCCTCCATGGCACTTGATCCTAACTCTGGTGTTTCTATTGGTCCTTGTTTGTTCTCTTCTCAGTTCCAGCATGACATTATAACAAATCGAAAGATTTGTTATAAGATATCTTACCAACAGTTAGGGCTATTCCAGTACAATGACCATCTATACATCGGGAGTTTGGCGGACACGGTCTCTGTTACAGGAATAAAACGGACAGATCAAATACAAAGACCAATGACGAAACATGTGAGTTGATTTATTATTTTGTACATGTGTGTCGATTTTCTTGCTGAAAACCTCTAAGTATATGTTGTATTTGAAATTATGAGATATTCAATTATCTAAACTTATTGCATAGATTTTTTTAAACAAATAAAATTTTATTCTAGCTAATTTTAATCTCCGAAAGATCAAAAATAAAAATTGTTCAGAAATATTCCAACTTTATTATTGTATGGACTTGAATGAAGGAAATATAACAACAGCAAGTTTTTTCCCTTTTTGTGCGATAGGAAAACTAAGTAAATTCACTTACATCACAGGTTGGATGTGGCCTAGCTACAAGATGAAAAATAAAAATTCAGAGTCAAGTGAAAACCAGGTATAGAACAGATTACTTCTCAGCAATAGCAAATATATGATTTTTTAAAAATCATTTATTTAATTCATACAAAGAGGGGCTTAAGGAACTAAGACTATGACCATGAGGGTATTAGAAGACCTACCGTTGAGAACATCGCAGTGACAATCCCCAGGACTGTCACAGTGGCACACGTAGCCGGGGGGACACGAGGGCTGTCAAAGAAACAAAATTAAAACTTCAGTAATGGCATCTGACCAATTGCCAAGTTAACAAAAAGTCACGTTAAATTAGTCATATTTTTGTCTATTTCAAATAAGGAAATTTATTTGCAATCTTCAGTTAGTGCAACTTTAAAGTTAGAATTATATTTCTAAAAAGTATTATGATACATACACTACACTGAGAATTCCCGACTGAAAGGAAAGAAATGACATCAAGTCAGTGTTATTGACAATGCTGCAATTCTTACTTATATTTTTGTCATATATAACCTGTAATTCAATATGAAATATTAATATCAAATGTAAGCAGTTTAAGTTAAGGGAGTTCTGGTATAACAAGAGAGAAGGAGAAGAGATATCTAAGAACCATGACAAATCTTGAGAAAATTGTTGAAACCATGGATAAAAAAACAATTATTTAATAGAATATTGATATAACAGAAAATTGTAGACAAACATTTTCAGACCCACCCCCTCCCCCCAATATCACAAGAGACACTATTGAAAGTACAATATCATAGAGACTTTCAAGAAAGAAAATGCATCTTGCAGAGCTAGCATATTTGTCTTTTTTAGGAAAGGAAGATAACAGTAACATTTGGTAAAGATTTGAAATATGCTAGCATAAGACCTTTGGATAATGGAATGACCTGACAGCCCTTTGGAATGGAATATTCGTTAGTTATATATAATGTAGGCAGTGGAATTCGCGTACGTATCAATTTTACCGAAATTTTCAGTCAGTAAATTTAAAACAATACGTATTACGAATATTTTTAATTTACGAAAAAATTCGGTAAAATTGATGGGTACGCGAACTCCTGTGATATAAGGAAACTTTTAGAAACAGCGAAGTTAACAGCTGTGATAGAAGTTAACAGGTAAGACAGCTATTTAGCATTTGTGTAATTTTATAAAACAAACCAGTATAATTGAATACAAACCTCTTTGGCATATTCCTTTGTTGCAAACTTCTCCGTTCCTGCATCTAGGCTTAACAGAAAATGGCTTCGATAATATTAGTAGCTGAGTAAGTTCAAAATACTTAAGTCATACAAGGTTCAAAAGCACACGGTTTACTGTTTATTTTATGGCACAATGATTTGACCTTGGTCTTGCTAATGTATTGTTTTATTTACGCCTAGTCGGCAATTTTTCAGCCATATTTCGGCGGTCTTGGAAATGGTGATAACGAACAGTATTTAAGCTCCGATTTCCAATCAAACAGTACAAATATGAGCAGAGATAACAATGATAGCTCTTAAGATGGGATCAAATGACATGAAAGAGTAAGCATCCCCTTCGACTGGTCACAGCCGCCATGTGCTCCTTGACATGATCGGGAAAACTGGAGAAAATTGTAAACAATTCAGTGTGTAAATAATGGCTTAACAATTAGTATGATAAATGTCAGTCAAAATTTGACTTAATGATAAATTGTAGTTGCTGACAAGGTCATGTATCGACCATAGAAACGATGACTTTAAACGAGACTTCTGATATTGTTGTTTCGTTAGATAGCCAGCTTGAGAATGGCCTACCCCGTTTTAGAAAGTTTGTAGGTTGTGCATGGTCTTGTGTATCGAAACAAGAATAGGAAGAGACATAGACCCAAAAGCCTCAGGTATATTGCTATATAGATAAGGGAAGTTAACGAATGAAAAGTTGAAGTCATCAAGTTTATTATATGGCGTTGCTGTTAGGTTATTTCAATCTTTAATTTCAAGCTCATTGGCTAGATCGATTCGACATATGACTTTTTTTCTTCTTATTTTTAAGATTTTGAATAAGTTCAACTTCAAATGAATACAAAAATACTAGTAGGTCCAATGATAATGATACCTGTAGGAATTCAGAAAGATTGTTAGATTATGATATTGAGTCAAGATTTTGCAAACCTAGGTAGTAAAATACTCGTTTTACTTTCCTACAATAAAGTGTTGTCAATCTTTTACATTACTCAGACGCTGACAGACAGACAGCTACAAATACGGCTATAGACAGAACAGCACTTATTGAGGCTTCATGAATTAAAAATTGCTTATTAAAATGTCCCAATTCCATCAGAGTTTTATGAAGTAAAATTGATTTCGATAAACACAATTTGAAATAGATTAAATAAGAATGGAAAACCTTCACATATTATAACAAAATAAAGTAATTAAAAAATTATTTTCGTGCACTAGTATTTTTCCTAATGTGACTTCTGTCTGATCACTACTGATGAATTCTCTTTGAAAAAAATAAGTTTAATACACTATGTAAACCTTTATAATGAACCTACGGCGTATGTGACCAGTCGAAAGCTTACTACTCCATGGCACCTGATCCCACCTTTGGTGTTTTCAGAGGTTCGTGCACATTATAATTTCAGTGTGGTCCGTCAACAGATTTTGAATAATTAAAAAAAGATTTTACTGATGTCAGTTTCACTTTTACCATTAACACAGCTTATTTTTTTAAACATCTGAATCAATGCTTACCTCACATGGCTCTGCAATATAAAATCAATGGACATCATTATAAAATGATAAGACAAAGTTTTTCTTAAAATAACAATCACATACTGGCGGTTCCATGTATTATACGTATACTATTATTTTAACAGAAATCTTGTTTCTACATTATCAAGCTTTTGCAAGTTTGTACCTCTCAATGTATAAATCAAAGAACCTTTATGGGGCATGTATTCTTTCACCCTTAACAACAACGTTTGCACGAAATCTTGACAGAAAACGTTTTAAAAAATATATGTATAGATAATTGGCTGTGAATAACAAATATCAATCGAACACACCAACATTTAGATTATTGATTTAAAGTTAAAATCATGTCAACATTTTGAACATGAGACAAACATTTGTTTGAAATCACTTACTGTCTTCACATTTTCCATTTATGCATCGTTGATCATTTCCACAAGCAGGCTAGATTAAAAATAGAATCTTAATTAAAAAATACCCCAATTGACATTAGATATTTTAGGAATGTGACATTGTTAAAGATATAAAAGTAACATACCCTGCAGGGCTCTGTAAGGAAAAAGGAAAAAAAGTTTAAATATGAAATATTCAAAGTTATTCAATTTGGTTAATTATTAGTCAGAAAGAAAAAAAGGAAAAAAAGTTTAAATATGAAATATTCAATGTAATTGTTATTTATCATAATAGTCATTCGAAAGAAAATATCATCATTCAATCTTTGAAATTTCTTAGGAAAAAATGTAAGAATTAGTTAAAAATAAATTTTCAAAAATGAACACATGACAGTGTAGAACTTATCAAAATGACAGTGTAGAACTTACCAAAATGACAGTGTAGAACTTACCAAAATGACAGTGGCCATGGTGACAAGTCTGACTTTCTTTACAGATTGGCTAAAAATAAAAGATGACAGAAACATATCATTAATAAGGATTAACGGATCTACATACCTCAGGTAGGAACAATAGCTCTTAATTGTTATTAAGTTGTAGAAGTCTCAACTTCATATCAACATCTTATTATGCAAGAATTTTCATTTTGCTGAATATTAAGTGATGGGCCTAATCCAATGTCTGTTGTACGTGTCTTTGGGTCCGTGTAAGTTCGTTATCTTTAACTTTTACACGTGTATCACATAAGATGAAAATGCTAATACATATGACACCTGATCCCACCTCCGATGTTTGGAGGTCCGTGTTTGCGCTGCTCCTATTTTGTATTGTTTTATGGAATTTTGATTTTGAATACTGTTCGTTATCTCCATGTGTTTCATTTCAATTGAAAGTGATTTGTGATACATACTTAGCGATGACATACTTGTATGCTTATTCCGAAGCGCATCACATGATAAATGAAGATAATAGATGAAATGGAAAAGCACATCTCCAGCTGCACGGTCATATACCCGCTCCTTGACATGATCGGAAAATAAACGGGGAAATTCGTCGACAATTCAATGCATAATTAATAATCTAACAATTTATATGATTGACGATATCTATGTTGTTTTGGGTTGCCAGGTCTTCCATTAATCTATTGGAATTCCCATGGGTACCAATTATGCCCCATTATTAGCAGACCAATTTTTATATTTATATGAAGCAGAATTTTTGCAAAATCGTATGCATAAAAAGAGGAAAACACTTGCTGTGGCCTTCAACTCGACATTTAGATATATCGACGACGTATTGTCAATTAACAATGGTTATTTCAATTCTTATGTCAATACGATATATCCTGGTGAGCTTGAGATAAAAGATACCACAAAGTCTGATATATCTGTTTCATATTTGAATATTTTACTTGAAAAAGACGTTAACAGTTATCAAACAACCAAGCTCTGTGATAAACGTGATGACTTTCAGTTTTCTATCGTCAATTTCCCTTACTTATGCAGCAATATACCATCATCACCTGCATACGGAGTTTAGATATCTCAGTGGATTAGATACGCAAGAGCATGCTCTACATATGAAGAATTTCTACATCGAGGTAAATTATTGACAAACAAGTTGATGAAACAAGAATATCAGCAGGCTCGTTTAAAGCCATTGTTTCGTAAGTTCTATGATCGATACAATGACTTTGTCAGCAAATACAATTTATAATTGAGTCAAATGCTGACTGACGTTTTTCATACTAATTGTTCGTCCATTATCTATATATATAGTGTATATACACTAAGTTGACGACGGATTTTTCCGTTATTTCCCGATCATGACAAGTAACAAATGGCGGGTGTGACCTGTCAGCAGGGGATGCTGACTCCTCCATGGCACCTGATCCCACCTCTAATGTTTTGAGGTCCGTGTTTGCTCTGCTCCTATTTTTGTATTGTTTTATGGACTTTTGGTCTTGAGTGCCGTTCGTTACCTCCATATATTTCATAAAAAACTTCAGTCAGCATTATTTTGACTTTATGATAGATTGTGTTTGCTAACAAGGTCATTGTATCGACCAAAAAAGTTACAAAATGATAACTAGAAATGAGACTGCTGATATTCTTGTTTCATCAACTTGTTCGTCATAAACATTTCTCGTTTTAGAAATTCTTGATAAGTAGAGCATGCTCTTGCGTATTGAATAAACTGGGAGATATAAACCCTTTATGCAGGTGGTGAAGATATATTGCTGCATAAGTAGGTGATATTGACAATTGAAAAGTAAAAGTCATCATGTTTTTCATAAAGCTTTTTGGTTAGATTACCATTAACGTTTGCTTCTAGTTAAATATCCAAATATGAAACAAACGTATCAGACTCTGTGAGATCTTTTATTTCAAGCTACTTGTATGTATCGTGTTGACATAAGAATGGAAATAACCATTGATAATTAAGAATATATATATTTAGATGCCGTGTTAAAAAAGCCGTCGATATATTTGTATATCTGAACGTCTCAGAAAGTTTTTTCTCAATTCTTCTAATAAAGGAGCTTTAACGCAAAGAGTTATGCTTAGGACGAAAAGATCATCTATCAAATGTAGATTTAAGGTATGTTTGTATTTTGAGAAAAATGATGACATTGGTACCGTGGGATAGACTGTAGAGGCACAATATATTTCAACTGCATTAACGAAATAAGTTACTATATCTAGAAACTGGAACCCTTTATTTTCTGACAGAGTACTTACCTAGACTTAAAACCACGGATCTGTGTTTTTAATCCCATTTCATATAACTTCAGAAACATGGATGTCTCTTTCTTACATAGCAGGTACTTACATTACAAAGGGAGGCCCCCACTACAAAAGTGAAAGAGAGACATTAATGAGAGAGAAAAGATATATAATGCTTTTATATTGAATTGCTATTATCTTTTGCAGAATAATTTATTGAATTCCTTACTTCTTTGACATCCACCGCCATAACACACGTATCCCTCGTCACAACCACCCTAAAACATAGAACATCATACATATATAACCACCCTAAAACATAGCACATCATACATATATAACCACCCTAAAACATAGAACACCATTCACTTATAACCACCCTAAAACATAGCACATCATTCACTTATAACCACCCTAAAACATAGAACATCATACATATATAACCACCCTAAAACATAGCATATCATTCACTTATAACCACCCTAAAACATAGAACATCATAGACTTATAACCACCCTAAAACATAGAACATCATACATATATAATCACCCTAAAACATAGAACATCATACACTTATAACCACCCTAAAACATAGAACATCATACATATATAACCACCCTAAAGCCTAGCACATCATACACTTATAACCACCCTAAAACATAGAACATCATACACTTATAACCACCCTAAAACATAGAACATCATACATATATAACCACCCTTAAACATAGAACATCATTCACTTATAACCACCCTAAAACATAGAACATCATACATATATAACCACCCTTAAACATAGAACATCATTCACTTATAACCACCCTAAAACATAGAACATCATACACTTATAACCACCCTAAAACATAGAATATATATACACTTATAACCACCCTAAAACATAGAACATCATACATATATAACCACCCTAAAACATAGAACATCATTCACTTATAACCACCATAAAACATAGCACATCATACACTTATAACCACCCTAAAACATAGAACATAATACACTTATAACCACCCTAAAACATAGAACATCATACATGTATAACCACCCTAAAACATAGCACATCATACATATATAACCACCCTAAAACATAGAACATCATACACATATAACCACCATAAAACATAGCACATCATACATATATAACCACCCTAAAACATAGAACACCATTCACTTATAACCACCCTAAAACATAGCACATCATTCACTTATAACCACCCTAAAACATAGAACATCATACATATATAACCACCCTAAAACATAGCACATCATTCACCTATAACCACCCTAAACATAGAACATCATACACTTATAACCACCCTAAAACATAGAACATCATACGCTTATAACCACCCTAAAACATAGAACATCATACATATATAACCACCCTAAAACATAGAACATCACTTATAACCACCCTAAAACATAGAACATCATACACTTATAACCACCCTAAAACATAGAACATCATACATATATAACCACCCTTAAACATAGAACATCATTCACTTATAACCACCCTAAAACATAGAACATCATACATATATAACCACCCTTAAACATAGAACATTATTCACTTATAACCACCCTAAAACATAGAACATCATACACTTATAACCACCCTAAAACATAGAACATCATACACTTATAACCACCCTAAAACACAGAACATCATACATATATAACCACCCTAAAACATAGAACATCATTCACTTATAACCACCATAAAACATAGCACATCATACACTTATAACCACCCTAAAACATAGAACATAATACACTTATAACCACCCTAAAACATTTATAACATCATACATGTATAACCACCCTAAAACATAGCACATCATACTATATATACCACCCTAAAACATAGAACATCATACACATATAACCACCATAAAACATAGCACATCATACATATATAACCACCCTAAAACATAGAACACCATTCACTTATAACCACCCTAAAACATAGCACATCATTCACTTATAAACACCCTAAAACATAGAACATCATACATATATAACCACCCTTAAACATAGAACATCATTCACTTATAACCACCCTAAAACATAGAACATCATACATATATAACCACCCTTAAACATAGAACATTATTCACTTATAACCACCCTAAAACATAGAACATCATACACTTATAACCACCCTAAAACATAGAACATCATACACTTATAACCACCCTAAAACACAGAACATCATACATATATAACCACCCTAAAACATAGAACATCATTCACTTATAACCACCATAAAACATAGCACATCATACACTTATAACCACCCTAAAACATAGAACATAATACACTTATAACCACCCTAAAACATAGAACATCATACATGTATAACCACCCTAAAACATAGCACATCATACATATATAACCACCCTAAAACATAGAACATCATACACATATAACCACCATAAAACATAGCACATCATACATATATAACCACCCTAAAACATAGAACACCATTCACTTATAACCACCCTAAAACATAGCTTATAAACACCCTAAAACATAGAACATCATTCATATATAACCACCCTAAAACATAGCACATCATTCACCTATAACCACCCTAAAACATAGAACATCATACACTTATAACCACCCTAAAACATAGAACATCATACACTTATAACCACCCTAAAACATAGAACATCATACATATATAACCACCCTAAAACATAGAACATCATTCACTTATAACCACCCTAAAACATAGAACATCATACACTTATAACCACCCTAAAACATAGAACATCATACATATATAACCACCATAAAACATAGCACATCATACACTTATAACCACCATAAAACATAGGACATCATACATATATAACCACCATAAAACATAGCACATAATACATATATAACCACCCTAAAACATAGAACATTGTAGATATATAACTACCCTAAAACATAGAACATCATACATATATACACACACCCTGAAACATAGAACATCATACACTTATAACCACCCTAAAACACAGAACATCATACATTTATAACCACCCTAGAACGTAGAACATCATACATATATAATCACCCTAAAACGTAGCACATAATACATATATAACCACCCTAAAACATAGAACATCGTACATATATAAGTACCCTAAAACATAGAACATCATACATATATATACACACCCTAAAACATAGAACATCATACACTTATCACTTGCTTGGAATATTCTTTGCTCATGCTTCTCTGAGGTATCATTGACATTTGCTTGTGTAATTTTCCTGACACATTACATCTTGACTCTTATTAACTGAAGACAAGTCTTTTAACTTGGTGACCTTCAACAAGAAATTGTTCTTTAATATATGTCTGACATTTACTTCTGAACAATACTGAGGATTAATGCTTCTTATTTTAATCAAGTATAAAATATTCATCACATAGTCTATTCATGTCAAAATAATGACAGTTAAAAGGTTCTTATAAATGATGATAAGTGTTTGATGTTTTCAAAATAAGTTTCTTATCAGAAAAATATTTCAAGTTTAAAATCTATTATTTGCAATTACAATTTTGTCTATCAAATGTAAGGTTTAATTTTTTAATTTAAGTTAAATTTAACCATATGAGCATCCACTCAATCAAGTAATTACACAATGCTTGAATTTCTATCTGTATTCTAAAACAAATGAACAATTCCATCATACCGGACACGGCGATGGTGGAGAAGGTGGCCCCCGATTGAAGGGAGAATGGGGTTGTGTCCTCCTTGACATTGATTGGGATGGCCCCCGAGGTAGGGGAGAATGGGATTGTGTCCTTGACATTGACGGGGGTGGTCCTGGAACTCTTGGTACTATCCTCACACGAAATGGGTTATGAAAAATCCGGGTCATTACATCTTAAAAAAATCAGAAAAATGGTGCTTGTTATAAAGCAAAATCATGTTTACAGCTCAACGCACTTTTTAAGCTCACATGTTTTTTCGCACAAATTAAGGGCAAATTTTTGCAATAAATATTACTAATGCGAACTTCAGTACGATGACATAGCCCTAAGTTTTATTACATATATAATGTTAGGTATAAATGTCCTTTAAAATTGATATCTAAAGTTTCCAAAGTGGATGTTTTAGAGGGGAATTTATCAATAAATGGTATGGTGTTTCTACTATGGGATTCTACCATAGTTACAAATTATGTAAAACGAGCTTCCTTTGATACAATGCAGTTGGAAATTTAAAATTTTCTTCTTAAAGGTGAGTATTAAAAAAAAAAATTCTTTGCTCATTAACCATACTCCTCTTGGTTTTGTCGAAATGTAGCAAAAGGGATAACATTACAGAAAGAAACCATACTAAAGGGTAGGGTAATAAAATATTGTTAATTTTTGAATAGTAAATTCTAGGAAAAGGAAAATTAATCTGGATTTACGGTTGGCTGTGGAATGGATCTTTCATGATTCTAGATTTTAGAAGGTGACACTCTGAAAAAAGCCACGTTATAAACATACAAAGCAGTCAAACAGATGAAAAATACTATTATCACCCTGCGTTAAAGAGTCAGAATGTACAGAAATAAGAAATTACAGTAGCTGAACTGTGCCCGTGTCTACCTTTCTGCAAAGAGCTACTGCTTTCAAAAGAACGGATAAAAAGACAGCTGCAATTGGAAAGAAACCACAAAAAATCAATGGAAATAGTTATTTTTCAGGAAAGAATATATTAAAGTTCCACCAATTGATTTGTGTGAATTATGTTTTAGTAAATGAAATAAATCTCAAATAATGTAAACAAATACTTTTGAAATGTATATTGTCTCAGTACACAATTTTACATTATAACGTTGTGACTTTTATTTGTGCGAAAAAAACGTGAGCTTAAAAAGTGCGTTGAGCTGTATTTATATTGAAAAATCTTGATTTGTTTTGTGAAAGACTCATGAAAATCTATTTGTTTTTTTTTCCAGCTTACCAGCTACCGATCGTTGAGCAGAGCAAATATGGAACAGGTAAAAAAGTATGCATATTGGTAAGTACATTTGACGTTATTGAGGTTATCTGAAAAATAAAATATATTGGTATAATGCCAGTTTAAAACTTTTGAAACTGTTTCTATTGTGATTTAGATTGCATTTTGTATTTTAATTAGGGATGTCAACGAGTACCCGGTTAACCGGGTACTCGATCGAACGTCCGAGTATCGAATACTAAAACTGGTACTCGGTTACTCGGATGTATATTTTTTTTCTTTTTCCAAAATACATATATTTATGAAAAACTTATCAAAAAATAACTTTAATGTGGATACGATAATTAGCGTGTCGTCGTCTACACCTTTAAAACACCCGTTATAGCCTGTGGTTGTGTATATACAGTAATTAGTGGCCAATTACCTGGTACACAGCTTTTCTCACCTATTGGGATCCTTAATTTTTGGATGGTTTCAATGATTTGTTTTCATTGATGATCGATTGATGTGCTCTTATCTTTAAAACATTTTAAAATTATTTAGTAAACGGTACCGAAATCTGGCATGCATAAATATACCGCTACCGACTTTAAAGTATAAAGAAATTGTATGTAATACATGAAATTGAAGATTGAAAAAAAATTAAATCAGCTCTGTGGAATAAATATAACGTATACGGGGCAATAACAATATACGACAACTCATTCCAACAATCTGCTTCGAGCTTCGCGAGTGTGGTCATTACAAAGGTGCATGGCAGATTGATTAATTTAAAGCGTCTTCCCAAACAAGAACTGTAAACCATTAATTTGTAATTCTTGGTGAATCAAATTGATGTCTTTTATGTTAAATAAATAAATTAAGTACAATAAATCATTTTCGGTGGACTCCACGTTTTTAAACATGTACTAAAAACATAATAAAAAACAACATTGGGGTTAAAGAGAGCTTAACTAGGTTTAAGATTAAAATGAACAGCATTATACCCGGGTACTCGATCGGAAAAACGTCCGAGTAACCGATTATCAAATATTGACCGATTTGACATCCCTAATTTTAATACATTAAGGTAGTACACAATAGATAGGACAAATTAAGGTAGTACACAAAAGATAGGACAAATTTTTCCTCATATTGAATTCTTTGAAACTTTGAAAATATATTCTAATTTACAAAATCTCTCTTATATATGATAGGAAAAAAATTCAACATCACGTTTTTCAAACATATTTGAATTATGATCTATCATAGAAGAATGTGAATTTTACATTCGACTTGAGAATGAACCTTACTTCAAAATTATCAATTAGTCTATTGCAAATGTGTCTGATTCTATTTGTAAAGACAACATTCTTGTTACTAAAATTCAGTAAGTTATATTTATACTAGTAAAGAGTAAAAGATGATGTAAAAATAGTAACATAAAGCGTCGGAATTGAAAATTCAGTAGATGACGGCACAATATTTGAACTTTGTACTCTTGATATGACCTTGACCTTTATAGTATATAAAGAATGGAGACTCTTTATATATGTTTCCAAATATTAGCCCTCTACAATTTATGAAACAAAAGTTACACTGCAAATAATAACAGTCAGTTACACGCTTTTTATTGCTTTTAGACAGCACAGACATTCTAAAATGTAACCTGCGAAGTGACAATTAGTTACTCAGTATTCTCAGATTTCTTCCCAAAATATGAAGAACACGTGCCACAACTTATTATTTTTAATAAGAATCATTCATTGTTGCCAATATAGTAATATTTATACATAAGATAAAATTCATGAGTGTTTTGTACTACCTTTATTTTATATTTTTGTTAATATTGGCATACAAAGCACCAATAGCAATAAATAATAAAAATTATACATTTATCAACGTGAGAGTGAATTCAACATTCCCTACGTTGCCAAGATATACTTGAACATTTATATTTTATAAATATAATTACAAGAATTTTTCAAAATCTTCTTTCTAAAACAATTATTTATAGACAATTCGGAAACAAAATCATACCTTGATGCTAATAAAAGATTAATTCCTATTTTAGAGATCTTATATTATTTTGATTCTCAGTTAGTCGTGCTATTATTACACTTTCCTTGACGTCGCGGACTGTGTAGCATTGGTAATACCTGGATCGACGGGAGTCGGTCATTATTTGTCACAATCCACATCAATCACACGCTTCAGTTCTCTGACAAATGTCGACGTCATAGTTACGTTTTAATTATCAGCTACAACAATGGTGACCCTTGACCTCCCACATAAACATCCGGAATGAATGCTACAAATGTGACAGAAGAGAAAATATTTGTGTACATGAAAATATGCGCTTGAAAACACGTTTTAAAAGTACAGAGCTTTGGAGAGTGAAGATAAAAGCGATTTGCAGAGGTCACAAGCCAGGACTACTGTGACGCCATTCGAGGTTTCTGAAGACTTTGACACATTAAAATAAATCAGTGGTTTACCTACGATGAACCATTGATTTAATTACGGAAAAGGAAGTGTAATGTGTAATTCATCAATAATTACACCTTGAGATTCCCCTGTTAATTTGTACCAGGAAATTTTCTTCCATATTTTAAAAGTTTCAAAAAAGTAACATCATTTCATGATGCAAAACATATAATTATCTTCATCAAATACAAGTTAAGGTATTCTCAGACTATGGAAAATATAATTAAAGGATCTTGAATTATCAAGAAATCAACTCACCTAACCTGTAAAGAGTATTCACAGAGAAACAAAGAAACAAATTTATAGAAATGGAAAGATTGATGATGTTTTGCGGTAATTAAAACTACAGAAAAATACAATAGATTTGTTTAAACATTTTAAAGAATGTGCAAGAACAAATAATAAAAATGAATTTATATGATCTATAACTTCTAGTATCAAATTGAATTGGTGACTGATTGGCATAGTCTTCGACCTTGGGAAACATTTTTGACTTCTGGTCCCACAACTTATTTCTTGTCAATTGTCATTTGCCAATTTTTTGGAGAAAAATCCTATTGTTCACACAAGTACTAAGACTTGAGTTTCGGATTGACAATATATGTAGTTTTGGATATCAGGTCTTCCATTTATCTGTTTAAATTGCTATGGGTACTAAATGTGTCCCGTTATTAACAGACCTTTTTTTGTATTCACATGAAGCAGAATTTATTCAAAATCGTATATTCGAGAAGAAAAAGTAAAAACGAAACTCTAGTTTAGGACTACAACCCCTTACAAAAAATACTGTAGTTAACTATAGTTTACTATAGTTAACTATAGTGAACACTTTGACCCTATGAAAACTTTGATTTACTGTATAATAGTGAACACTTTGACACTTTGGTTTACTATAGAGAACACGTTGACACTTTGAGTTACTATAGTGAATACTTTGACACTTTGATTTAATATAGTGATAACTATGAAAACTTTGATTACCCATAGTGATCACTATGGTAACTTTGATTTACTATGGAAAAACTTTGATTTACTATCGTGATAACTTTGAAAACTTTGATTTACTATAGTGATAACTTTAAAACTATAATGATCACTTTGAAAACTTTGATTTACTATAGCGATAAATTGACACTTTGATTCACTATAGTTTACTATAGTTAACTATAGTAAACTATAGTAATCTACAGTAAACTACATTATTTTTTTGTTAGGGACTCGACATTTAGATATATCGACGATATACAATGTATTAATAATTAACAATAGTCATTTCTATTGGTATTTCCATTCAATGTATCCAACTGAACATCAAATATAAGACTCAACACACAGTCTGACGCATCTGATTCGTATTTGAATACTGTATACAGGGTTATTTTTGCACTTTCACACAAATATTTGCCCTGTTTTAAATTCGCCCAGTTACAATTCCTTAGAAATCATACTGTGTTTTCTAAATTCATCCTCCTGTGAGTAGAGCAAATGGAGGCGAAAATTTCCCTGTATACAGTATTGTACTAGAAAAAGACGTTAATAAATTTTTGTCAACAAAGTGTTATGATAAGGGTGACGATTTTAACTTTTCTTACTCCTCCATGGTACCTTATCCTAATTCTGTTGCTTTTAGGGGACATGTTTACTCTGCTTCCCATTCGTATAGTTTGAGCTTGAATACTCTTCATTATCTCCATATTTCCTTGAACGAATTTCAGACAATTGCTGTTTTTCTGATTTCTCCATTTAAATGCGACTTGTTGACAAATCTGGATATCACTAACATTACTTGACATCTTCTTGGAATGTTTTGTACTGTAAAATCTTAATAAATGTGTAACGAACAATTTAGTATGAACCTTTAAATGCTGATTTATAAACATTCTTAATTTTTTACTTTTTTAATTTAAAACGTTTGTTGTTGAATTTCAATGTGAATGAATACCTATTATGTTTTCATGATGAAAACTTATTTAATACATCTACTCGCAATGCTAAAATTATATATCAGATCACCTGCATATGTTTTTTTGTGCTAAAAGTATTTAGAATACACCTTGATATTTTTGTAAATGAATATATAAATCTTAATGATTTATTAATATAGGTGATAGAGCACACAAATGAACAACATAATGTGCTTCACATACTGCCAATTTATGACAGTAATTGTCAAAGTGATTCTCATTATAAATACTGCAGAGTTAATCATACAAAAATGAAACAAGATGCTCTTTTGAATAGGACAACTTCACATAGTCTATATAAATTATCTGCGAAATGGATGTATTTAAATCTTTTTTAAAAGAATAACGAGATATCAATTTCGATTAGTCTTAAATAATGCAAGCATGAATCTCTCAGAAGCTAAATATAATAGGCAGACTCGGTTTTCTTCTTTACATATTATACTCAATTTTGTGTTCATTCTAGTAGGAAAATGCAGATTTTTGATCAGGTCATCCTTTTTTTCCTGAGTTGCAAAGAAAACCCAGACTAAAGGTTAACAAGTTTTGTCTTCCTTTGCAGTGCTAGTAATTTAAACTTTATTGAAGAAGAATTACTAGTAAATATTATTATAATTCTTCATACATGTGTACGTGGAGATGGGATGATACTTACCTTGATTTTTCACCTCGTAACTGGCAAATAATTTCTTAATATTCTAACCAGCGTGTTCGATATATTTCAAATGATGTTAATCATTATAAAAGGTCTTAAATCCTGCAAGCATAGTTAGCCTTGTTTTTGACTGTAATAATGAAATTGTAAATCTCTCTTCTTTTGTTTGTTGAAGTAAATGTTAAGGTATTATCTCTTAACTTCTCGCCTACGCTGATCAGAACAATGTTGGATGTCTGTCAAAATTTCAGCCATTCTGATTGTTCTGGTTATTTGAATTCTTGATTATTACTTGCCAATTGTGTTACCTTTATCAAACAAAAATATGAAGATGTATTTCTTATTTTTTTTTTCATTTTAAAGAGTAAGGTATGGTTTCAATACAGATCTTGTCCTTTTTTTTTCTAAAAATGAACTTGACGTAAAAAAAAATTAAAACGCATGCTTTCTGAGTCTTTGAAATTCCATGAATGAATGTTAAACAAATCATTTTTTTCTCATGACCTTCTCAATGCTAATTGTAATGCCATTTAATTGTGCACTTATTTCCCGATCATGACAAGGAGCACACGACTGGTCAGCAGGGAATGCTCACTCCTCCATGGCACCTGATCCCACCTCTGATGTTTTGGAGGTCCTGTTTGCTTTGCTTCTGTTTTGTATTGTTGTATGGTCTTTTGATCTTGAATACTGTTCGTTATCTCCATATGTTTCATTATTCTGAAAAACACCCAAAATCAGGGGCCAAAAAGAGTCTTAGTTTATCTTTTTGTCCTTTTATTACTATTATTACTGTATTATATTTAAATAGAACATGAAATTGTTAAAAAAAAAAAAAAACTAAAAAAAAACTTGAAAACATACATTCGATCAGACTGACGGAAAGTCGAACAAGTTATTAAGAGTGAATAATGCTAAATCTGGTGCTCGAATCTAGGAGGACCATAATTAGAAACTTTTAGTAAAGTTTATTTCATATATAAATTAATAAAACATTGTACAAATAATATATTATAAAAGATTTACGAACAAACGAACGTAACATTTACAACTACTGTATAATGTATCTTAAATATATAGAAATGTGATTGGCTATCTTTAAAGTGTACAAATGATAGAGGACACATGATATGAATTGATTGAAATGTGAGTCTAATGCATGAACACATACAACTTTATTATTAGAGTAAAGTTATGTAGCTGGGGGCAAATATCTTCAAATGCTATTATTCTGTTTTCTTGGAGCTCTGAAATTCGTTTTCCACGCTTCTGAAGATTTTACTTGGAATGATATATCTGAATCATCAATCTCTTCTATCTGCTCTATATATTGCATTTAGGTTAAAGGGTCAGACATGCACTTCTCTTTGTTTCATAACATTCACCGTGTTTTAAAATGTCTCTTAAACAATACACCTGCTATGCAGGTATGCTTCGGCCAATCAGAACGTAGTCCATATCCCGTGAAGGGAGTAACACAGTGCGCTGTAATGAAATGAGTGGATTTCATGTACAATTTTGGTGAATTAAGTCCATTTTCAAACAAGCCACTAATCAATAAGGAGCCCATCTCATCTTCAGCTTAGTGACAAATGGCTTGCGATCACATAAGATCAATTCAAGGATTAACATTTACCCTCTGTCCTGTAACTGGGTCCTGAAACAAGACCGAGCTAAGATCTATTCCTAGCTGACTGTCAGGCACGTTAGACTGTCTAAACTCACTAGCAATTCTGGCGTGAATATCTCCAAATCCAGAATTTTGTTGGGTCCCAAATCGTCCAGCTTGAGTTTGCTGTGGAACTCTCGTAAAACCCCCGCCTTGTGGCTGTTGAGGACCTGCACCAAACGCACCCGGGGTAGATTCTCTGAACCCAGTAAAGAAATCTGTCACCTGTCTCCCGGGGGCGCCTCCTACCTGTCCCCCACTGTGGTGGTGGTTGTGGGTACCCTGGCCTTCATGGTGGTGGTCATCGTGTCCCGTGTGTGTGTCTGGGATTGGGATTAATTGTCCAGTGGCCCCTGGTCGTGATTGATCATGTGTGTGGTCGATGTTAGGGTTTGTAAGGTGTGTCAGAGTATGGGCATCTAACAAAACAAGATTAATAGTTGTAGATGCATAAAGGACTTGGTTAACTTTATATCCATAACAATTTATTTCCTTGATTAAATTCTGTGTTCTTACCGATTTCACAATGACCATTATGACAAACTTCGGGGGAGACACATGGGACCTGAAAAATGTACAAGAGTATAATTGATGTGGCCGCAAATAAATTAAGAAATTTATACATCTTTTGTTTTATAGAAATTCAAAAAGATCATTTTTGAAATGAAACTATAACTCGTTTCAATGTTCTTCGATTAAGAAAGTACTATGCATGTACTAGTATTTGTCTTTAAAAAAGAAGAAAATCAGTTTACTTACAGGACAGGTGTTTTGTTTTGTCCCTTCTGAAAATAGAGAAAGCATGATATTTTATGCTAATAAAATTATTTTAAGTTAAGTTTCATGTATTATATGTTATTTTGTATTTCCCCACTTTGTGCCTCTTTATCTGTAAACCCGTGGGGACCCCCCGGTAACTTTATCCTTTTGAGATAAGAGAACTAGCATCATTATATCTACTGCTATTGTAAAGACAAGACGGCCAAACATTTGCTGAAATATTTTTTGGATTACTCGAGATTAAAACTTCCTGTGAGAGGTAATATTAATTGACGATTTATTTCGTATTCTTCTGTGGACATCTTCCTGTGTTGTTGTCGGTGTGGTGAAAACGAAAGTAGATACTCCAATGGCTCCCATTCGCGTAGCGATTATAGGACATTCCTTTATTCGGCGGTTGCAGAATTTTATTGCTCATAACACTGAGAATGACAATTTGATACTTTATAGGCATTTATTTGATGTACAGTTTCTTAGTGAAGGAGGTTTGACTGTCGATCGCATGGTTCACGGACCCAAATTTACGTCATTTGATCCGCCTCCCCAGATCGTTTTTCTACAGATTGGAGGAAATGACCTAGATAATACCCATCTAGATGTAGACGCCTTGGTGAGAAAAATCCAGAGTTATGTAAATTACTTGGTTCTGGGATGTGGAGTGCGGCATGTCGTTATCGGCCAAATTCTGCGGCGCAACAGGAGGGGTGATTACAACTCCCGGGTCGTCGAGGCTAATTGCTGTCTACAGAACTGGGCCTCCTCTCTAGACAATATCTCGTTTCATCATCACCATGGTTTCTGGAAGGACTTATCATTCCTAAGTACAGATGGCGTACACATCAGGTGTTCCCGCACCGACAGCAGCCAGATGAGAAAGTACCTGCAAAGCGTGAAGAGGGCCGTCTTGCGAGCTTCTCGCACCATTTGGTAATCATGTTCTATTTATACGCATGTGGCAATTAATGTATTGCTTCATGCAAATCCATCCCATATAGCAGTAGATAACTATTATATCATTACCGCATTATATCTTACTTGAATTACATGTGGTAATTATTGTATTGCTTCGTGCAAATCCATTCCATATATAGCAGTAGATAACCATGATGTCATTATATCTTACTTCAATATGCTATATAAACTCAAATTTTCTCTTAGATTTCCATAATTTTAACATTTTTGGGTCTCGTGCAACAAGTCTTAACTAAATTAATAGGTTTACCAATGGACCAATTATTTGTTACTTACATAGATTAAGATCAATATTAGAATTTCAACTGGGTAATGTTACCATTTCTTATTCATTTATTAAATACCTGCAGTCTGAATTGATATTTGTTTCTAGGCACAAAGTGTACAGTCTGCTTGGTTAGAGTACCACTCTTCATAGCATTAGTTCATTGGTAAAACATGCTTTGTTTCTTTAGTTTAGAATTTGTGGTGTCAAAGCTCATAGCTTATTAGTTGGTTTCATTGCTGTTCCCATTGCATTAGTTGTATGAGATTGGACATCTTTCTATATGTATAAAGGTAGCACTAGATTTTGCTTGGATGACCATTTGTTATTCATACAGTGCTGCCATACATTTTAATTATTTATTTATTTATCATGTTTATCACTGGTACCATTTGCACTTGTTTGTATGACCATTTGTCATTCATGGAGTGATGCCACATTTTTTGTACCAAGTACCATTTGTACTTGGTTTGAATGGCCATTTGTCATTCATTGCTGCTAGCAGGTTTGAACTTGTATAATTTTGACCATTTGTCAAAGTGCATTGTACATGTTCTGGTACCATTTGTACCATTGTTTGTTATCATGTGCCATTTGTACATGATGGGATGACCATTTGTCATCTTTTTTCTGCTAGCAGTATTTCTTTGTGTTGAACTCTGACCACGTGTCAGTTTTCTATTGGCATCACTCACTTGTGCTTGGTATTTTTTGTAAAACATGTATTTCAGTTTGAAATTGAGGGCTAGAGACACCTACTTTCAATCATATATGACAATATAAGGCTATAGTATGGTCTTCATTTGCAATTAATATAGTCATATAATTTTGTATATACAGAACTTTACATTGGTACTGTTAGTTTAACTTAATTTAGAACAAAACTTTTTTATTATATGCCTCAATTTCAGCAATGCCACTCAAGAAAAGGCAAGAGCCTGGTAAACTATATAAACTCAAAGTTTCTCTTGGGTTGCTATAACTTTAACAGTTTAGGTCTTGTGCAACTAGTCTGACCTACATTAATAGGTTTACCAATAGATCTATTATTTGTTTACTTACATAGATTAAGGTCAATATTAGAATTCTTTTTAAAAACAAGTTTATCATGGGTTGCGACTATCAGTATGTATTTAATTACTAATTGTCATTCAAATATAGATATATAGGTTAATGGATACATCTGCCATTTTCAACTGGGTAAATGTTACCATTTCTTATTCATTTATTAAATACCTGCAGTTTGAATTGATATTTGTTTCTAGGCACAAAGTGTACAGTCTGCTTGGTTAGAGTACCACTCGTCATAGCATTAGTTCATTGGTAAAACATGCACTGTTTCTTTAATTTGGAATTTGTGGTGTCGTAGCTCATAGCGTATTAGTTGGTTTCAATGCTGTTCCCATTACCTTAGTTATACGAGACTGGACATCTTACTATATATATATATATATAGCTAGCACTAGGTTTTGTTTGGATGACCATTTGTTATTCATACAGTGCTGCCATACATTTTAATTATTTATTTATTCATTTATCATGTTTATCACTGGTACCATTTGCACTTGTTTGTATGACCATTTGTCATTCATCGAGTGATGCCACATTTTTGTACCATGTACCATTTGTACTTGGTTTGAATGGCCATTTGTCATTCATTGCTGCTAGCAGGTTTGAACTTGTATAAATTTGACCATTTGTCAAAATGCATTGTACATGTTCTGGTACCATTTGTACCATTGTTTGTTATCATGTGCCATTTGTACATGATGGGATGACCATTTGTCATCTTTTTTCTGCTAGCAGTATTTCTTTGTGTTGAACTCTGACCACGTGTCAGTTTTCTATTGGCATCACTCACTTGTGCTTGGTATTTTTTGTAAAACATGTATTTCAGTTTGAAATTGAGGGCTAGAGACACCTACTCTTCAATTATATATGACAATATAAGACTATAGTTTGGTCTTCATTTGAAATTACATGTAACATATAATTTTGTATATAGAGAACCTCACATTGGTACCGTTAGTTCAATTTTATTTAGAACAAGAACTTTTTATTATATGCCTCCATTTCAGCAATGCCACCCAAGAAAAGGCAAGAGCCAGGGCCTAATGGACAGACTCGTAAAAGACAGCGGAGACAAAGGTCATCTAGTGACGAATCGTTGCCACAAATCGATTACAATAAACTAGCGGAAGCTATCCTAAAGAAGCAGGGCCGGGTGACCGAGACAGACAATGGGGAAAGTCCAGTATCTCTTGAGCCCAGTAAAGATGTGGAAACGCCACTACAAGCGCCTTCGGTGAATTGTTTGCCTGACACAGCCAATACAGCAGTGAATACAAATAATGTTTTAGGTGCAGCCCAACAATCAAGTTTCCTCCTAACTTTGGATAAAATTTTTGGGGGTGAGTCTATTGTAAGTAGTTCAGTGGATGATAACAATGTCACACCACTGCAGTTATCAGGGGGTATACCATTAGGGGCAACTATTCCCTTGCGTGTAAAGCAAAAAATTTGGGCTAATCAGTATATTGACTTAAGGGTGTTATTGCCTGAACACAAACAAGAAACTGTGTCTGTACAAATTGAAGAAGGATCAATCAAATTGAATGCCAAACAGTCAGAGAAAACCCCATTATCCATTTATCAATGGACAAATGCCTTTATAACTTTCATGTCAATTTATATTGAGTCAAATTCACAGTCAGCCTCAAATTTGCTTAAGTACATGTCAACAGTCCGTCACCTCCATGCATCCAATGGTGAGTCAGCCTGGAGGTTATATGATGAGCAGTTTAGGAAGTTGCGTGAGGTGTCAGACCTGCCTTGGCAACAACCCCTTAATGAGTTAATCATAAGAGTAACAACAATGTCAAAATCACATAATCAAACATTCCCACGCAACATATCATCAAACAATCGGTCTTTTCGGGGACCAATAAGGTTTTGCTACACTTACAACAATAGACAGCAATGTACATCAACAAATTGCCCATACAGACACATATGCTCGGTGTGCAAAGAGACACATCCCCGAATTCGGTGTACAAAGCAAAAATCAGACACTCAAAATGCAACCAATTCTCAATCTCAACGTCAATCAGGAAAATCTAAACCTACCAACCCCAGTACAAGCACATCATCTTGAGCATTACCTACAAGGTTATGACCCCTTTCTTTCTCATTACTTAGTTCAAGGTTATTCAGCCAAAAATACAGTTCAACAATAGCATCTCATTGCTTAGTTTTGTACACAAATTCAGGAAAGTAGTGATCTCTGTCAGTCATTTCTTTTTTAAAAATTGCTCAAAGGTGTCCATCACGCATCTGGTACTTCTGCAGATTTACGCCTGCCTATTACATAGTCAATTTTATTAAAAAATTATAATGCTTTGGATAAGACAGTTCCACGATATGATTTAAGACAACTATTGAAAACATTATTATTACTTGCTTTCCTTGCCTGCTTGCGTTTAGGGGAGTTGATAGTAAAATCTAAGGTTTCTTACAATATTGTGGTTCAGCGTTCTGATTTTCATTTTGATGAATCCCGGTCAGATGTCTTTAGACTCAAAAATCTTAGAACTGAACAGACTAGCTCGCCTATAACCATCCAACTAACAGCATTAACTATGCCTCCTTTTTGTACAGTAGCAAACCTCAAGCCTTATTTAGTACAGTTTCTAAACCAACAGGTTCCCCCTTTTCAGTTTAAATCATCCATGCCAGTGATCTATCAGTTCGTCACTTCTCACTTAAACACTGCCACATCCTTCATTGGTTTAAATCTAAACTCTATAAGGGTCATAGTTTCTGTATTGGGTCTGCCACAGAAATGGCACAAAGGGGGGTTCCTGAGCACACAATTAAAAAGTTAGGTAGGTGGGGGTCCGATGCCTTTAGGCATTACATCCGTATTCAATCATTTCCCCTACAGTAAATTTTCCTACCCTTTGAGTTGCTCAGCAAAGGTCAGTGGCCAGCAAAATTGTTGCACTGCCCATATTTTTGTGCTTTTTGGACATTAACTTGGTGGCCAGCATTTTGTTGCACCAGTACTGCTATGCGTATTTTCAGTAATTGACTAATGGTCAGCTTTTTTGGTTGCATTAGTCAAGAAATCCATGGTTAACATATCATTACTTGAAGCATGTTGCCCCACTGCCCATATTGGGGGGGCGGGGTGCATTAACTTGGTGGCCAGCATTTTGTTGCACCAAAAATTACATAGCGATTCTTTCCGCATTCGACTAATAGTCAGCAATTGAGTTGTATTAGTCATGTAATGAATAGTTAAAATACGGTTGCATTGAATTTCATTGTGAAGAATGCATTGTTTTGACTGTGTTGGACAATCATGTGAATACCAAGATGTACACTTAATTTGCAATTTGGAAATTTTTGGGATTCCTTTTTAGTGTTTATTTGCTTAGGATTGTTGATAACAATTTTACTTTTAATTGCTCCTCTTAAAAATTTCCCCATTGGGCTGCACCTAGGTTACTCATTTGAATCTTATATACATTGCCAGTATCATGCTATTGACAATATGTTTTATATTGAATCTAAATTAGTTATTTTGAATAAAACAATGATAATGCATTTTCTGACTATATTTCGGGTGGCGCAAGGAAAGGCTTGTAGCCTTTCCTTTTTTGGCCATATTTTGGAGGCCACCTATTTTGCCAAATTATATATGTTATGTAATAGTCACATACTGGGAGACTAATTGTTATTGCATAATTGTGTTTATAATTTTTCTCAGGAATTGTGTTTTAAGGTTACATTGTCTCCCAGTCTTTTTTATTCAGTTTTATGTATTATGTTATATGTTGTCATTTCATAATAAATGACATATTTTTGGAACAAACATGTCTTGCGTTATTTGGCAAAAAACAAGCTCAATGTTGTCAGACTGGTGTTTAATTGAAGGAATGAAAGCTAAACTTAAATGATATTTTATGCTAATAAAATTATTTTAAGTTAAGTTTCATGTATTATATGTTATTTTGTATTTCCCCACTTTGTGCCTCTTTATCTGTAAACCCGTGGGGACCCCCCGGTAACTTTATCCTTTTGAGATAAGAGAACTAGCATCATTATATCTACTGCTATTGTAAAGACAAGACGGCCAAACATTTGCTGAAATATTTTTTGGATTACCCACCTCCATCCCCAAACAGACTTTAATTGTACACTAGGCCACCTCAAGCTCATATGTCTATGTTTTCATTGTAAATAATTCTTTTTATATGTCTATTATATTGTTAGTCACATACTATGTAGGCCAAATAATGGAGTTTTGAGCCAATTCATATGTATAAGGCCATATTTTGGAGGCCACCTATTTTGCCAAATTATATATGTTATGTAATAGTCACATACTGGGAGACTAATTGTTATTGCATAATTGTGTTTATAATTTTTCTCAGGAATTGTGTTTTAAGGTTACATTGTCTCCCAGTCTTTTTTATTCAGTTTTATGTATTATGTTATATGTTGTCATTTCATAATAAATGACATATTTTTGGAACAAACATGTCTTGCGTTATTTGGCAAAAAACAAGCTCAATGTTGTCAGACTGGTGTTTAATTGAAGGAATGAAAGCTAAACTTAAAATTTGTTATTATTTTGATTTGAAATAACTCAAATCGGTTCACAAGAAACAGAAATAAGATAGGAAAAAAGCAGTTGTTCAAATTTGGTTTGGTATTGTATTCTCCCTATTACGCAAATGTTCAAGTACAAATTGTGTGATTTTTCTCCCATGGAAATCAACATGTAAAGGTTTATATAATTCCATACAGGGATTGCAAAGTTATGATCCAGACACACAGAAAGACAGCTAACTAAACCTGCTTGTTTGTCCTTCCATTTATGGAGTTGGGATCAAGAAATATTTATTTCTGATGGGTAAGGAAAGAAACAAATTAAAAAACACAAAACAAATAGATACCTAAGTCACAGTGTCCATCGTGGCAGTAATACCCCGGAGGACAGGGCTCCTGTAAAAACAAAATATTGTATATATTATTAGGGAAATTCGAGTAATTAAAAAGAGAACCTGAATATTTATTGTTTTACATCATGTACGTTTAATATGTAAAAAAAAAAACTCACTACACAAGGTTTTTCCACTTTTGGAGTAGGCACTAAAACAAAGAGGATTGATATTAGTTTTATTTCGTTATCTCAAATTCCATTTCCCCGATACATTAAAATTTATTTGTTTTTCGATCAATAAGTGTTTTGTAACAAGGTTTTGACAAAGTTGTGAGGTAATCAATTAAGTTGTGAGGTAATCAATTAAAATCAAAGAAAAGTGATATGAAGTTCAACTGACATGAATTATTTATTCATAAAAAAGTAACTAACAAAAGTACAAAAAATGTATTCAAAGATAAAATTGTTGTCAAACAGGAAATCGATAAAATTCAAAATATTTGTTGCATTCGAAGAAAAAACCAGAGATATTCACATGATAAATATATAATGTATAATTAAAGTTTGCAAGAGTCATTAGTCCATATATTATGAATAGAAGGCAGAATAGAGATGAAACATATGGAGAAAACGAACCGTGTTCCAGGTCTTAAGTCCATAAAACAATACAAAATAGGAGCAGAGCAAACACGGACCTCCAAAACATCAGAGGTGAGATCAGGTGCCATCGAGGAGTGAGCATCCCCTGCGGACCGGTCATACTCGCCATGTGCTCCTTGTCATGATCGAGAATTAACGGAAAAATCGGTTTTCAATTCAGTGTAGTGTAAATAATGGACTAACAATTAGTATGAAAAACGTTAATCAGCATTTGACTCAATAATAATTTGCATTTGCTGACAAGGTCATTGTATCGACCATAGAACTTACAAAATGATGTTTCATCAACTTGATTGTCAATAATTTACGTCGTTTTAGAAATTGTTTATATGTAGAACATGGTTTTGCGTATCAAATCAACTGAGATACATAAACTCCGTATGCAGGTGATGAAGGTATATTGCCGCATAAGTAAGAGAATTTGACGATAGAAAAGTTAAAGTCATCACGTTTATCATAGAGCTTGGTTGTTAAATTACTATTAACGTCTTTTTCAAGTAAAATATCCAAATATAAAACAGGTGTGTCAGACTCTGTAGTATCTTTTATTTCAAGCTCACCAGGATATATCGTATCGACAAAATGATAAGAATGGAAATAACCATTGTTAATTGACAATACGTCGTCGATACATCTAAATGTCGAGTTGAAGGCAATAGCAAGTGTTTTCTTCTTTTCACGCATAAGATTTTTCACAAATTCTGCTTCATAGGAATACAGAAATAGGTCTGCTAATAACAGGGTGCAAATTGGTACCCATGGGAATTACAATAGATTAATGGAAGACCTGGTCTCCAAAAACAATATAGATATTGTCAATCAGAAACTCAAACATCTTTTTAATGTCAACTTCAGAGTACTTGTGTGTGCAGTCAGAATATGTTTTAACAAAATAATTTTGCAAATGGCCAATGACTAAGTAAATTTACGAGTTCCATTTTATTGAAAAAGCAGATGTCAATGATTTCGGAAAGCCTGGACTTTAATTTTTCGTGGGGAACGGTTGTTTATAACGTTGAAAAGTCCTAAGTTTTTAAGCTGTTGATTTTGGTAAAATCTTATAATTTCAAATTGTCCAAAGTTCCTTGAAATTTTTAAGTATTCACATCTGATTAACACCACTTCTTAAATATAATGTCGACAGTACAAAATTAAAACTCATGAAACCTGTTTTTATCATAACAAAATACGGTTTATAAGACGCTATAGTCTTTTTATGCTGAAGGTTATGGGTATTTGATATATTTGATTCATTCATTTGATCTTGTCTTCGGATATTCATGTCGACTTTATTAAAAAAAACTTTCTTTGCTAAAGAAAGTTTTTTATGCTATCAAATGCATTACTCAAAGCTTTAATATTTCTTCAGTTTACTAAATGTTGCAAAGTTTGGTGTAATGTGAAAAATCAAGTGTAACTAGAAGTATCGGTATTCTTGGATCAGTGTTACTTAGAATTAGTATCAGCTTGTATCAGTAATATACAGTCTACCAATGCTGTAACAGTAGTATCTTTATATACCAGCAATACTTACCTTTATCACAATGATGACCGTCATGACAAACGTAACCTGGCGGACAAGGGGGCTGAAAGGTCAATAATTATATCATCAACACACTATATTAAACAAACACAAAACGAATGATTAAAAAATATTTTGGAAAATTCTCTTCCTTTTGTGGTATTTTTTTTTTTACTTACATTGCACTGAGGCTCTCTTGGCACTTCATTCTCTGTGGAAAAAAATTAATTCAGGAATTTAGAAACAGAATATTAATACAGGAGTTTTTCTTCTTGGCATTAAGTAGAAGTATAAAATTATATAAAAGATTACTGAATATAGAATATGTAGCTAAAGAATATAGAGTAAATACAACAGTTTAATAATTAGAGGTGAATATAAATGCTACATAAAAAAGTAAATATTAATGTTTAATAATTTTGAATTAGTTATTGCAGTATCTGTACTTACCTGCTAGACACCTTCCCCTATAACACACCTGTCCAGGACAACAGGTAGGCTGAAAGAAGAAAAGGCAGGTATACAACAGGTGTAAAAGAAAGAAGGAAGTATATTATACAACAGGTGATAAAGAAAAAAATATTTTAGTGGACAGCAAGTAGGTTAAAAAAGAAAAAAGTGTAAATATAGGTCTTATATGAATATTGAATGAATAGGTAAATGTCTGTGAATATTTGTTGAAGACTGTGAAAATCCCATGCCGTCAAAGTTATTACATGCATTATAATCAAACAAATTATAATATATAAGCTATAATGCCATTTATCTTAATGATGGATGTAATTTTTACCAAACTAATCAAAGGAAACGCCTGTTTTGTATAACAATCTTTCTTTTCCAAATCGCCAATTCATGGAATTTATGAAATACTTTGCTTACATTATACTCATTTGAAATTTTCAGCAATTGAGATACGCCCCTTATATTTCGAGGACGGTATTTTAACTGATAAACATCCGCTGATGAAATTGATTTGTATCTGAATTTTATTTCTTTTATAATTTTATAAACGTTTGTTTTTTCATTAAGAAGTCATACATTATATATATGTATTATAAGACATTTCATGAATACAGCTAAGTTATAATAGTAATTATAGTCTTTTTAAAAAAGAATATTTGAATACTGAGAATTAGAGTATACCTTTTTACATTATTAGACAAAAAAAAAAGAAAGAAAGAAAGAAATCCCTTATAATTTGAATGCAAATATTTTAAGGTTAAATCAATTTATACATAGTAGTTTATTCTAACTTTTTAAAGAAGTTATTTATTCTATTCCACCAACTTTACTTACATATTTACAGAAAAAAAAGCGATTTTACCAGATGTAAAGGGTTTAAGTTATAATAGTAATTATAGTCTTTTTAAAAAAGAATATCTGAATACTGAGAATTAGTGTATACCTTATTTACATTATTAGACAAAAAAAGAAAGAAAGAAAGAAATCCCTTATAATTTGAATGCAAATATTTTAAGGATAAATCAATTTATACAAGGTAGTTTATTTTTACTTTTTAAAGAAGTTATTTATTCTATTCCACCACCTTTACTTACATATTTACAGAAAAAAGCGATTTTACCAGATGTAAAGGGTTTAAGTTATAATAGTAATTATAGTCTTTTTAAAAAAGAATATTTGAATACTGAGAATTAGAGTATACCTTATTTACATTATTAAACAAAAAAAAAAAAAAAAGAAAGAAAGAAAGAAAGAAATCCCTTATAATTTGAATGCAAATATTTTAAGGTTAAATCAATTTATACATGGTAGTTTATTCTAACTTTTTAAAGAAGTTATTTATTCTATTCCACCAACTTTACTTACATATTTACAGAAAAAAAAGCGATTTTACCAGATGTAAAGGACTTGACTACACAATGGATGTAGGTAATTAATAGATAAAGTTTCACAAACCTGGCAGCGACCTACAAAGAAAAATGAGAAAACTAGTTTATTTAATACGTGTAAAAGCAACTAAGAATATCATTTTCGTTATCACTATTTTCTTAATGAAGAGTTTTCTAAACAGTATTTGGTTTATTATCTTTAAAAAGATATCTCCATTCGTATCTTTAAAAAAAGAAGGAGAAAAGTTACAAGTTGAAAATTTGGGCGAGAAAAAAAAAACACAAAATATAGTTTGGAAGTAATTTATTGAAGAAAAAATTGTCGTAATCTTACCGACATCAAGGCATTTTCCATCACGACATGTTAGGCCATTGGAACATGGATGCTAAAATAAAATATTTACATCAGTATCGCAAAAGATATTTAGATGTTTAAACTACATGAATTTATTTCCCCCAAATTTTATTTGATCAAAGCAGTTCCTTAAGTAAAATACTTAAACACTCTAGCGTTCTGTTAATGTTATTTTAAGTCTTAATAATATACATTAAATACATACAAAGACAAATTTTGAAAATTCTGCTATTCTCAACTGACATATTAATTTATGAGATACATTTTCTTGTGGCTTTCACGTATATATTATTGAGAAACAGATTTTCTAATTTGAGATTCAATTTTAAGGAACTATGTCTTTTTTGGTCTTTAATTATAATACTGACGTTATCTCTAAGTAAGCTGACGGTAGAAATAGCAACAAAAATAGCAGATTTGTAGGGAATTACCATATGGGTTATTTTTTTTAATTTATGCATATTCATATATGTAACAAGATAAATTGGTGAATGACTCGGCGAAATCTATCTTAGGACATCCGAACTTTAGTGGTTTTACGTGAAGAAAGAGGATCCATCAAACAATGTTGCGGTAAGCTAAGGTCAATGAATTATACTTACATGACAAGGTGCTGAAAATATAAAAGATTTAAATCAATTAGTATACAAGAAGTTTAATTGTTCATATTAAAGCTTCAAAATTGTGACTAAAATTTAATGTCGATGGAAAAAAAATTATACGCACCCGGAACACAATTTCCATGATGACATTTAAATCCCTGGGAACAGCCAGGCTGAAATTATAAAAATCATATTGACATATTTGTTGGCATTGTATGAATAAATATTGTTTTAATAATTGAATATAAATTAAATTTGAAAGAAAGAAAACTAATGCAAGAACGGAAAAAGAACTTACACTACATAAAGAATCTGCACCTACTGCAAAATGAGAATAGAAAATTAGTTAAATTTCTATCTGAAGATAATGTAAATCAATAGGATATAATATAAAACCCGAGTGTATGTAAACCGAGATAGTTTAATTAAGTAAAAACACGCACAAAAAAGAATTTTCACATCCATGTATCTCATTATTTATGTATTTTCCATTTTTTTGAATAATTAATATTTATTATAATAACGAACGTAAAAAAAAAAATGAATATAAACATATATGTTCCTGTTTTCCGTCACCAAAACACTGTTCACATGTCATATTATTAATCAACATTACATCTCTCAGTCTAATTGTATAATAATCCAGGTATTAGAAGGGAAAACTAATATCTGAATCCCCACTCTAAAATACCTTACCTTGAGCTCATTAGTTATATTAGACACAAGAACTATATAAATAAGCCGTGTAATTGTAAATGACATTCAATAGCTTTACAATACTATGACACACCAAACACGTAACACTATATAAATATTTTGTCGTAATCACAAGAAAACTTACACTGGCACTCTCCTCCAAAAAACACAAGGCCTGGGGCACATGTGATCTAAATTATAGAAATAATATCATGAAATCCCCCCAAACTTACTATCATGGCATTCTCCAGCTACTAGTTTTAACCCTCGAGCACACGAAATCTAAAAGAATAAAATGTCTACGATGTAATGGTCTTGTTACCTTAAAAGATTAGTTTTTATATTTTTCAAAGTTACAATATCACTCGAAAATTGATATAACTTCTTTTCTTAGCAAGATGAAAATATTTTAAATGTTCAAATGTATTCGCTTTTTAAGTGACATATATTTAAGACATTACATTGCAAACTGGCTGGAGCTGGGATATATCTGGTATTGGTCCAAAATTTCCAGGAAATGCAGGTCGAAAATTTCCAGGAAATGAAGGTCGAAAATTTCCACGAGGATTTTGATTTCCGATTATTGAATTGCCTTGAAAAGGTTGCCACCTAATATTCTGAGGAAAAGATTGCTGATTTATTCGCTCATTCCTTCTTCCAAAAAGACGTTGACATCTGGGCATCCAAGGATACTGAAAACAACGCTGCCAGAACCAGCGAGATCTTGTTGGACGGAAGAAAAATGGTTCTGTTAAAGTAAAACGCTTAGTTGTATTTTATTTTTAAATGTCATATTTTTTGTGAAAGAAAACATTATTAATTTTGATATTAAACGAATTGATTAAACATGGAATTTGTTTTTCTGATCGCAGGCATCTCAAATGGGTCAAATTAACACATTTATTATATCATAATTAAATTTCTGTTGATAAAATATTATAAGACATTAAAAACATCTACCATGGATTATGAAAGTGTAATTACCTCTAAAGAACGGTGACTGAGGAAACGGAACTATACGAATCGTTCTAGAAACTTGTGGCTCCACAAAAGAGAAACAGAACATCAGCAAGAAAAGAATTTCCATTATATTTCGCTAATATCACTGTAGTTTAAAAAATTTGGTCCAATTTTTGATGTGTCTCCGTAAACAAACCTATTTTGTAGACTACTAGAGGAAGGAGGCCTGTGTCAATCTACTAAGGCTGTGATTATAAAATTAGCACTATGGCGGGAGAACACATTAAATATATGACAGATTGATGAGCCTTAATCAGTAGAAGAGGGGAATTCCACGTGCAGTTTGATCAGGCGTGACGATACATTTCCGTCATTAATGTCTGACCAATAGCGACGAAGAAGCCAATGATTACAAAAAATTCAGTTATGTGAATCCTGAGAGCTAATTTAAATAAAAATATAAAATAAATATTTATTGACACGTGGGAAAATATGTGAATATCGATCATGTGATTAATTGTCACCTTTAAAATTTTTCACTTCATTAATCAACCAATTTAGGACGTAAAACGGATTTATAAGAGTTCACTATGATCAATCAAAAGTCTATCAACATTGATAAAAACGAATCATATACTGAGTATTTATAGAGGTTGACAATTTAAACAGAACAAATTGATGCGTTTTATTACCTTTCTTTAACTACAAATCGACAATATTGAAGATGTTTAATATTAATATTTAATAAAGGCAAGATGTTCGTTCATTTATATGTTTTCTTTAACAATCCTTGAAGTCCGAAAACTTTTTCAACATAAAAACCAAGAATCAAAAGAGGGATAATTGAGCTTAACATTTGATGTCCATGTAGCTTGGTTACACATAAATATATGGTTGTGTTTGAAACATACTGTTGAAAAGAAAGAAATTTAACATGTAACGCCAGTATCGATACTGTTGTATTGAATCTGCACTATAATGACGGAGGTGTTTATTCGTCACAGTACAAAGGAAAAGGGAAAGAAAAGTCACGATTTACAATCCTATCGATCTGTTATTGGTTTACAAACACCTCATTAAAGGAGTATTGTTTGTACCTGTCAATACTTACTCAAGAGATAAATAATTATTTCATTAAAAAACCGACATTATGCAAAGTTTTGGCGAGCTTCCTTTTGTGGTGAACCAAAGTCCCCACGTTTTCTATCCAAATGAGATGAAATGTATTAGATACGGATCATCGCCTGCATATGGGGTTCATATGAAACATATGGAGATAACGAACAGTATTGAAAATCAAAAGTCCAAAAAATAATTATTTTTCAGCTGATTGAATACACAAGGGAATTTTCTACGTATGAACAATTTCTAAAACGGGGTATATTATTGACAAACAAGCTGATAAAACAAGAATATCAGCAGTCTCGTTTAAAGTCATCATTTCGTAAGTTCTTTGGTCGATACAATGACCTTTTGGGCAAATACAAATAAATCATTAAGACATATGCTATCTGACGTTATTATACTTGAATTGTCGATGAATTTGTCCGTTATTTCCCAATGTTGACAAGGAGGACACAGCGGGTGTGACCGGTCGGTAGGGAATGCTCACTCCTACATGGCACATGATCCCACCTTTGATATTTTGGAAGGTCGTGTTTTCTCTGCTCCAATTTTGTATTGTTTTATGGACTTTGACATTGAATACTGTTCGTTTAATGATCTTTTGAGCTTGAATTCAGTAAGTTATCCCCATTTATTTCAAACTAGTTCTTTTAATTTTAATTTTTACTTGCATATAATATATACTTTAAACCTACAAATACTTAATCAAGGAATGCATTTAATATATATCTGAGATATACAGTATAACCATGGTTGGGGCAGTGTCCTTTTAATGCTCTGTGAAGCGGTGTATAAAAAATGAACAAATTCTATTAACCCAATACTGGTAATACTGGTATGATAGAGATGCTATTTCATTTACTTCATGTAAGTTCATTTTCCATCATTAAATGCAGAAAACCAGACGACTTTCCTCCTAAAATGTCAAGCGGATTGATACATTTGGGTGCAAGTCAATGTGATGAAGGTTTATAGCTGACTATACTTCACTGACTGACTCGTGACGTCAAAATATATTTGCCCTTGATTTTTTAAAAAAAATATGTTCTAGTTGAAGGCATTTTAAAAAAAAAAAAAAAAAAGGAATATTTTCTGCACTTTAAGAAAGAAAATTAAATTATGATAGATATATAGTTTCCCAAGTTTTACTGGTATAACCTGGGTTGGAACAGTTTACGCTTTTTAGCTCACCTGAGCCAAAGGCTCAAGTGAGCTTTTCTGATCACAATTTGTCCGTTGTCTGTCTTGTCGTCGTTGTAAACATTTCACATTTTCGACTTCTTCTCAAGAACCACTGGGCCAATTTCAACCACACTTGCCACAAAGCATCCTTGGTAAAGGGGATTCAAATTTGTTCAAATGAAGGGCCACGCCCTCATTCAAGGTGAGATAATTGGGAATTAATGAAAATTTGGTGGTATCTTTTAAAAAACTTCTTCTCAAGAACCACTGTGCCAGGTAAGATGAAACTTATGGAGAAACATCCTCAGATAGTGCAGATTCAAATTTGTTCAAATCATGACCCCCGGGGGTAGGGCGGGGCCAAAATGGCCAACCAAAGTTTTACATAGAAATATATAGGAACATTCTTTAAAAATCTTTTTCTCAAGAATAACAAAGCCATAATTGATCATATTTATATGGAAGCATCCTCAGGTAGTGAAGATATAAGTTTGTTCAAATCATGACCCCCAGGCGTAGGGCGGGGCCACAATGGCCGACCAGAATTTTACATAGAACTATATATAGGAAAATTCTTTAAAAATCTTCTTCTCAAGAATAACAAAGTCATAAATGATAATATTTATATGGAAGCATGCTCAGGTAGTGTAGATTCAAATTTGTTCAAATCATGACCCCCGGGGGTAGAGCAGGACACAATGGCCAATCAAAGTTTTACATAGACATATATAGGAAAATTCTTTAAAAATCATCTTATCAAGAATAGCAAAGCCATAATTGGTCATGGGACTACTTTTGGTTGTAAACTATTCAATAATAAACCAATTTTTACTTTTTCCCAGCCACAGTGCTCAGGTGAGCGATGTGGCCCATGGGCCTCGTGTTATAGATCTGATTGCGCTTGATCAGGGATTATAAAGCGTAAACTGCTGCAACCCAGATTAATCCCAGTATACATTATTACTAAAGTAACCATTGAATTATTTCATTAAATAAATGTATCATTACCTAATTTTATTTATAGAAATTCTTTGTCAACAATATCTTGCTAATTTCTATCAAAACAATAACAAGAAAACATTGATGTAACCATCAATTGTCGCCCGGGAAATACATAAAGTAAACAGATGAGTCTTGGTCATCAAACTGCTTCTATATGTGTGAAAAAGGCATGCGTCTAAATGATGGAGACGATAGTCGGGAATATTTTGAAAACTTATAGTCAGATGAAAATCTAACAAAAACGATACCCTTTTAAACTTTAACAACTCCTCAAATAAATGTTGGCTGCATAAAATATAAATTGAAACCAGACACATGCATCACTTATATTCAAAAATGTATTTCATTTTAAGAATATAAAACACAAACTGTGTAGAGTACGTTTTTATGCGATAAGTAAAATTCGATGTTCCAAAAAAAGGGACCTGTTGTTTTTTTTTATTGTAAATAATAAGCAACTTTATATATTAAATATGAAAAACATATATATTTTTACAGATTCAATTTATGGAAGTAAATATATTATATATCTCGTAATTTATAAAGGGAAAGAACATTCTGATTAACAATCTTTTTTAATGTTAAGAAAACCTTTAATTCTGAATAACTCCTACTTCAATCCCCATACACCAACACTTAAACTTATATGTATAAAGCAGCCTGGTCCTCCGGACTGCAAAAAAAACTTACTTTGTTACCCAATAGTAATAGATTCATTTTTAAATATTCACGTTTATACGTGTAATTCTTTGAAGGTCTCGATATTTAAAAATAAATGTTAATTTCGCCAAGCAAGAGGTCTTTTATGCATTTCCATCTCCCAGGCTGTCATTGTATATAATGTCTGTGACTGTCAGTGGGCGGAGAATATGGAAATTAACATGGAATTACAAGGAATCACTGTCTTTTTTGTTTGGTATGTCAGGGATATTAACAGCAGTGATAGAAATGTAATATAAAACAAACAATAGAAAATACTTTCAAATGAGTAAGACATTACAACTGTTCCAGATTATTTATCCATTAATTTATTTTGCAAGAACTGCAAGTGTAATTCCCATACAAACTGATAAATAACATATATTTATTGCTTTTATTTATAATATGTACAGTAATCATCCAAAGTAGTATTAAGTAACGGCTCATACTTTGCGTTATTGATACGTACGTCATTTTACGTTTTATTGATGGAGTAACCATTGCTCACGGGATCCGTACTGTTGATATGCTAAGCGGGTTTTACTTACTCATAAATAACAATGGCCATGGTTTTCCTATGAAATAAGTAGAAAATATTCAGTGTACGTAAATATTTATGCACGACTGGATTACATTCGTCCGATTTGTAAATGAAAACGACGGTTTTTAATAAATCAGTAAACGCTGCAAAGCAGATCGCATGTATCTTTCTGGAGCAGCGGCCCCGCAATCAGTGAAACATAAAATGGCAAACATATCAATAATAAAACATTAAACGTACTCAGTTTTACTTTATATGCTTATTTAACAAAGAACTTTATTCGGTAATAACCAATATTTGCCCCCCAAATCAAACTTTGATGGAGATATATTTAATTTAGTTCTAAAACAGGGGAGTATATGATGACTTCAAAACACTGAATATTTTCATAAGTAATGACGCCATATGTACGTAATGACGTCAAAAACATGACGTAAATTTTAGTTTTTTATGAATTTTACAGAAAAATGTACATATTTCATCGATATTTTGAGTAAAAGTCACCGAGCGCATGTGTGTTCAGGATCAATATTTTGATATAATGTGTAGAATGATAATATCAATGAAATATGTCAAAATTGTTCCTGAACAAACATGCGCTCTATAAATTTTAAAGCTAAAATTGTTGAAGTTTTGTCCATTTTGTCCTCTTTCTGAAAAAGGATATAAAATCGGACTAGTTTGTGACGTCATAAAAACAAAAATTGTGAATACACTGCTTTGACTCTATAATATTTTCTGTTAATTTATATTTCTCATACAATTTATTGAATTCAGCACATTTCGGGAAGTTTTCAAAATTTGACTTTTGTGGGGGCAAAGATATGCAATATACCGCATATAGTTCTTTAACAAATTTAAATACTAGTATTAACAATTAGATACCTTCGTTTTTCTAAATTTCGAGAATTAACATTGTAGCTGTTGTGGAGAAAATTAAGAAACCTGCTTAGGCGGGTTTTGTTATCTCTCATCGCCGTATGTAACTATGACAAACTAGAATTTTAGTGTTTGAGTGCATTTATGATAAACTGATTTAAAAAAGATGAAATATGTGCAGATATTGAACAGTATTCGAGCTCAAAAGTCCATTAAACACTACAAAATAGGAGCAGAGCAAACACGGACCTTTAAAACATCTGAGGTGAGATTGGGTACCTGGAGGAATAAACATCATCTGCCGACCTGTCACACCCGCCTTGTTCTCGTTGTCATTATGCGGAAATAATGGAAAAATCCGTGGACTAATCAATATGTAAATAACGGCCTAACAGTCAGCATGAAAAAAAATCAGTCAGCATTCGACTCAATGCTAAATTGACCTGCTGAGAAGGTTATAAGATCGACCACTGAATTTACGAAATGTTGACTTTAAACGAGACTGCTGATATTTTTGTTTCATCAGCTTGCTTGTCAATAACTTACCTCGTTTTAGAACTTGTTCATAGGTAGATCATGCTCTAGCATATCGAATCAACTGAGATATAATTATACACTTCGTATGCAGGTGATGAATGTATATTACTCATAAGTTAGGGAAGTTGACGATTGAAAAGTTAAAGTCATCACGTTTATCATGGAGCTTGGTTGTTAAGATTACCATTAATGTTTTTTCCCAAGTAAAATATCAAAATATGAAACACATTCACACAAACTGGTTATGGGTACATATACAACACAAGAAGATAACAGAAAATAAAAATGAGAGAGAGAGAAAGAGAGAACATCATAAATCGTTTGGATAACTACATATTCATTTCAGGATATTTAAGTTTTTATACTTATCTAAATTATTACTTGGGATTTTATGTTGAGGAAGTATTGTATATGTATATTTCAAATGATAATTTAAGTACATGAATGTGGAGGATTGAAATCTGTAAGCACAGCATGAATTTAAATAACAAAGCTTGTAGGTCCTATACAGGAATTTAAATGCCTGCGTGTTCTGACCTGATGTACATTTCTACTTTCGTTTTATTGTTGATCACATTTACTTCCCGAAGAGTAACGTTGTTATGGCTTTTATATAAACAATACGCAAAGGATGATTTGAGGTAAGATATATTTTAATATACTTACTATTCGCGTCTTAATTAATCTAATGAGAAGCAAAGGGCTATAGTTTTTTATGCTTTATAAAATGAAGCACATCTTATTAAACAATATAAGTGCCATAATGTAAAGACCGATTAGGACTGACATCCATTCACACTAAGATAGTATCCATTGTGACGTAATTTAGACCTCTCTACATGTATTTTCATTTTTGTTTTGAATAATTTCATTGACCTAAATTTTTTTTATCAATTTGGTTAACATGTTAATTTAACTTTTTACTAATTATAGCCTAGATTATATATGCTCTCTCATTATTTTTCTAATTTGGAAGTATTTAAAGGTGCTTTTAATAATATATACATTTTTAAAAAATTCTCACAATTTTTGACAAAAATCCCAAATTGAATTAATTATTTCTTTTATTTAAAGCGTCTGCGTCAATAACGCTTTCTTTTTAAATTTTATAGTTGAAAACTCATGCTATGGCGAGTAAATCGAGTAATAAGGGTAAACAAACCAAAAAGAAAATCAACTCAGCCAGTCCTAAAGCACCGGTAAACCCATCACCACATCAAGGGTAATTTTTTTTAGATTCAAGATTAAACTTGTTAAATATATTACTAGTAAGTCAAGTTTTGTTTACTTTTTAATTTTGACATTTTCAATTGATTTTTAATTAGTTTCATGCATCTAGATGGTTAAAGGCCATATTTAAAAGAATGTTTACTTGCTCTTTCCCGACTCAGGGTAACATGATTGGGTCGGTAGGTGGGTTGGTTAATTTTTTTCAGAAAATTTCAAAATATTTATTGACTGGTTAAGAGGAATAAAAAGAAAAAAATCGTGTCCTGGAATGTGAAAAGAAGTTTTGAGTCGGGCCATTTTTAGTCAGTCGGTCGGAAGAGGGCAACCAAACAATTATTTAAAGATGACCTAATATTCATTCCTTGTTCTCAATTCCTTTTCAGTGAAATTAGCAACGATTTCCTGAAAGACCTTTACGACGCCCAAATAAAAAGGTAAAGAAATATCTAGAAATCGTAAAGGCTCATTCACTTTAATTTCTTTTTGTTTGATATTAAAACATTGTTTATTGATATATAATTCCTTTTATAATTGTACAGATAAGTATCGAATATGTGTTTTCATAGAAAATAGTTAATGAATGGATGGTCTTCCTAATTTTATTTTCAAATATAGAGACGAAGACACCATCAAACAATTAAAAGAGGAAAATGAGCGATTGAAAAGTGAAGTACAAAGGTAATGTTACTCCACCTGATTAATATACAGGGCTCACGGTGGGTGTGACAGATCGACAGGGGCACTTACTCATCCTTGGCACCTGATCCCACCACTGGTATTTCTAGGGGGTCTATAATTTTTTCCCGTTAATCGTAAACTTTTACCTTTAGATTATATTTTCACCTGCAGTTCTCCAAATTTAACAGAAACACACATGTCTATATTTTTAAATGATGAATAGAATGTTTCATTTATTTAAATTAGCAACGCAAGTTTGGTTGGTAAAATTAAATTAGGCTTTTTCATATGGAATGTTGATAATTCAAGTTGGACACGAAGAAATGACACACGTGTATATTTTTTCTTTTATTTTTTATTCAGACTTTCCGATGAGAATAAACGTATAAAGAGTGAACAAAATGAATTTAAAGAAGGTTCTACACTCAAAAGGTAAATTGATTTTTCACTAACATTTTCTCGAAATAATTTTTCCCTTTTTCTCCACTGATTATTAAAACTTTTGACTAATTTAGATTGTGTTTTTACTGCATTATAGCATACTGTATATGAACATTTTTTATAAGTAAAGAAGGTATCTTTTTACCAACGTTTCAGAATAAAATTATCCGAAATATACATGCAAGCTAGCTCTCCAACATGTCGGACGTTCTTAGTGAATTTGTCTTTGACTTTTTAACTGAGTTTGAAGATTTTGAAAATTTATTTTGAGGTTAGCACTCGACAAATGTGAAATCACAGAAGCAAATATCAAGGAATTTAACGATATAAAGTTTGGAGATTTTTCCGTAACTTTCAAAATTTCAAAATGGATTAATCTTTTGAACGACTGGGAACTTTCAACAGAGTTAAATACATGTGTTTTAATTTAGTTAAAGGCTAAGAAATAGCTTAACATCTTCATTTTTCTGTAGTTATGAACTTGTGAAATAAAATTAGTTTTTTTTTCTCATGAACTGATTTCTGCCTCCTGCAGTGATATATGAAGGGGCGTGGAAAGTATTATCGTATATGTGATATGGGATATTTCACCACACAAAGATCAAAGAAAATCACCGCAGATATGCGACAATAGTACTTAATCTGTCCTTATCATCTGATATCATAGATTTATATTTTATAACATAATTAGATTTTTTTAAAGTTAATATAATTATGCATATTGAATTTTAGTGACCCTTCCACAAATCGTGAAAATGCCGATGAGAAAATGCAAAGCCTTAGAAAACAGCTTGATAATATGATTCTACATCATGACGAGAATGAAAAATATTTGACTGAAGCTCAGGACGAAATCAAAACGTAAGGATTGAATATTGTTAAGTTGTTCATTTCATTAATCTATTATATTTTACGCTAACAAATGCCTCAGAAATTCATCACCGAGACTAAGAGATGACTTATTTCACAAATAGAAAGTAACTGTATGCCTCTGTTAACCAACTTTTTTTTTATATTCCTATCCAGTAGAACTTTTTTCGGAAATATCCACGAGAGAAGGAAATTCTTGCTGTAATCTCCAACCCCACTTTTTTCAATTAGCATAGTTAATTTCATTTTAGTTCAACTCGATATCCAATTGAGCTCAAAATAATAGATACCACTCTGGAACATCATCTCCTTCATATTTGGGTATTTTACGGACGTATACGGAAAGGGCTAACTAACACTAAATTGTATAACAAACATAGATAACTTCAGCTTTTTCATCGTCAAATTTTCAGTAATATTTATGTCGCAATATTCCAATCTATCTTTTTCAAATAGTGTCCACGTCACCCAACGTATTCGATACTAAAGTTCATGCTCTAAGAATGTACAATTTTTAACCAAATCAGGCTACTGATAAAGTTGATTTTACGGGGATGAAGTTTATGTTATGGGGATTTCGTTTTATCGTTATAATTGACTTTGTTAACTGCAAACATCACCTTTCAGGCTTTGGGTCGTTTGGCTGACGTGTTTTATAGAAATTGGTAGATTTTTGTTTTATACAAGATTTGACAATGGAATATATATTACGTCTGCCTGATTAATACATAGAACCCAGGGTGTGACACTGGCAGGATATATTCCTATGGAATTTCTGTGAACATATGAGGTTTCGTGCCATGTTCATAGATCTGTATTGTTCAAGATATTTTTGAGACACTGGTATTTCTTCGTTCGTTATTTTCACCCTTTTCATTCACAGATATAAATCCAAAGCAGAAGAACTGGAAAGACAAGTGTCAGTATTACAAAGGTATTTAATAGACGGGCTTTTCGTTAGATTCTGAATATGTTTGATATACCGGTATATCTTTGTTCGTTATTTTCAACTTTTTCATTCACAGGTATAAATCTGAAGCAGAAGATCTGGAAAAACAAGTGTCAGTTTTACAAAGGTATACCAATACAAGAGTTTTTCATAGATTCTGAATATGAAGTTTGATTATCTGTCAATATATTAAAGACACCCAGTGCCCCTTAGATTTAATCTAGGCATAAAACTGACAAAACACTTATCATTGAAGTTTTGGGAAATAATCAAGGTCTTTAATTATCGGTTTATAGATAAATTTTCACGAGAGGATCTGATCATTTAGGAATAAGATGGACTGTCAAAGAAATCAGTTATATTGTGATGAACTTAATCCCTTCCCCCTTTATAAATGAAATTTATGATATTCGTTTTTTTAAACAATCACGATTGCATTTTTCTTACTTGGATATTACGATAGTTAAAATATAAAAGAATTATTTGAAAATTCTATTGTTTTGTTATGTAAAAATGTTATAAATTAATATTTTCTGTGATTCATTTCCCATTTCTACGTACTTGGTGATCGAAAAGGGTGTTGATGATCTTGATCATCATTTTTTTTCATCATATTTCAGTGAGGTTAATAAATTAAAAGAAGAGCTTGAAAAGAAGAGTAAAGAGAAAGAAGAGAAACCGAGCTCCTCGTTGCAAAAGAACGAGAAATCAAACGAAATACAGGAAAAGTCCAAAGAAGAAAACAACGACAAAGAACTCAAACAGTGAATAACTAAGTATTTTTCTTTTTCAAGTCTAAATAAAGCACTGGTAAGGAAATGATAAATGTGGTTGACTTTTTTTGGTTAGAGGTATTATTGGAATTTTATTTTAAACCGTTTTGTGATTCAGATTTTAGTTTGTTTTTGAAGAGAAAGGAGGTTAGGTTAGGTTTGGTGAATATGGGACGCGTGTCAATAGTTTCAAAGCTACTGATTTTCAGGTTGTTAAATGAAGCATCTGATAATGTATTTAGACTCAATGTACTTTTTTAATTCTATAATTTGCAGTAGAATATTTAAAAAGATTTTATTATTTATTGTTGGCAGAAAAAGCACAGAGATTGAAAAATTAACTAACCAATTAGAAGACGAAAGGAGGTAAGACTAATAGAAATCATTGTAATAAAGCTATTATTTGGACAAAAAGCTTGTTATAATTAATAATGGTTCCTTTTAATATAATAGAAAATTTATTCATTAGCTCACCTGAGCCGAAGGCTCAAGTGAGCTTTTCTGATCACATTTTGTCCGGGTCCGTCCGTCCGTCTGTCTAGCTGTCTGTCTGTCCGTCTCTCTGTAAACTTTTCACATTTTCGACTTCTTCTCCAGAACCACTGGGCCAATTTCAACCCAACTTTCCATAAATCATCCTTGGATAAAGGGAATTCAAGTTTGTTCAAATGAAGGGCCATATAATTGGCGATATAATTGGGAATTAATGAAAATTTGGTGGTATCTTTTAAAAATCTTCTTCTCAAGAACTACTCTGCCAGGAAAGATGAAACTTATGGGGAAACATCCTCAGGTAGTGTAGTTTCAAGTTCGTTCAAATCATGACCCCCGGGGATAGGGCGGGGCCAAAATGGCCACCCAAAGTTTTACATAGAAATATATAGGAAAATTCTTTAAAAATCTTCTTCACAAAAATACCAAAGCCATAACTGATCATTTTATAAGGAAGCATCCTCAGGTAGTGTAGATTCAAATTTCTTCAAATCATGACTCCCAGGGGTAGGGCGGGGCCACAATGGCCGACCAAAGTTTTACATAGAAATATATATAGGAAAATTCTTTAAAAATCTTCTTCTCAAGAATAACAGAGCCATAATTGATCAAATTTATATGGAAGCATCCTCAGGTACTGTAGATTCAAGTTTCTTCAAATCATGACCCCCTGGGGTAGGGCGGGGCCACAATGGCCAACCAAAGTTTTACATAGAAATATATAGGAAAATTCTTTAAAAATCTTCTTCTCAAGAATAACAAAGCCATAATTGATCATATTTATATGGAAGCATCCTCTGGTAGTGTAGATTCAAGTTTGTTCAAATCATGACCTCCGGGGGTTGGGCGGGGCCACAATGGCCGACCAAAGTTTTACATAGAATTATATAGGAAAAATCTTCTTCTCAAGAATAACAAAGCCATGATTGATCATATTTATATGGAAGCATCCTCAGGTAGTGTACATTCAAGTTTGTTCAAATCATGACCCCCGGGGGTAGGGCGGGGCCACAATGGCCGACTCAAGTTTTACATAGAAATATATATAGGAAAATTCTTTAAAAATCTTTTTCTCAAGAATAACAAAGCCATAATTGATCATATTTATATGGAAGCATTCTCAGGTAGTGTAGATTGAAGTTTGTTCAAATCTTGACCCGCGGGGGTAGGGCGGGGCTACAATGGCCGACCAAAGTTTTACATAGAAATATATAGGAAAATTCTTTAAAAATCTTCTTCTCAAGAATAACAGAGCCATAATTGATCATATTCATATGGAAGCATCCTCAGGTAGTGTAGATTCAAGTTTGTTCAAATCATGACCCCCAGAGGTAGGGCGGGGCTACAATGGCCGACCAAATTTTACATAGAAATATATAGGAAAATTCTTTAAAAATCTTCTTCTCAAGAATACCAAAGCCATAATTGATCATATTTATATGGAAGCATCCTCAGGTAGTGTAGATTCAAGTTTGTTCAAATCATGACCTCCGGGGGTTGGCGGGGCCACAATGGCCGACCAAAGTTTTACATAGAATTATATAGGAAAAATCTTCTTCTCAAGAATAACAAAGCCATGATTGATCATATTTATATGGAAGCATCCTCAGGTAGTGTAGATTCAAGTTTGTTCAAATCATGACCCCCGGGGGTAGGGCAGGGCCAAAATGGCCGACCAAAGTTTTACATAGAAATATATAGGAAAATACTTTAAAAATCTTCTTCTCAAGAATAACAAAGCCATAATTGATCATATTTATATAGAAGCATCCTCAGGTAGTGTAGATTCAAGTTTGTTCAAATCATGACCCCCAGGGGTAGGGCGGGACCACAATGGCCGACCAAAGTTTTACATAGAATTATATAAGAAAATTCTTTAAAAATCTTCTTCTCAAGAATACCAAAGCCATGATTGATCATATTTATATGGAAGCATCCTCAGGTAGTGTACATTCAAGTTTGTTCAAATCATGACCCCCTGGGGTAGGGCGGGGCCACAATGGCCGACCAAAGTTTTACGTAGAAATATATAGGAAAATTCTTTAAAAATCTTATTCTCAAGAATAACAAAGCCATAATTGATCATATTTATATGGAAGCATCCTCAGGTAGTGTAGATTCAAGTTTCTTCAAATCATGACCCCTGGGGATAGGGTGGGGCCACAATGGCCGACCAAATTTTTACATAGAAATATATAGGGAAATTCTAAAAAATCTTCTTCTCAAGAATAACTAAGCCATAATTGATCATATTTGTATGGAAGCATCCTCAGGTAGTGTAGATTCAAGTTTATTCAAATCATGACCCCTGGGGATAGGGTGGTTCCATATAATGGCCGACCAAAGTTTTACATAGAAATATATAGGAAAATTCTTTAAAAATCTTCTCAAGAGTACCAAAGCCATAATTGATCATATTTATATGGAAGCATCCTCAGGTAGTGTACATTCAAATTTGTTCAAATCATGACCCCCTGGGGTAGGGCGGGGCCACAATGGCCGACCAAAGTTTTACATAGAAATATATAGGAAAATTCTTTAAAAATCTTCTTCTCAAGAATAACAAAGCCATAATTGATCATATTTATATGGAAGCATCCTCAGGTAGTTGTGATTCAAGTTTGTTCAAATCATGACCCGCGGGGGTAGGTGGGGGCCACAATGGCCGACCAAAGTTTTACATAGAAATATATAGGAAAATTCTTTAAAAATCATTCTTCTCAAGAATAGCAAAACTATAACAGTTCAAAGGTTTACTTTTGGATTTAAACTTTTCAATAAGAAACCAATTTCTATTTTTTCCTAGCCACATTTCTCAGGTGAGTGATGTGGCCCATGGGCCTCTTGTTTTAAATTTTATGATTCTTAATCATCTGGAAATGCAGAGTCATAAGCTAAAAAAAAACAATAATTGAAAAGGTTAACTTAAGTGTATGTCCAATAATCGATTGGGAAAAAACTATATACAATATAAATCTGTGTAAAGGAAAATAGAACAGAACAGATCCTGAACATGCCATAAGTGGCCTCACTAAATTATCCTTTAAATGAATTTTAAATAATATTGAAGAAAACACAGTGCAGATGTTGAAGAAATGAAAAGGAAGAACAAAGAAGAAAAGGAGACACACCAAAAAGATATTACCGAGTAATATAAATGAGAGAAATTATTCATTTCAGCAAAGATATTTTGTATGCAAATAGAGAATAAACATTTTTTTTAATAAGTTACCTTTTCTTAATATCAAATAATGTCTTTCTATTCCTTCTCTCTTTATAACAGCGTTAAGAGATTAATTGTGGAATAATATTCATTTATTTGTTTTTCATTTGTAACTTATTATTAACTATGAAGGAAAATAGAAATTTATAATACCAATAAACATTTCTGATTTTTAAAACTACAAATCAGTTTCTTGCAGAATATAATGTTCAGCGATAAGAGATTAAATTTTCTTTGAACAATTTTTTTTGGACAGAAAAACAAAAGAACTTGAGAAATTAAAGCGCCAGTTAGAGGATGAAAAAAGGTTACAAATTTCTATGTTTTATATCTGAATTATATAAAACATTGTTTTTGTTTTCCGTTTTATTTCTCTTTTAAAAACTACTTAAGTAGGTGGATGATAACTTTTATACATTGTTTAATATTTTGACATTGAAACACCATCCATCACATCAAAGCATTAAACATTCAAGTGCCACAATGTACATCGATAGAGCTAGGACAATATTGCATAAACAATGTTAATATTAATTAAAGTACCCATGATTCATTTCTTAAAGAGTTCAATACAGGGTTTCGTGATCAAGAGAAACAACGCAAGTTAAATAACAATAAGGAAATCCGATTTAATTTTAATGTTGTCATCTTCATAAGTTTAAAAAGATAATTTAACCTTTTGTATTTGCAGGAAAAATGAAGATAAAAAAGGAGTTCAGGAAGATGGAAATGTAAAGATGATTAAAGACTTAGAAAAATCTATAGAAGAATTGCAAAGGTACAGTTGATGTGTTTGAAAGTAAATTAAAAGTTTCTTAATTTTTACGTACCCTGATATATTCATGTTCATTGAAGTGCATCCTATGTACTCTGTAATTTATGTTTACAAGTTTAAAATTGAAGGATAGATTTCCCTACTACTGGCCTACCTATAATTTTTAGCTTATATGCAACTTGACTTATGAACATGAAATATTTTTCCTCATTTTAATTTTCAAACTATATATATATATATATATATATATATATATATATATATATATGTGTGTGTGTGTGTGTGTGTGTGTGTGTGTGTGTGTGTGTGTGTGCAAGGTAAATACCTGTATTTATGTATGCTTTTGAAAAATTGCTTGCTGACTTAGTATAACGATTTTTTTTTAAATTAAATGATATTGAAGAAAACACAAAGCAGATGTTGAAGATCTGAAAAAGAAGCACAATGAAGAAAACGAGAAACACAAAGAAACTATAACAGAGTAATATCAATATGAATATATTTTTCCTGTTGAATAAGTACTGTGAAATATATCTGTAAGCAAAGAGAGTAATTCATTTTAAAAACTTTTTGTTGTCATCCGGTCACCATATGAGCAAGTAAAATCTGGAATCAGATTCAATTTATTTCATGCTATCACTCATTATTCACTATAACCCATAAGAAAAAAATTGAAATTCATATTTGTTTAATGAAACGTTTGAATAATGATACCGAGCAATTTTTGACAGAAAAACAAAAGAACTTGAAAAAGTAACCCGACAGCTCAAGGATGAAACAGGGTAACATTTTAAAAACTTTTTTAACAAAAGTCTCTATCATAAATTCATTAGAATGTTGATATCAATAAAATGTTTCTTATTAAAAGAATGTGTAACTATCACTGAAATCGTTGTTGATAAAAAGAAGTACTAATTTTATAAAAGAAAATGATATTCTAATAAAAAAAAAATGCATCAATAAAAATTGTAATTAAATTAATGATTATTCGTACAAATGAAATTTGAAATTTCAAACGAATGGAAAATATCTCTATTACCATGGCATTTACTCCTTACCTTCATTATATTTTTCTTAATCGGAACTTCATGTTTGTCAAGTAATACAAAATCTTTTAGAATAAAATCTTGGGTTAATATGGACTCACGAAAAAAATTGTAAAATAAGAAAAAGATTTTTAAAATTATAAAGGAAAATATATTTTTTATAATTAACGTTATTGGGATTTACTAGTAGCATTTTGATTTAAAAATGGGGGATCTTATAAATATCAATTTAACCTCTTCTAAATAAAAGTGGAAGCTTTAGATTTTCTCTTTCGATGTTAGATATTTGTGTTATATCTATTTCTATAGCATCTATGTTTTACATTCATGTTTAATCTTTAATTATTTGGGATTAATTTTGCACAATAAGGAAAAACGCCTTAATGAGATTATTTTAGAAGATTCTCGTCAATGACAATACTTTTATTGTTCCTTTAAAACAGATACGGGTTTGATCCTTTTGTCATATAGCACGATTTACAAAATAAAAAAAAAAAAAACCAAAACCCACATATTATGAATTCCTGAAGATTTATCTGTTAACCTGGAGTACGAAACACACAAAAGTATAACTTGTATACTTTGTCTTTGCAGGAAAAACAAAGATAAAGAAGCAGTGCGGGAAAATGAAAATGTGAAAAGAATTAAAGAACTAGAAAACATTATAGAAGAATTGAAAACGTAGGCAAAATGTCAATTTTTTTTAAAATTAAATTTTATCTTAAATACAAATTTTGAAATATTTTGATATGAAGAGCGTATTTTGCTGCATCAGTTTACATGAGTCACAATTGCCAGTCCACGTTTTTTGTGTACTTTCCATGCTTTCTAATGAATGAAGATGCATTTATTATACATTAATATTCTACTAGGATAAACATTTAAAGTGGGAAATTTGATTGTATGCTACATGATATGTACTTTTCAAAGTATTCATACGGAACCGTTTTACAAAACAAATAGATAAATGTTGATTCATAATCAAAGTGGCTTTTAATAGCAATCATATTTATTTCATTTAAAGGGAAAATAAAATACTTCAAGAAGATTTCGAAAAAAGAAAGTCCAAAAAGTAAGTATTGTTTATAGTTCCACCCATATAAATCGAATTTGTAGAGGGCTAAATTGACTTTGCCTGCTACCCAATCCCGTTCACTTTCATTGGTGAATAAAATTTTGTATAAATAAAAAAAATGTAGCAAATTATACATTACACCATGTATGCCGATGGAGGCCTAAAAATGAAGATCTGTACTCGGCACTTTAAGTACTGTTTGACCAGTGAAGGAACTTTTTCGTGGCAGAACCTACTACAGTACGAGACCTGTTTCTCATTTGAAGGACCGATTTCATGTAGAAGTTTTTGAATAAATTTTTGCTTCATATGAGTATGCAAATAGATCTGCACATAACGAGTTTTAATCAGTGTCCATGTGAATTCTGATATATTTCCCTTGATTACTCTCTACCTTTGAATAAATCTCTCTTTCCATTGCAGTCAACCGAAACTAACAAAGACATCAGATGACATATTAGCTTTGAAAGAAGAGAATGATTCTCTCAAAAACAGGTAGACATAACATTGCCATAACACGATAACAGGGATTTTTTTATGTTGTAAACATTGCTCCATTATAACCACAGAGGATCTTTTTGTTGATTGTATCAATGTTTCAAGAAGATTACATTCTATATTGTTCTTAACTATTTTCCTTTCTTCGTAAAGACTCAGTCAGCTGGCGGGTGCCAAACTAACGGAAGGAAATCCTAATATTGCGGATCTCAGCGACAAGAACAGGCCTATCAATTTGGCAGAAAAATTCTCAGAACTTTATGACAATGAATGGACAGATGCATTAGAAGAGATAATGGATAATGAAAAGAAAAGTGAAGAGGAAGGAATTAATGTTTTGTTTCATATAGTCAAGGTAAAACTCGTACTTTCCTTTTTGTGCATTGAGAAACATTCATCCCTTAATTGTTCTTCTCTCCTTCTCCATCTTTCTTAATCTCTAAAACAAGTCAAACAATTTTTCTTCTGTCTTGTATGTAACTGTGGCTGTTTATATTTGTAATTTTTGTGATTGAAGAATATAAAAAAACTCTTTTGCATTTATGTTTTATTATCCATGCATTCAGCTTTCTGTTTGTGTCTGTGTATGTGAGCTTAGATGGAAAAAAGGAAAAAAAAATCCGATTTATTCTTATACAGTCAATCACGGCGAGTTCTATCTATTAGAGATTTCAACTCCATTAAAGTCTTTCAAAATTACATTTTTATGTCAAAATGTCTACCAAGCCTCTTTTTATACCACAGATAAAAGGAAAAACAGTGCTAGCACATGCTATACATATTAACAAGAAAATATTTGCTATGGCCTTCAACTCGACAGATATACCGATGACGTTCTATCAAATTGCAATCGTTTATTCCATTCTTACGTGGACTGGTCTCTTAATCCCAGTGAAGAAAAATAAGGTACAAACAAAATGTATATTTTTTCATTGCAGGATGCGTATGAATTTTGCAGCAAGCAGTCCACTACTCTCTACAAGTCAATGACAGAAGGTATAAAGAACCTTGGACTGTCAGAGGAAACGGTATGGGATTGTTATGTATTTCAGAGATAATTAAGCAAAACTCGTATATTATTTTTAAATTTCAACCTGTGAATGTAGAATAACAAACACACACTTCAGCAAAATAAATAACTATAATGGAATCCTGCCTTTTCGCGAAAATTTAGATGAAATCATTATTTTTTTTTATTTAGAGAAACCCTAATCAGTGATGTTGGATATCCATTTGTTAACAATAAAAGATAGATGCTAATCAATTTTTCAAGACGATAAAATCTTTAGAGCATCACAAACAATGTTATATTATGCTTCATGTAAAGATAGTTGAATCTGATTGGTCGAGAAACATTTGTTAAAAAACTTCACTACCCGCTGAATAATGAAGCCACGCCCTCCAGCGTAGCAACAGTCAATATTGCTTGACGACGGGTGGTATTCCAAAAAATAGCGACTGCACAGAATTTATGCACGGGCGGTTCACTGTTATATGTATTTGTATAAAACTTTCAGTATAATATAATAAATATTGCATGTAGTTGAGTGTAACATTGAAAATTTTCACCCCTCGAAAACCATTGTCAACCTCGGCTGCACCTCGGTTGACAATGGTTTTCTTGGGGGTGAAAATCTTCAATGTTACACTCAACTACATGCAATATTTATATAATATTCCTATACCATTCAATTACTGCCTCTGGGATAATATTACATGTATACATAAAACAAATATATTAAATGCAAAATTTAACAATACATAACGGTAAATTACAAACATGGTAAAATAATTACAAATATTGACTGTTATAAATATACATGTATTATATTACTTGTATCTTCTATACAATTAAAGAAGACAAATACAACTTAAGATGTATCAAATTTTAGTTGTGGCCTCAAGGACTTTCCAAACAAATTAAAGATCACAGGAAATCCATTTCAGTTTTAGTTTCCAACAATCTGAGTAAGGTATGATTAAAAGATTGTTGCTTACCAAATGACGATTATCAAAATAGAATCTAGGTGGAGAAAACCAAATGTATGTGTAATATTAAAGAGTTTATTGAACGTTAAATTGCAGGAATTCCTAGAAACCCAGAAACACAAAGGTGGAAAAGCAACAACGAAGTATGCAGAGGCCTGTGCTGTCCTATGCTGGTTTATGTGTGTCCAGGACCCACCTGTCTATATGGACCCTAGTGTCCCGACAGGGAACTTTGACACAGACAAATACAGGGCATACACAAAAACTGGGAAAGATTACAAATTCCTTGTTTGGCCGCCACTGTACCTACACAAAGATGGGCCAATGCTCGGAAAAGGGATTGCTCAAGGAAAATAAAGCATTCAATTATTATTGTCAAATTTAAAAAACTCAATATTTCAGATGAATATACACTTAAGCATTGATAAATGATACGAATTGATTTTAATGGTTGATAAAATACTGTCCTTTATTTGGATTTTACACTGTCATCAGTGAGCAAATATTTACCTAGTCATTAGCTAAAGCGAACACTTACCTATCTGTTCTTCACAAAGGATATTGAAAAAAAATGAGGATCGAAACATCCATTGTTCAACTTAGCACTTTCCTTTAAACAATAAATCCCAAGCTCTAGCAGATGTATTGACATATCAAGTTTAATTTCTGAACTTTTAAATCGCTTTTGATATTTGACATTTAATCGAGATATGTCATTAAAATTGGTAAAAGGAATCAGGCTTGTTTAATAGTAGAGAAAACATAAACAGCCAAGCATCACTGATGTTTTTTTTTTCTCTCTGGTATCACTGGGATGAACAAGCAAACCCCGAGGTATGTCTGAGTGAAATGTCTACTGCAGTTAGGTTGTGTATCTAATTTATTTTGTTAGACTTTGCTTTATTGTTACTTTATGTTAAACAATGGAAATATAACTCAGTTTAAAGAAAAATGGTAATCAAATAGATTTTTTAGCAGGTACTCCTTCGAAATATAAAATAATATGGTCCTACATTTTGAATGTTCTTGTTACTAAGTTAATATGGTTTCTGGAAAAAAAATCGTTGATTATTTTTGATATCATAATACTCATAAAATAAAGCGTATTGGTAATATTAGTAAATAAATGTAGAACTGATATTTTTCGACAAAAAGATTAAAGTTTTCCGCCAGACTCCAAACTTTTTTTTTTCCTGATAAAACCCCTGGAGACAACTGTAAACGTCAATTTTATACAAAGTGGAGAATGTGTAACTACTTATTAATGATGAACCCATCTTTATATGAAAGATGACGAAATAATATAACTTATGTACTAATGTCCGCAGAGCAACCAGGAAACAAGACAACAATTTATATGCTACTAAAAATATGCTAATTTCTTGATTCTTATGTTCTTAATTAACTATAATTGTTTTCGTTCAGACTTATTTTTAAAAACTGAAATAAGATGATGCAAGTATTTTTCTTTCTGTTAAAAACATAGATTTCAAGAAGAATATCCACAGTTCTTTTACGTATTCTAAATAATAAAGACGCTGATGCAATATTCATGATTATTTTACCATCATGTATCATTCGTCTATTAGTCTGTCCATCTGAAACAAAATTTTGGACATAACCTTTGAATGAAAAAAGACATTTCATATTTCACAATTTAAAACTTATTGTGACAAGATATCTCCAAATTTTTATGATTTTTTACCTTGTAATAACCCTAGATTTATGAATTTTCCTACATTTCAAAAATTTTGACATTACATATACTTAATTGATCATAATTTTTATTTTGAAAAAGGACAGGGCGTAAGCATGTATGAAACACATGGAGATAACGAACAGTATTCGATATACATAAAACAATATAAATAGGAGCAGAGCAAACAAGGACCTCCAGAACATCAAAGATGTGATCAAGTGCCATGGAGGTGTGAGCATCCCCTGCCGCCGGTCACACCCGGCATGTGCTCTTGTCATGATCGGGAAATAACGGAAAAATCCGTCGTCAATTCTGTTTATAAATAATAGACTAAGAATTAGTATGAAAAAAGTCAGTCAGCATTTGACTCAATGATGAACTGTATTTGCTGACAAGGTCATCGACCATAGAAATAATGACTTTAAAGGAGACTGCTGATATTCTTGTTTCATCAACTTGCTTGTCAACAATTTACCTCGTTTTAGAAATTGTTCACACGTAGAGCATGCTCTTGCGTATCGAATCAACTGAGATACATAAAATCCGTATGCAGGTGATGAAGGTATATTGCTGCATAAGTGAGGGAAGTTGACGATAGAAAAATTAGTCATCACGTTTATCATAGAGCTTGGTTGTTAGATTACCATTAAGGTCTTTTTCAAGTAAAATAGCTAAACATGAAACATAAGTGTCAGACTCTGTGGTATCTTTTATCTCAAGTTCAGCAGGATATATCGTATCGACATAAGAATGTAAAGTACAATTGTTTTTCGACAATACGTCGGCGATATATCTAAATGTCGAGTTGAAGGCAACAGGAAGTGTTTTCTTCTTTTCATGCATTAGATTTTGCACAAATTCTACTTCATATGAGTACAAAAATAGGTCTGCTAATAACTGGGCTCAATGGATATCCATAGGAATTCCAAAAGATTGTTGGAAGACCCGACAAGACCTCTCTAAAAACACTATGAATTCTGACCTTGACCTTAAAGTTTTATCTTTAAAAATGTTGAGAGGAGAAAGATATCTTTTATTTGACATGTGTGTACTGTGACAAGATGTTTCCGAACATGCTTTGAAAATAGATCCTTGGCCTTTAATTTATTATGTAAACAATTTAATTTTGGTGATTACTTTTGAATGACATACGAGGGGTGATCAAAAAGTTCGCAAACTAGTTGAATAACTTCCATACAAGAAACAATATTTGGTTTTAATGTTGATTATATTTTAAATTAATCCTCCCCAATTTTAATGCACATCAACCACCGTTCTGCGCATGCGCGAATCACGTGATATTGGCGGTCACGTGACCCCCTCCGTAGCGTTCTGACACAAAAGTTAAAAGATTTTTCCGAGTTTTATATTTCTTTCCATGTGAGTTAATTTTTATGACAAGAACAGTTAATTTGTCAGAAATGGTCATATCTCGGCAACAGAATAGGTGGACAATAACATCCTTTCCAAAAATAAGCATGGCGACCATTAAAACACAAATCTTCTGTCTCAGGAGAGACCTTTATTCAAGGTGGATAGAGAATGGGTGCATCCTTTTTATCATATCTAATATGTTTAAAATCTAAAGTAAACGATATCTAGGTATTTAATACTTATATCATTGTTCAAATATTCAACTATTTTTCAAAGTGCTAATTGGAGGTCTTTGATAGCAAATTGCTTAATTAAAAATACATATCTTTTCAAACTTGCTTTGACTGGGCAAGATGACAAGTATCATTTTTAACCATCAGCCTTCCTTCACTAAACCGATTAATCCAATCATTAATTGAATTTATAGGAACTCATTTATCTCAATAAACTGTGTACAAATTATTATCTGATACTGTAGAGGGATTTCTAAGATATTACAATAAATTGTACAGTCGTTTGTTGAACGAGTTCGACTGAGACAACAATTTTTCGTCACAAGTGACCTAAATAGTGACGTCATTTTCACATTGTGACGTCACAAACAAGGAGAGAAACTTTATTCAGCATATGCTATTTATAGACCTTGTGTATGGCTATGTGTGTACCGAATTTCATTCTAATCTGAATTGTGGTTTTGCAGATATAGAGATAGTTTGCGAACTTTTTGATCACACCTCGTAGGTTGCTTATATTTCACGCAATATGCCATTTTTAATGCAACCCATCCACTAAGACAACGAAATCATGAGAGCACAATTCTTTTAAATTGCTTGTTTAGCCCTAATTTTGATTTTGTTCGTGCGTTTTCAAATTAATCTATTTTTGTCGAATGTATTTTTAATTTCTTTATCAGAATCAAAGAAATGAAACTCATGTTTTACCGGCAAACTTTAAAAACAAAATCAATGAAGTAAAAATGAAAAAGAGAATTGTTACCAGTCGCTAAAACCTTCAGACAACAATGCAATTATGTGAACAGGGCAGAAAACAAGTCCTTCTTGAAATTATGGAGGATGAAATGCATAAAAATCACATATTGCCAAATTTAAACAGAAAAGAATGCTCGCAATTTCTTCTGAATATTTTAGCTTTTAAATATGTGGCAGTTTTATTTTTTAAAAGGAAAAATCAGTCAAAAACGTACACCATCCAATGTATCGATTTATATATTATTTACTATCTGATGTGTTAGAGGTCTGTGTTTGCTCTGCTCTTGATTTGTTTTGTTTTAATAGACTTTAAAGCTTCAATTTGTTCGTTATCTAAATCTATATTTCATTTGATGAATAAAATTGACACAACAAGAGTATTTCTTGTCTTTGTGTTAAGTAATTGGTTACCTTTTGCAACTTACATGTACTTCGATAGTTTAGAAGCAGGTGCCTCCATACTGAGAACATTAAGCCAACAAACAACAAAACATGAATAAAAATACAAAGACACTATTTCTTCTTGTTCTACATTTGGCCAAAGTTAGCGGTAAGTGAACCCAAATATCAAATTAATTTTAAAAATTGAGATCGATTTTCCCACAAATAATTGTTGTGTATATTCACGATTAAAAAAATAGGTAAAAATTATTAATGAAGTTTTCAAAAGCACTAAGAATTAAGCATCCCTCTTATAAATGGTATATTAAAAATATGTAAATTTAATTTTACACAACTTTCGAACTTTGATACATTGGACTTTTCTTTAGACGCCTATGTGTCATATGATATTGTTTTTATCTTTAGATGTCCAGTTGTTCAGTGTTATTTTTTTATATCTTAATATGCCTATTTGTCCAGTGATACTGTTTTAGCACCTCAGGGTGCACTTATGTCTAGTGATATTGTTTTATATTTTTAGGTGCAAGTTGTCCTGCTGGTTGGACGCCAAAAGAAGACAGAGGACTATGTTTCAAATACTATACTTCAATAACAGACCATAAATCCGCCACTGACGATTGTTTCCATGAAGAAGCCATACTAGCCACTCCTAAAAATTCTTCTGAAGTTGAGTTTCTCGCCAACAATGTGATAGGGTATAGTAGTATTATCTAAATATAAAGAAATCAGTTGGTGAGACAATGGAATCTACAATCTCACAATCTAGTTTTAAGTCAACATTTCACAAATTCTGTGGTTTATACAATATTGTTTGTTAATATAATATGTGGTATTTTCACATATTGACCGATATGTTTAAAATAAAATGGAAATTTCATTCTGCTATGACTACATATAATTTCTCCAATTTCATGAAGACGTTATGCATTTAATTTTAAGATAGAATAGTCATCACAACTAGGTATTCCTATCATTTCATTTCACTTTAGCTTTAGATTTGTTCAAAATTTGAATATTTTGGATGACGAGTAATTTCAGAAATTCCGTAAATCTTTCTCAACAAGATAACTAAGAAGTACGAGGGGTTATCAAAAAGTTCGTGGACTAGCGCCATAAAATTAAAACCGCTTTAGGTACATCAATGAATTTTAAAATATCTAGTAAGCATAATCTTTTCTACCTAAAGAATATACCATACATCATAAGTTTTATTTTTTAATAAATTAGTTATGTTTTTGTAAGCAACGGTATGTCCAAGCGGCGCAACCTCGAATACGACGTTTTGCAACCTATGTTTAACTAAGAAAAATTCCTTTGATATGAACATTTGACATCTAAATACGCCATTAATTCAGGTATGTGTTGGGACACAATTGTTCCATACAATATGGCATTTTCACTTCATTCTGGATGTTCTATGAAATTTTATCCTAAATTTTACATGGAGTGTCCAAACAAATAAGGCCCTGAAAGTGACGTCAAAATGGCGGACGGGTTTCCTTATCCAACATTTGATATAGTTTACCCCTGAAAAAAACTGTTATAGATCTAAGAAATGTTTAAAATGGCTACAGAGAAATAATATGCATCCAGAGTACTTGTCTTTTAATGTCAGAATAGATTCAGAGAGAAAATGGATGCACAGTTAATGTCGATTTTTAGTCAAGGTGTGAAAAATCAATCACGTCAAATAACGACGTTGATCATGTGTTGTAGGTATTGAACTCCAAAAAGCAAAATAAGCTGGCTCAATCAAGCGAGGAACCTCTCCGAATGTATAAATCCACTTGAATTTTTATATTCCTGGAAAACCATTGTTCGTGGCATTGTTAAGTCATATAAACAAGGCGGGTTTAAGTCCTTTCTCAGCTCCACGGAATCTCATCAAATTAAGTATATGAGGTAGAAAAAGCAGACATTGAAAAACAATGACGTTGACGGACATCACGAAATTAAACGGCGACAGCGCCGGGTGATCATATAATGTCATTTTTATTTTATAATAATTTGGCAAATAATGAACGTATCAAGCTAAAATTTTCAACATTTCTTTATTTTTTGTTGTTTTATGTTCCTTATAAATTTTGAAAGCAAAGACTACATAGTACTAATTTTATAGCCTCAGTCCACGAACTTTTTGATAACCCCTCGTACTAGTACCCTTCTGTACAAATAGCCCAGACCATTTTGTCTCTCAAAAAATCTCTAATAAAAAAAAATACTGTCAAATCATAGAGAAATAAAAGCTCTATTGTTTGCTTAATTTTGGTTTGCTCTAATATTTTTGCACACCACATATACAATTTAACTTTGATTTTGCCATGAAGTCCTTGATTATATCTTAGATAGTCTGCAAATACAAATTACTTTAAAATCATCACAGTTAAAATCTGCAATTTTTTATTTTGTCAATGGCTTTGACAAATCTCTCATCAGAATCTTTATTTCGTCCATAGGTCACTCAATGAATATGTATGGGTAGGGCTTGTCAAAAGATCCTCAATAGAACCATGGACCTTTGCAGATGGTTTTCCATTTAAACCGACGATGCCATCATGGGATTTATGGGATAATGGTGACGTAATACAGTATTTTATGTGCAATCGCGATTGATAGTCACTGGAAAAAATGTGAAGATTTGCATGAAACGTGTGCCTTATGAGGAAGTTCTGTCCTATCCTTTTAATACTGTGTGTAGGAAACTTATGTGGTAGTGTTGATATGTGATACGAAATTTAGATATTACAATAATCCTTTATCATTTTCAGATTTGCAATATCTCTGTATTATTCTGCAGATATATAATATATATTCCCTTAGAAATATACAGCTGCAATCAATAATTTCAAAATTTCTATTCTACTGCATGTTTTTCTTTTCATTTCATAATAAATATTGTAAAATAAATTCATTTTTTCAGGTTTTCCAGCATCTCCTACGGCCGACATTTGTGCATACATGACGGCTGCAGCTGGCAGCTACAAATTCAAGACTGCAAACTGTAATAGTCAATATCAATATATTTGTCAGAAAACCATGGTACAGCATTGTAAGTATCATTAAAGATATGTTGTTCAAATTGGAAGGGGCACATTTTGATCTTCAGTGCAGTTCCTCGTAATTAAATACTATTATTACAAGTGGGTTTTTTTTCTATAAATCGTAAAAAGAATACAGTCATATGGCTATTATTCAATTATATTTACATCCACTGAATATCTTCTCCTTTATTTCTTAAGAAAACCCATTGCGTTAATCACTGCATGAACTACATTAGGCATGTCGCCTGTACAGATTTCTTGAGCAGTGGCTGTTCCATCAATGTAACGTGTTAATACGTTCGCATCATTAATACAATAATTAATCTTATATTTAATTAGATATAAATACATGTATAATCTTACGCGGGTTATGTATTTTTTTTCTGCAACAGCTGCTTCCGTTAATTCCAGTAATAACAAACAAATAAAGCATTTTATTGTTTAAACTAACCATCCTATACGTACATAGCGTTTATCTCTTCAACCGTAATGGATACTCAAACACATGCTCTAGGTACAGTCCAGTTTTATTAAACCGAGCGGTGACGTTGACAGATAAATTGAAGTTACAGGGATTTTAAGAACTTTTCATTTCGTAAATTCTATAGTCGTTATAATGCCATTTTTATATAATCTTTCATAAGGTTTTCATAAAAATTGTTTGCCCTTTGTTTTTGTATCGAATTTCTGATACTAGAAATATGAACGAAGCCAAGTTTATTCATTCCAGTTACAGCGTGAAATCTTATGTTCTTTGATCCCATTTTATCAAAATAGATCGTAAATTTAAATTATTTTCTTTTATATTTAAGGGGAGATGATCTAAAGTTTATAAAAGTACCACAATTTTACACAACTTTACTTTATTTATGAAAAAAATTTAATATACACACTTAAAAACATTGGTCAAATCCATTCCCTCACTCTCTTTCCCAGGCGCAGATCCAGAATTTTTATCCAGGGGGGATCCAACCTAGTCCCAAAAAAATCCAATCCCGGAAATTTCTTGAAAAAAAAATCGCCCGAACGACAAAAACCTATTTCGTGGTGGTGGTGGTGGTGGGGGGAGGGGGGGGGTGTAGTCTATGACTTATATTACCTCAAATCTTTCACTTTCCATACCCATTTCACACATAATAGCATTTGCCAGGGGGGTCTGCTTTTTCCAAGGGGGGTCCATGGTAACTTTTTTCTTGCTTTAGTATATACATTTTTTAACCTTGTAAATTCCAGGGGGGGGGGCTGACACCAACCCCCCTTTAGATCGCGCATGTATTTTCCCACATCCACACAAAAATGACATTTCTACTCAGGATTTCAAAATGAAACGTATGGAGGTAACGAACAGAATTCAAGATCAAATGTCCATAAAACAAAATAGGAGCTGAGACAACATGGACCTCCAAAACATCGAAGATGGGATCAGGCGCCATGGAGGTGTGAGCATTCCCTGCCGACCGGTCACACCACCGTGTTCTCCTTGACATGATCAGAAAATAACGGAAAATCCGTCGTCATCATTCAATGTATAAATTATGGACTAACAATTAGTATGAAGGACGTCAGTGGGCATTTAACTCGATGATGAATTGTATTTGATGACAAGGATAAAGACTTGTGTCACCTCCAACCCACCCCCACCCCCCAAATAATAATAATAAATGGGAAGTTAGGGAAAATTAATCGTTCTGAAATGCATTTTTTATGCACAAAAGACTAAACAATCATTAAGTTCCAATATAAAATTCTTAATTTTCTCCTGTCAAAATTACTATCCTTATAAAAATTATTACGTTTTAGTTTGCGGTGTACTCGATGTCCCTAAAAATATTTCTCGCACATTATGCAATTATTGGCATATTTAAAAAAACTGGTTCATGTCTAATTCTTTTTTCTAATCATTTTAAAGAAGTTCTTATTATTATATATATTCAAAATTAGTCAAATACCATATATCGAGGTTATTGTCAATTTCTTATCATGCCAGATCAATGTTATTTTCCCCTCCAATCAAGGAAAAATGAACAGATATATTTTTTCCGTCAAGACGTGGAATCTGAGATCTAGCTGGGTATGATTAAGTCTCTCGAGTAACCAGACTGATGAAACACAAATATCAACAGTTTCGTTTAAAATGGACATTTGGCACTTTCCATGGTCAATACAATGTCCTTATCATTAATTACAATTTATCATAATCCCCAATGCTTACCGTAGTATTCATCCTTACTTTTAGGCCAGTACTACCATACTGATTTTTCTACGGATTTTTCTATATACTGCCTCCGTGATCGGAAGGTCGTGAGTTCGTATCTCGGCCGCGACTGACCTAAATCGATAAAAAAAAAGTGGGTAGCAACTGTTCCTTCGCCATGCGCTCGGCACTTTGAAGTGAAAGTTGCGGGTCCTTCGGATGAGACCTTAAAAACCGAGGCCCCGTGTCAGCGGCAGGCGTTGGCACGATAAAAATCCCTCACTGCTCAATGGCCCTGAGTGCCGAGTAAAGGTCAAAGTTAAAGGGACGTTAAACAATATACAATCAATCAATCTATATACTGCATTTTCGATCGTGCAAAGGAGTGTACAGAATGTATTATCGGTTGAGAGAGGATGCTATCCCCTAAATGACATCTGATCTAAACCTCTGATGCTTTCAGTGATCAATGTATTTCGTGCTCCATATTTGTATCCTTCCAAAAGATTTTTGAGCTTGATATCTGTTTGTTATCTCCATATTTTTATTTTATCAAATCATAAATACTTTGAATTTTAGTGATTTTTTTTCTTAATATTTCTTGATATCTAGACATGTTTTGTATTTGTACATTTTCTTCTCTGTAAGCTTGTCCAATGGGCTGGGCTCACGCTCCTGGGGGATCTGTTTGCTATAAAGCCTTTGGTGATTCCTACACTTACAATCAGAGCGTGGACATCTGTAACAGCAATGGTTCTTACATTCTGATGCCCAAGGACCCACACGAGGATATGTTCTTCAGCTGGTATCTCAATAAGTAAGCAGTGAGTCCTCATATGTAATAATAGACGTGTCCATATAGACATCATTAAATTGTTTTCTTTTATATTATCATTGTTTATTGTTGTTTATTGCTCTATTCGTCGAAAAAACCCTTCCAACAGAATAGTGAAAAAAACTCAATTAAATCCTTCAGTCGTGTCCTTAATCGTGTTTTTCTTCAGTTTGTAAATATTTTCATCAAAATTCTAAACTTACTTTTTATTTAAAACCATTGTTTAAATCTTGATAATCTTACTTAAGGTCAATTTGACTAAGCATCACTCAAAGAGATAAAATGTTAATGTATGATAGATGGCCTTTACACATATATTTTAATTCACAACTGAAGAATTCCATACTGTCAATACCCTTTTTGAAGGTATGAAATGTATAAGAAGATTTGGATAGGATACAAATTAGAGAACTCGAATTTCGTCTGGGAATCTGGATACCAAGCTAACTACACAGGATGGGAGAATGGTATTGTCAATAATATTATATTATTATTGATAAATAAAATACTTCATAAGATTTAAAACCTCACTTAACTATGATATATTGGATGTTTTGATCCATAGATGAACCACACAGCTGGGAAGATTGTGCAGTTTATGCTGCCAACGGAGTAGGTTTTGATCGATGGTATGGACTAGACTGCAGTCTACCTGCTGTTACGTATTGCCAAGACACCGATCTCTTCAATACGCTTGGTGAGTCATTTATAATATCTATGCTTCTTTTTCTATAAAAAAAAAACCCACATACAATAAAACTAGTATATGATTTTTTCTACAGAAACAATTTGATGTTATCTTGACCAACCTTCGATGCATTATTACCTCTATGATGCTATAAATGTGACACAGATGTTATTTCAAATACTTTAGTTAAATACTGATGATATCAACAAAATTAAGCATCTATCAGCATTATTAACATATACTATGATGTAGTTAATTCATCTGACATTATGAGTTAAATTTGTTATTATCAGTAAGAGGGTTAAATAACACATATAACAACTGACGTTACGGTAATCGTTGGCAATTCTTTATATAGATTCAACTACAGAACAAGTAACTACTGTCATTACATCACAAATGACAACAGAAGCCACATCAGACACATCTCAATCAACACAAGTCACCACTCAAACCACACCGGGCGCCACCCAAACAACTCCAGGTACCACACAAACAGCTCCAGGTACCACACAAATACAAGTCACCACCCAAACAACTCCAGGTACCACACAAACAACTCCAGGTACCACACAAATACAAGTCACCACTCAAACAACTCCAGGTACCATACAAATACAAGTCACCACTCAAACAACACCAGGCGCCAACCAAGCAACACCAGGAACCACACAAATAACATCAGACATATCTGATTCGACAGCAGTTACTACTCAAACAACTTCCAACAACATTGTTACAACTCATGTTCTAACACAAACAGCTGCCTTGTCGTCTGATGCTTTGACCCACAGTGGAGATGGCACAACATTTACTGAAGCTCAAACAACAAAACAGACTGCCGCGACAACAATGCTTTACAGCAGCACAACCATTTCTGATGTATCTTGTGGTTGTCTATGTTATGGAAATAGAACAAATATTACTACAGAGGAATTACAGGAGTTATTATTACAAATAAAAAGTAATCTGACTGTCGACACCAAAACATTGTCGTCTGCAATTCGACAGCTCACGAGCGCTTACGACTCGAGGGTCTCTTCAAAGAGCATTGGAAGCGTTGGTGTGGCCGTTCTTGTGTCAGTGATGGTATTCTTGTTATTTCTAGATCTTGTTCCTGTTAACTTTGGCTGTGCTTTGATGAAAACAGGAAAATAACATGTTGAAATAATTTTTGTGCAGTATTTTATACCAGCAGTTTCCTATGGATTGTATGGAATAAAAAATCCTTTGAGATAAATTGGTCAATAAAATGTCAACTAGTGGCATTAGAGAACAAAGTATCATGGATTTAAAAGGATCAAAGAAGAGAATTTTGAATTTGATCCGAAACAAAAAATAGCCCGCATCTGCGTATTTCCAAATCCCTGTGAACACAATACTTTTAAGAAAGCAAAGCAAACACAATAACATTAAAATTCCAAACAAATAAAAAAACTCTACGTTTTGTGCAGTAAATAAAATACAAAATGCAAAATCAAATCAAAAGAAAAAAGACCAGGTTTCAAAAGTAAAGTCGTAAAACAATTTTTTTATTTGCGTAAAATAAACATCAACGTGTTTTACAATCTTATGCTCACGAATATTTATCATCAAAAATCATTTATATTACTGTGTATTTATAGAAAATGTTACTAACGTTGCAAAACTTTTGCGTCGCTGATTGATTTTAATATGCCAAATCGCGAATAGAAAATGAGACGAATAACAGTTGGTGTACATAAAAAGAAAACCAGAAAATACTAGTAATGTGAGTTAAATCTTAAAAGCAAGTGACATTGGTGGGTGGGTGGGTAAGAAAATTCTTTAGTTTAATTATCCTTATTCCAACATGCGTGAACTCGAAGTGAGCATGTTGTCAATTAAACCGTGGGATACAGGGCTTCACTTGCGATTCCACACTGGTTGTCCTTATTCCTGGACATCATTATGTAGCCATCCATCCCCCAAGATTTGCTCCAGCTGAAATATATTGAGTTTATAAACCCGATCTCCTTAAAAATCATCAAAACTTTTTTCATATTGAATAAAATAATGCTTAAATGACCAATGCTTAAAGTATTATGCGTTGGCTCTTTTGAATGACAACCTGTCTAATCTTGTGAATTATTTTTGTATGTTCTCTTTTCTCATTTGTCTCGATTGAACATGTATAAATATATCAAAAAGTCGTAAATGACGTCTAATACTAACCTGTTTTTCACAAGCCAGTAGTCCTGTCCTTGATACACACCGTACCCAACAACCAACACGGCGTGGTCAAGGTTGCGTGTTCTACATCTCTTTTCATTGTAAACACCCTCCTTATACAAATGGAACGTCTTCACACTGGCGTCAATAGCAACCGAGATCGGGCCAACACTAGCCACTGCCTTCTGAAGCTTTAGTTCGTCTCCAGAGGGAATATGTACCATACCTGTACATTTAGCCCCAACTCCGGATGGCCTGTACTTGCATTTGAATTCATCCTTAAACAATGAATGATGAATTAAATATTGTCTAAGCAAGTAAATCTTTACAAAATTAATAATTTCTCTCATCTATTTTCGCATTTCAAATATTTTAAAAATAAATAGTTTTTTATATACTAGCATATCTTTCATCATAAATATTATTGATATTATTATATCATAATATAATAAGTGTAGAGTAATAGAATAACATACCTTGCCAACATACGGGTAGGACTCTTCTGTATCAATTCCTCCGTTATCTTTGATGTATTTGAAGGCTTTTTCTGGTAACCCCCCTTGACATCCATGGCTTTCTAAATTACAAGAAGCTTCATTTAAATTAAAAACAAAACTTTGAGGCATTTTATATGTTATGAATGAGCACTTCATAGAAGATTAATGATAAATTCAATTTATACAATTCAAGGGAATTGTTCTGTAGGATAACATTAGTTAAGACAAATTTGCAAGAATTATGGCGTTTTTTTTTTTAAATCATATACCGGGTACTAATTAATTGTTCAACGGAAGACCTCCGTTATCTTTGATTATTCTGTTGTTTCTTTTCAACTTTACTTATTATCTATTCTAACCGATTTTGTGCAGGCGATTTCTAAAACGTAAACTTGGGCATTTTACCGATATGTTCATGAAACTTTCAGCAATTTGATGACAAATTATAGAACTTAAGGCGTTTTTTTTTAATTTGATGACCAAATTTCCAGAATTATGATTTTTTTCGATTTAGTGAGTTTTGATGGTCATATTGTCCAGCAGTTTTCTCAACAATGGCTCAAGATAGAAACATAAACTTTCCGTATGAGAGACCAACGTCTATAGATTTGTATAAGGATTTCTTTAGAAGTGCCGCACGTCGGCACATCTGCATGGCCCGAAAAATATCGCGAATTTACAATTTTTAACAACTGTTCTACAATATCTTTTTATATGGAAATATTTTGTGAAAACATATAGAACAAAAACAGTAAACCTGGTCTTTAACAGGAGTGAAAAACATGGCCCCTTTGTTCTCCAATTGTTTTTTTTATATCTCTACGGTGTAATAGGTCAAAGAAGCAAATTGTTGGGTGGTAGAAAGGTACGTGCCATTCATGAAACGGAAACCGTATTTTTGGCACCATTTTTTCAAAATGGCTGAATTTTCCGTCTCGTCTAATACAAACTTCCGGTAAAACCGGAAGTAGCAGAAATGGCTTATTTTTGCATTAATTATTATATAGAGCATTCAAAGCAATTTTGGTATTATTTCACATTTTTGTTTAAAATGAAATACTTCCTATGGTAGGAGTGTAGATGCAACGAATAGTTGTTCTATCGATCTAATGATTTTATGTCAAAATATTTTTAGCATTTCACACAAGAACGATCCAGTGGTTGGAAAGCCCATATGAAATCAATCATTTATTTAAATATTTAAGTGTTTTATCTTTATTTAGAGCTATAAGATAGCAGTCAACAATATCATACAAGTACCGTAAAAATCTGTACAGATATATTTGCAAATGGTGATAAGTGACATATTTGATTTCCAACACGGGGAAACTGAAAATTGTTGGGTTAAAAAGTATCATGAAACTGAAACCTTTACCATTCAAAATGGCTATAAGAAAATCGTCTTGAATTAATATATAACTCATTCTTGTTGAATGATATAGGTATAGTGTAGATAAATTTGTTCTTGAAATGTCTTATGTAAATATCTTTAGCATTTCACACAAGAACAAATATTCCTTTTCTTCTACCAACTTTGGATCGATTTTATATTTATTTTTAAATACTAATTCAGTTATATTTAAACATTGAGATAATGTTGGTATATGGATTTAAAAGATAAAAAAAAAAGCAACATGATACAGTATTAATAAAAAAAATAATAAAACTTTATACTAATACCTTACAGCATTTTTTTGCAAGTTCATCTTGAAATTTGCATTTTTAAAAACTTCATTATAGATTATACAGATATTGATAAAGTGTTGTAATGTTCCTGTTTTTGAAGCATCTAGACTTTGTAAAAGTATCAATATATTGATTAAGGAAATATCGCTACGTGAATGTTCCTTGTAGCAATCTTTATCAAACAAGATTTGGACTTTGTAATAGTTTTCTCACATACTCATGTGATGCTAATGAGACGCGCGTGATGGGATTTTTTATTTATATTTTATATGAAAAAAAATATAAAACGAAAATCAATAAAATTTCTCAAGGTGAATTTTACTCAAGAGTACACTGAAAGTGAAAATAACTTTAGAAGTGCAGTTATGTAAAATTAGCTATCACAAGATTTCTCGTAAAATTTTCATGAATTTCATTTGAAATTAAAGTTGTGCATGTTGTATTCATGTGAATTGCAATTGGTTTATTAAGTCTCTGTACTAAAATTTCAGTAATGCAATATAAATAATTTTTATCATAGATGGTGAAGTACTCATTATTTCTCTTAGAACAAAGTTTAATTAAAAGTTAACTATTGAAAAATATACTGTCTTTACAGTTTATAAAAATATATATGTATTACTATTCAAAGTTAATAAATCCCACAAAATGTACTTTTGGATGTAAAACGAGTCAAAAACAAAAATACATCTTACCATATCACCATATTTATTCATTCCCAGCCGATAGCTATGGTGTCCCAAGTCGGCCTCTATGTTGTGTTTATTGATGAAATCAAGGTTCTGTCTCCAAATCAACTTTCTAAGGAAAACAAAATTTTTAACACAGCAAAAATAAAATGAAAAGTGCCTGTAATTAAGAAAATGAACATCTTAAAATGAAAAATAACGATATTCCAATAAGAATAGCATCATAAGTTTTTTTTCTGTGTGAAAGAAACCTAACAAAGATTGATATCCTCGAACCTTTCTGGTTCCTCCAGCTGAGAGTAGACCTTTCCATGGACACGTTTGAAATCCTCCCATTCCTCATCCAGAAAGACATCAGACAGGGTGCCATAGCAAACACACGCCGAAAACACAACGATCAGTAAACTCTTAAACACCTTCAAAAATGAAGATGTTTAATAAAACTTAAAAACTAGATCATGTAAAATCAATGTGTAATATCATAAATTAGATAAACTAAATTTCAAGTTGGAAACTTAAGCAAAGGCAACTTACCATACTCGTCTGATGTTAATGTGTAATGATGGCACCAGGGTATCATCACTTTGTTTAAATGACTTTCTTTCTAGGCGGAAGTATTTTTTTATTGACTCCAAAAACTTCCGCCCTGTAATACCCCTTGATAGTTGCAATATTTTCATATCACATGACGAGGATATATAATTAAAACTAGGATGTATTTAAACTTTAAAAAAAAAATAAAATGGGTATCTATGATAAAGCGAAAATATAACCTAAAATATTTTGATAAATTATCATTTCATTTCAAAGCTCGGTTCACTTTATCTCTCAAAGACGGACATATTTCCATCATTCATTTAATAACCTAAAAATCAAAAAAGTTAAGTGTAAGATGGCCAATAACAAAATATATATTGTACCCCTAGTTTTTGGTTGGAATTAATTTTTATCTAAAAAGTTTGGATTTTTTTAATCTCCGAGGCTTTACAAGGGGAATAGAAACTCACAAGGGAGATTTTTTTCACATATGTTTTATAGGAACCTATCATCCGTCGCCCGCGTGGCGTAGTAGTTAGAGCGTCTGCTCTAGAGTTGCGAACTAAGCAATTGATCCTTACGTCGCGTGTTCGAATCTCACTGTGAAACGTGGAGTCCTGTTCTTCGGATGAGATCATGTAAACCGAAGTCCCGTGTGGCAGTAGATGTTTATTGATATCATTAAGATCCCTCACTGCTCAAAGGTCCTAAGTGCCGAGAATAAGAGAAAATTTGAAGCTCTCCACGGGCAAGCAGTGGCTACTCAATATGAGTGAAAAATTCTCGAGTGGGACGTGAAACAACCTACAATCAATCAATCAATATACATAATTATCAACGTTTTACAAGTATTTAGTTTCTTTATAAAAATGTACACTACTCTTCCTCTTTTTACGCAAACCAATTGTGACGTCACAGCCGTGGAACATGAAAAAATATCATATGAGTGAAGTGAAATCCTCGGAATAAAGGAGTCAACATGTGATACTTGTTTCTTTACACATATCTATTTCCTTATTTTGATCTGGATCTGTGCGAGTCATGTAATGCTTTTGTATGTGAGGGAGAGTACGTGAATGTGTGTGTGAGTACTCGTATTTCAATATAGATTGTATAACTGATATATCCATTCATTGTATTGTAACCTTGAACTGTTGTATAGAGAGGGTATTTATAGGCTTAAAGCCTGTTGCCCATCTTTTCAGAATATACTGAATAAATATTGTTTTAAAACAACATGTGATAAAGAAATATAGGATGAATTATTGCAGAATTGATTTTATGTATAATATGGCATAATTGATGAAGAGGATTGAAACAATATCGTATTTGTCGTCATGACCTATTAGTATAAGCACTGGTTTTATTTTACCAGCCTCATTCTGGCCTTGAATGTAAATCTGTAAATGGAACTCAAAAAATTTCCAGTCTTGTATTTCGTCAGCATTACTTTGTTAAAATAACTATGATTTTGCGAACATTGATATTTATTAAAGTTCCTCATTTACAGCATCTGTTTAGTCTTTGCACACATGGCCTTAAAATTATTGGAATTTTGATGTTCACTAGCTATACTTCATTTTAAACGGATCATATCATTTTTTATTCATATTAAACACCCAATTTTATGTTAACGCCCCCAAAATCTACCTGATTCTAGATCAATAGTTTACCGCCTGTCAATCATTAAAAAAACAATAGCTTCTGATTTGATTGACAGGCCAGCTACCCGTGCTACCTGATAGTCTGAGTTTGTATGTTTTGAAAACGATTGCCTGGTCACGCGTCAAACACTTTCATGTACCCGCCTTGCATACACAGGGGTTAAAAAAAGAATCTTGGTTAAATTTTATTTCAAAATTAATTTAGAGTAGATAATTAAAACTTGACTTCAAAAAATATTTTCTTTCAATGTCAGCGGCTGTATCGTATATTAGGCGATATGTCTTCCAAGATATCTTCGTAGAATTTAGACAGTCCGTGCACAGAAACGCTATTTGCCGATTAAAATTATAACAAATTGAAATATGATAAATACAAAATATATTTAACACAAGCATGGATAAAAAATTCTTTCATCCCATGTCTTATCTATGTATATATGAATACAATCTACACCTTGTTCCGTTGTAAATGAAATGTCAGAAACATAGTTTCAGATTTTAACTTAGTTCGAATTTTAACGTCTGTCAATACCCTATATGCGAAATAAAAAAGTATATATACAAAGCCAAAGATCAATTCTTAAAAGTATAAAAGAAATCCTGCAAACAATAAAAAATTTTAAACACACGAAGAAACGGTGAATATTTTGACACTATTGTTGGTCAGAATGTAAGCAATATTCCTATCGCGGTACATTGAGTATGTTTACGGATAGGCCTATGAATGGAATATTTCTTTATTTTAATATTTACACAAGTTTAATTAAAAAAGATACGTTTACTTTGAAGTTTTACTCTGTGTTCTTTTCTTTAATTTTACAATATTTTTTAAAAATATAAAAACGATATATATTTTTTTCCTCATAAGATATCGCTGAAAGTATTTATAATTAAATTTTATATACAAATATTTTAATTATATCAAGTGGTTTCACTCAAATTTAAACACGAAACACGGAATGTTGACCCTGATTACCACAGACAGACTTCCTGTGTAATGCTACGTATACACAGATTTTTGACATCTTGGGTATTGGGGGTCTCCAGGTAAATAACACCACTGTTACTTGGACCACCCCCCCTCCTCAGGTAACCGTACGGTAAAAAAATTGGGTCTTTAAGTAATTTTTTCATAATCTACCTAATACAAAGAAAACACTTGTGACCTTCAACTAGACATTCAAATAAATTGACGATTTTTTTTTAGTTAATTTTATATCCCAATGAACTAAAAATTAAAGAAGACTTCACTGCCATTTATATTTTGATGTTTTATTTACTATAGATGAGAATAACCAACTAATAACTTTGTAATATGAATAAATTTTCCGTAGTCAACTTTCCTTATTTACGAAGAAACATTTCTCTTTTTACCAAGTTTTATTTTCCGTTTCTGTACCATCGTGTATTCAAATCATTGTAAACCAAATCCTAGAGGTGTTGCATCTGTAATATAATTAAAGTGACTTTCATTAAATAAAATATCCTACCATTGAAATCTTACATTTAAAAAAATTATTATCAAAAGATCAAGTAAAATGATTGTTTACCACTTACATAGATCTGTGCAATATTCCGAAATACGTTGCCGGTCAATAGACGGGCAGTCAATAGATCGGTTTCAAAAGATAAGAAAAACTGAAAAAACATATAGACTAGATGAAAATATTAAATCTCTAATAAAAAAAAACTTAATTCATTTGAATAGGCAATCAAACAATTATTTAAAAAAAAAATATTCTGGTCTATTGACTGCTCAGGCATTAAATAATTGAATACTATTTCCTCTTTAAATTCTTTTTCAAACGTAGTCTTGTTTTTTCTTCTATTTTTTATGTACTCAATAATAGATGTGTATACGAACATATGCATTCAACATAGTTTGAAACGTTTCATCTCGAATGTCCTGTTTCTCATTTCAACTCAGTGATCATCCTTGATTTATTTTTACTAAAATATTACTAAATTCTTCACACAAATTCAAACGTTTCTGTGTCTTTCAAACACATCTTCGTGAGATTGAGATAAAAGATAGCACAGAGTCTGATAATCTGTTTCACAATAGGATATTATACTTGAAAAAGACTTAAATGGTAATCAAACAACCAAGTTCTTTGATAAATGTAATGACTTTAACTTTACAATCGTCAACTTCCCTCACTTATTGTCTGACGTCATGGCATCAGACAGTATTAGATTTAGCCAACGCCTGTGGAACAAGTTCAATAAAATTATTAATTTTGATAGCTCGATCTTGGAAACTACATGTTAAACTATCTTTACCATGGAGATTAATGGAAACATGCTAAACAGCCAAACAAACCAAAGCATTGGACCTAATTATTATCACATTCTACATTACACGTTACATAACATTTTGCCGTTCTGTTATGCATCACTATCATAGAGCTATTCAGGTCAACGCTATCAGATTAACTAATAGATGTTTATTTTCAATGTAAACGGTCTTTCTACCTTCATGATTACACATATGCCTAAAATGGCAGTTGTTTGATTCAGTTTTAGTTTAAAAATTTCAAGAGAAAGATGATGGTAGTTGATAAACTTTTTTTGTGTGTTTATATGAAAAGATGTTATCTTATATATAATTAGTTCATTACAATGTATCTTAAACAGAAATCATAATTCCCCCAACTGTTTGCCAAATAATGTTTAGATTTGTAAAATGTAATGTATAACTTTTTCTATCAAAATTAAATTATGCACTAGTTTTATCTAGTATTTGGGGGAAATGCCAATCACAAAAGATGTCATGGGAAAGGATGCACAAAGGATGACCAAAAATCTTAGGGGGCTATAACTAGGAATTTTTTTATAAACCAAATAGGTTGATATACATGTATGTTATTGTTTAATGACATTTTGGTGACAGGCATTAAGTGCCTTTTTTACAGTATATAATTATATATCGGCAAAATTGGGGGTTTGGGGTGGGTGGGGTCCCTCCTCTATATCTTTCCTACGGCCATAAAAAAAGAAAATACAAATAATAAGTGAATAAATTCATATTTAACTTTTATTTCATGTACATACAACTGGGTTGATTTTTTTTTTAATTATAAAGAGAATACTTTATTTCTGGACCCAGAATTTTATTGATCACACTGAATTCAACTTTTCTAAGTTCTAAATGTTGCTCACGTCAGACAAGCTTTTTAAGAAAGCTAATACTTGTGCAGCAATATACCTTTGTAACCTGCATACAGTGTTTATATCTCTCAGTTGATTCGATACGCAAGAGCATGCTCTACATATGAACAATTTTTAAAACGAAGAAAATTATTGACAAACAAGTTGATGAAACAAGAATATCAACAGTCTCGTTTTGAGTCCTCATTTCGTTAATTCTAGGGTCGATACAATCACCTTGTCAGTAGATACAATTCATCATTGAGTCAAATGCTTATACCAATTGTTAGTCCATTATTTATACACTGAATTAACGACT